GAGCGGGTTTACCCTTCAAGCAAGCACGACAAGGGGGGGCTAGATAAGTAGAATGGGGTTGGCGGGGAAGGGTACTTCCGAACGAAATGAAGCCATGAAAGCAAACATGTGTTTGTTTGTGTGGGTGCGCGCACAATTGCTTGGCCCCGGAAGAATGAGACAATCATGTCTCTCACCCGTCCGAGAGATGTTTTTTGCCTTGTGTTCGCTGAGCGCACCAAAACGGCAGGCGGCCCACTCCGGCAGCAACTCCTTCTGTCAGCGCTGATGCGGCACCTGTCCGCGGCGGGGTGGGCGGTGCATTGAGCAAGCTGAGGGGAAGGGCAAGATGGTGATGAACTCAGTCGTGTCAGTGAGGGGCAATCGGTTTAACAACAGAATGGTTAGTCCGTTTGCAACAAGTCAACACTTACTATCAACAAACATCCGAAATGGAATACAGCAGATACTGGCGATTGCAAGGCACATGTTGAGTCTAGCAACGCCCTTGGGTGTTGAAATTGTGCACGAGGCACGCACACAGACACAGACGATTGGGAGTGCAACTATCGTACTTCAGAAGACTCGAACAGAGCTGACACATTATTCAAACATGTCTAGACACAAGCCTTGATTCGCTGGAGATTTAGGGATTGCCGAGCGGATTCCGAATGTTTTGTTTGGTCAGCTGAGCATTTGTATCACTGGAGAGGGGGTTGTGTCAGCCGTTGTTTCCTATTCATGTTCTTCTTTTGCTGGCTGTCTAGTGGCGCTAATCATTTTGCCTTGCTGGCACATGTTGAAGATTCCGTGTGGAAGGAATTCAGGTTGGCAGGCCAACAAATGCTTCAAAATGCAAGTTGTTCATTGCGTGGGAACGGAGCAGGCTAGGGCCTGGGGCTTTGGGCGGCAATTTGCGCGGGCCATATTATGCGACATCCACACAACTGACCAATGCATTTTTTCAGACACAAGGCCCTCAGGCTACTTGTCGAAGCTAGGAGCCTTTAGGCCCATAGCCGATTCAGAGAGGAGGTTCCATGCAAGGCGCTCTCGAACGTTGACTGCTAAGGCCGAGCCTCTTGCATACTTCTAGGGGTACCTGGAATTTTTTAGGGGTGGGACAAATGGGTGTGGTTCAGTGGTTCACTTTGTTCTCTAGGGGACACTTGCCCGTTCTTTCCATGGATCCGAATCTTGCATATGCCAACATTGATGTGGCAGAAAAAAAACCGGCGGGAGCGCCGTTGCTTCGTCAGAGACATCGACGGTCACACCATATCAATGCCATAAATGCGTTAGCCCGTGGACTTAACATGGCTGGGAGGTGATATTCTGGACTGCGGCTTTAGCGCTCCGGAGGTGGCTTTCGATGGGTGATCCTCAAAGATAGATCTTGAGGGGTAGATGAGGTTATGTACATGCATGGTTTTCCATATGCTACGTGTGTGCGTGTGTGTGGCAAGGAAGAGGCTGGACATTTGCTTTCTTGGCTATTGCGCACATTGTTCTTTGTTTGCCCGCATGGAGCAGATCACAGTGCGCCTGAGCAGCGCCCTCCCCCCTTCCCCGAGGAAAAACAGCGCCAGGGCCATCAATGCCGAAACAGTGGGTGGTTCTCCTGTCTGGCGTATTTGGGGTTACAAGTATAGCCAGTATAGCCTATATAAGCCTTTACATCCATGGACCATGCCGGAACCGAACATAAATGTGGTTTGGGAACCCTCCCCTTTTGAACATAGCTCATGCTCGCGCACGTGAGGCGTCCTCGAGCGTTGCCGAGACCTTCCCAGCTCCAGCACCTTTGCGTGCAAAACAATGGGGTTGAGTGACTGGAAGCTGCCGAGAGTGTTCTGCCTTTCCAGCCATCCATCCAGTCCAGCCAGCCATCTATCCAGCCATCCATCCAGCCATCCATCCAGCCATCCATCCAGCCATCCATCCATCCAGCCATCCATCCATCCATCCATCCATCCATCCAGCCATCCATCCATCCAGCCATCCATCCAGCCATCCATCCATCCATCCATCCAGCCATCCATCCATCCAGCCATCCATCCAGCCATCTATCCAGCCATCCATCCAGCCATCCAGCCATCCGTCCGTCCGTCAGCCCGGGCCCGTTTGTCCGTCCGTCCGTCCACGGGGATGAAAGCCGGGGGTCTCAGCGGCTGGCGGCTCAGCCCAATGGTCTTGTAGTTGTCCCGCCCAACCCCGACATCCTGTGCGAATGGTCTCCGTGGGCGCCCAGACATGTGGGGACTTGCCGCGCACCTTCATGGTGGCTTGGACATTGTATCTGGGTCCCCACAGCAATTGGTGCCCTTTTACCGTTTCTTTTTTGGGGGAGGGTTCCCCTACTAAAATAGACAAAAGAAAAAAGGGTACCCTTATTCTAACCTCTCTACTGGAGGACCTAGGTATATCTAAGGTTGCGGGATCTATATTTGTTCTAGTGCCTCACAGCCCTCCCAGGTTGCCTGCCGCCACAACGGCGAGGCGGGGTCCGCAGCATCCGTTGGTCTCAGCGGGGAAAGTGACACACCATGGTGGGTGGGAGGAATCAGCCTTGCCAGTTGGACTCAGTTGGATGTTTCGGCCCACTCAGTAAGTGGTGAGTAACCTGGTAAGATCCGTCCTAGTGCAGATATCAGGCTGGGTGAATAGCAGGATTCTGAAGGCAAGACCAGGGAATGTGAAAATTGCTGGATATCAAAGTTACTACTCCATTGCTGACTACTCGAACAATTTGGGTAATACATGAATTGTATCACCCAAGCGAATATTCATATGAACATCACTACCAGTATCTTGACAGTATCCAAGCTGCTTCTGCATTTCAGTGTGCCCATTCTTGATCATCCATGGCACGTCACGCACATGGCATGCATTCTGCAGTAGCTCACATGTTGTTTTTCTTGTCCTAACACATACGTATCAAAGAAATTGGGGCTCCGCAAGACCATATTATCATGTTTTGCTGCTCGTTGTTCATGAAGCTTGCTAGCTGGACTTGCTTTAGGATTCAAGTGTGGGGCCCAGCGATTCCCACAATGCTGTGATAGCTGCGGTCCAGGCAACTTGGAACTTGGCTTCGGAAGATGACTTGGCTGCCCGGGTTTGGCCCACTCTTTGTGGCGTGGTGTTGTTGTTTCCTCGGGCTGTTTTTTTCTTTTGAGTGGGTTTGGGTTGGTTTGGAGCTGATTTGTGTTAGGTGTGCTGCTGGTTTAGCAGCGGTTGAGGGTTGCTTTAGAGTGTAACCCTCAAGCCACTGCCAAACCAGCAGCACACCTAAGACAAATCAGCTCCAAACCAACCCAAACCCACTCAAAGTCAACCCCAAACCTGCCCAACAGCAGAATCAACCCCAAACCAACCCAAGACCCACCTTCATGAAGATCTAAGCCAGCCAAAGGCCCCCCTAACTAAAATCAGCGCAACTCCAACCCAGGGCCAAGTGATGCTGGTGATGCTGGTGATGCTGGGGATGTTGCGGAAAACCAGCCTTCGCAGGACGCAGGACGCAGAGCTGTTCGAGTGCTTTGGCCATTGTTCATTTAATCTCGTTTGGTTCCTGAACACAACGTGCGCATATGTTGGGAAAAAGGATCACCTGCATTACCCCATTGTGAAAGCAGCCTCACTAAGCTACAGAGGACCATGACTGAGGCCAAGTGGATGCATTGAGCTTGCTTCTTGGTGGCGCAGTGCTAGGTTTGCATTGGCTTCCTTGGCGCAATCTTGTTTAGGCTTGTTTGGGTTTAACCCCAAGAAGATTGAAGACATGGTTCAGCCGTCAAGATGGCATCTTCTTCGGAGTTTGCCATGGTTCTCCCGAGCTGGAATTGAGCGATAGGCCCTGTGGAAGCTCGACGGCAATGTTGCCACCCTGATGAGCGAAGCTTGGCTGGCGCCGAAGCGAAGCTCTGGATGTTAAGAACCTCCCTCTCTGGAATCCATTCGTTTTTGTTTTTGCACAACTATTTATTTTCTGACTTTTAGGGGTGTGGACTCCATCTTGTTGTTCCATGGGTTTTGTTTTTCCCGCTTTTCCGTGTTGTTTTTTTTGGGGGGGCCGGGTGGGCTCCATGTTTTTTTTTTTGGTTGTTTTTTTTGCGGGTACTGATCGGAAGGTTTGCGGTCGGCAGAGTTAGCAGTTGTGAGTGCATCGAGGGAATTCCATTGAGCATGTCAAATGCATGACGCAGTTTGCCAGCCCATCAAACCATTGCTTTTGCGGGGCAGCTGATGCAGCCCATTCAAATGGGAAATTATTTGGGGTCCATAGGACTTTTGGTATGACTTGTGACCATATATATATATATATGCGAAGGCATTAGCATGACACATTCCCTCTGGTCTGAGATTGAGATGTCGCGTTTGGGCGAAGCTTCACTGATTGCAGGAAGCAGTCTGGTTGAGTTAGTGTTGTGGACCTACAGCTGCATTTTTTATTAAAGGTATTAGAAGGGTTGTTGGGGAGCACAGAAATGCCTTGGCCTAGAACGGGGAATTGACCATCCTCCCTGAATATGCACCACACGCGATGAAGTCCTTCGCGACGTGTCGGGGTATTCGGGTTCAGGACGCCGGAGCATTCCAATGCGACCTCGCCACAGGCCCTGGTCGAGAGAGGGAGTTGCGAGTTGTGAGTTGCCCTCACAAGCATATTAGTCTTCAAATCACTGGGGGTTAGCTTTCCGAAGAAAGTTTCACTGGGCTTTCAAGGGATGGCCTTGCTTGGAAAGACCAATTGAATGGTTCGACCTCCCAGCCCGAAGGTTTCGGTGAATTTGGGGAAGGGGAATCCCGTGACAATGGATGTGCGACCACTCATCTGACAGGTTGTGCCAGAGACCATCCCGGTCACGAGGTGTGTTTCTCACGAGCAAAATGCCCAGCGCGCAAGCCGAAGACCAGAGCACAAAGACAGACGAAAGGAAGCTGTTGAGCCAAGCGAAATTACATAGACAACCCTCCGGCTAGTGCCAGAAGCACGCAAAGCCCAAGTGCGACAGGGCAGGCAATCCAAGAACCATTCAAGCAAAGTTTCTGATCAGAAGCATACACATTTGCGCAAATGGATGCACAAGTCAAGACAAGAAAGGCCCAAAAAGGGAGGCAGTGGCAACAAGTATTTACCGTCAAGATAGGGGAAAGAACCCTTTCGGGGGGGGGTTATCATATTGCGCTAGGGCCCGGGTTTGGCTTGCGAAAGTGCCGGCAGAAACCAAACCTGCTTCGGTCGGCTGATATGTCCCTGAAGCAACTCAGAAAACTGCTGGCCCATAGGCTGTTGGTGGAACGTAGGGGCCTTCCTTTTCAACGTGGTTTCCGGAAATGTGCGAAGGTCCCCGCAGGACCTGAGTAGGGACCTTCAACTCTGTCTGTTCATGGCCCTTTCCGTAGCTGGGGACGTCAGGTCTCTGTTTGCAGTTTGTTGGGTCATTTGGCTGTGGGTCAAAATCCCATACCCCCAGTGAACATCGAAATCCCCACTAAAATAGACGGGCCTTTCGTTTGTCCCGGTTTGCTCCTGTTAGGAATGTCATTTTGTTGATGCCGGTGCTGCTGAGCTGGGGATTCGGAGGATGCCAAGATGCTGGGGATGTTGGACAGCGGGGAATCGAACACCGCAAGTTGTTCACGAACTCGTCCTCGTCTGACAGGGTTTAGTCTACCAAAAGGACTGCGTGCAACACTTGCGCGGACCACAAGCACTGTTTCGGACACGCGTCCTGGTGATTGCCTGCGGGTCCCCATGAAGAAACATGGCACGCTTCTAGTTCTTGAATTCATTGTGCCGTCGCGATCCGGGGTGTAATAGACGTGGGGCACCCACCTTTTCGATGTGTTGAAAAGGAAGCCCATAGCAATAGGAAGCTTAACGTATGAGTCATTTTGTTCTGGCATTTCCTGTGATTGTTCAGTGGCCCAGGAACTCCGTTACATGAGCACGAGCATGATGATGTGCTGACTTTCTGGTTGTTTTTCGCCCTGAACAAGAAGGTCTCACCTGGTACTTGGGTGGGTATGTCAGGGGTGGACTCCCTTTCGGTTGAGAGCGCAAGCTTTCCGCAGGCCATCGCCACCCCATCCCGAAGGACTTGCCATGAAGCAGAGACGGCAGACTGGGACAACTGTGTATTGGGGTGTGTGTTTTTGAGGGTAGCTACCCTTCTTGGGGTTGGTTTGAAAGGGAAGCTTGGGGGTCCCCCTATTTGGAAACAAACCTTCTTGAAGCCTATGCCATGTGCTTTCTCACTTGCCGGTCAACATCCTTGCAAGTTTTGTATTAGAATGCAACTTGGCGGCAGACCTTCTGCCTGTGCATGACATGAAAGATGTCCCACGTGCTTGCAGCGTGCAGCTTACGGTATAGCATTCATTGGCAAACATGTCAGAAATGGGTCGAGGCAAGGAGAAACAATGAGCTAGGCACCACATTCCAGCTGAGCAAGCTCGTGGAAAATAGCAGCGACACAGCTACCTGATGGAGATCCCTTGGACTTGATGTGAGGGACATTTCTGGATGTTCTTTCAAGGTGGACTGAAACGTCAAGCACTTAGGACACACGCGGAGGATTTGTGCGAATTTCAGGAGCTGCTCTTGCAGAAGCCGAAGCCAGGTCTCTATCGCCTGTCTCTGGAGCTGTGAGGCAAAGTTTAAGTGCCTCTGGACGTCACCTCTTGGTTGCACACGCGGATGTCCGTGGTTGCGCCAAGGGGACTTTCCCTGTGAGGGAAGCTCCCTCTATTCTAAATTCGGCACTGGGTTGTATCACATTGGGCATTTCCCAGATCCTGGTATTGCTCGGGGCTCTTAGCTGATGATTCATTTTCAAGGGAAGCAGGCAGCTTCACAGCGTCTGGAGGATTTGCCGCACGGCAAACCATGAGAGCGCAGCAAAAGGGCCCGGTCGAGCGGAACGCACTCCATTTCGCTTTGCGTGGCTGAACGTCATGTTTTCGGCAGAATCCTTCCAGTTGGTTGCCTGAAACGGGGGTTTATCCACGGCAAGCCTGGAAGCCGCGCAGAGGAGCCCAGACGCCCGGCCGAATGCTCAATACCCCAAAGCCTCTAACTTCAAGGTACCTTCTTCAGGCTTCCAGGGTTTTTCCCGCAGCAAAGCACAAAGATCTGCTTTGAGGCTGCGCGCCAGGGTGGTTAGTCAAGGTAGAAACGTTGGAGAGAGGCCGCTGCGGCAATCAGTTGCGACGGCGTTGACATATCCTGCAGCTGTTGCTTGCAAAACGTACCTTGGCACTTTCTCTGAAGAAAGCACGGTCATGCACACCATGAACAATGAACAGCATTTGATATGGCGCGACAACATACATTCATGGCTGACGATGCTGATGAGCATCATCCAGCTTTGTGATTGGTGTTACGGACAAATCACATACAAACATTTGGTTGCCCCGGTCCTGGTTGTGATTTCTGGGCATGCGCAAGCCATCCGCCATGACGCCATGAGAAAGTTCTTGCTTGTACTCCCGCGCCCTGGCAGCACTTGAACCTTTGAGGATGCTTGGCCTGCCGGCACATTTTTCTGCGGCTCGTTTTTTGTTTTTTCTCCGCCGCATCTGCAGAATATGTTGGGAAAGGCTGCTCACCCCGCCGTGAATCCTATGGTGCAGTCTGTCCAGCTTGGTTCGAGCTCCTCTCTCCATGCTCTGTACTTGTCTCTGGCGGAGTGTTGCCTGTTTGAACATTAGGAAGCACATTGGCGGCAAGTCAGAGCTGCGGCCTTGCTTTCGGGTTCTGCGTTGCTGCTAGTACCTCATTTACGAAGTCAAATGCCGTGCACGAAATCTGTTACTGGCTCATGATAACAAGATGACTGGGTCCTCCCAAGAGTTGAGGGTGGATTTCTCAAATGGCTTGAGCAGAGGGCGAAAGGTGGCAAGGCTTGCGCCAAGCCACCAAACCAAATGCACTGAACGCTGGATGCAACTTTCATGGCAGCCCTTGGGTGCAGACCAGGTCCAAGTTTCTTTCGCCGTTTTTCCATGGCGCCGGTGGTTTTAGCGGGTTGGAACTGAAGTTTTTGGCGGTCTGAGATGGCCCCCTTAGGCTTTTGGAGGCGGCCCGCCCTGCAATCGATCGCCGGGCACTCAGGCGACGTCAACATCTACCTATGAAGCGGTTTTCAATGCTCCTGTCAATCTTAAGCGAGGTATGTCCCAGGTTCATCATATACATTCTGCTGGCGAGGTATGCATACCGATTTCTCCCTTGATTTTGTGAGACAAATTGCTGGCTTGCTTGGAAAGCAACATAGCATTGCGATGCATTGAAGAAGGTGGACAGCTCCGTGGCTGCGATGCTTGAACACCATGGAAAGGCCTTGTCAAGGGGTGTCCTTCTGGATGTAACGAGAGTGATGCCAATACGCTCACAGCGCGCTCATTCTACCATGCTTTTGGATTTGGCATGCTGCTGTCGGGCAGATCCTGGTGCCGTGACAAATGCTTTGGGTTTACATGCCCACCACAAAATCACGGTCCTTACAACACAATATGCAAAGCGCCCAGCGAAATCTTGGCGAAGTTTGGATGTGACTGTGATTGATTCATTGCCCGTGCACCCAGCACCCTCAGTAAAACATGCTTCTTGGCTGACGCAGCCTGAGCACTCGCTGCAACATCCCTCCCCCGCAAGCTTTAGAGGCAGGAGCTTGCGGGACCTCTCGAGCAGGAATCCTAAAAAACGATGGTTAGTAGGTTTGGTCTCAAGGGACCGTGCTGTGCCCAGTGCCGATTTGTCCTCCGGCTTGAGTGGCTGACTTAAGATGCATGCGCTTCAAAAAAATGTACCGTCCACGATTCTGTATCTCCTTTCCCATCTCTAGCTGGTGCCTGCCTCTCTTGCTTTTGCACTTCCAAGGCACTGCCTTGCTGAGGTGACTTGGTCCAAGATGCTTCCAGCCTCCAGCTTGACAGCAGCCCAGCAGCATGGTAACAGGCCAGAATATGCATCGCGATTTTTTTTTGCGGGTACCCGGAGGTTGTTTTGCAGCGACTAAATGGGACCAAGAGGAAGCCACCCAATTGATTGAAGCTCAATTGAGACATACCGACATCTGTGTATTGATTGAGGTGACAAGGAGACGGCGCTTGCAGAAATGTCCTTTGACTTTCAAGACAGCAACCCGGCTTGCATCGCCTTGTGCACACACACAAACACACCCAGATGGGTGCGTCATTTTCGAGGGTACCCTTTTTGTTGTGGTTTCTTCCGAGAGTTCCAAATGGGAGGCTACCGATTTTTTTATTTTGAGGTTGCCTCATTTTGAGACACACCCACATGCCGAAGAACATGAAGCGCAACGGGAGATCTTGAGGGGGGGATCCTTTTGGGTGGCATGCGTCCGTGACGAATGAATCAAGTGAGGACCTGGGCTTTGAGATTCTCCACACTTTTTTTGCCCAACATGGCGCCTGGTAGATGGGAACAACTGCTACATGGATCTGAAGTGATGCGGCACCGGAACACCTTGATTTGCCTTGCGCATGTTTGTTGCTCTAAGGTATGAGCACCTGGGGGACCGCCACAACGCCGCTCAGAGCCCAATTTAGGCCCTTTCAACATGCGCATGCAGAAGATCCAAGCAGATAGCCTTGAGATGTTCCGCGTCCCAGATTCGCTCAGTCCCGTGATATGGCAGAAACGTCTCGTTGCGCCGTTGCGACGCAACGAGCACTGTTCGATACCGAACACGGCTGTCTGCTGGTAACTACAAAGGGCCATCTCTGAGAAGATATCTTCCATTTCCATTCCGTGAGGCAGACATTTCGGCAAGAGGCATAACATTGCAGTGCTGCTGATCAGTCAAGACTTTCGTGGAAGACAAGACACTCAGCCGCTCAGCATGTAAGTGACTACATTCCTAGATTTTCTGAAGCTGCTGAACGGTTGGCGAGGGTCGAGGGTTGTTCGACAATCGTTGCACAACGGTGCAGGGATGCCTCCGAGCCTGGGGCACTAGCCACAGTGTAAGTATGATCTCAGCATTCCTGGAGCAGTTTGTGTTGCCTGGGAGGTATTTTTGTGTGGTAAAGCCAGCACTGTTTGTTTGTTTGTTTGTTTGTTTGTTTGTTTGTTTGTTTTGTGTGCATTTTTGTTTCTTTGGGTGGCTTGCAGCACTGTGGCCGTAGCTAGCGGCTCTGAAAGATTGACACCCCCAACGAACACTACCTCCTCATTTTCCAGGAAGGTGACCCTCATCATGGGCCCAAGGAAAGATCAGAAGTTTGCCGTTTGCCAGTGTTTTGGGCCAGGGGCAAAAGTGATCCAAAAATTGCTGGGGCGAAATTCGTCCAACTCTCTTCTCTCTCTCTCTCTCTGTCTCTCTGGCCAAACTCGGAAGGCTCTCTGTATTGCGTTGGCCCCCAGTGTTGGATCGCCACTGCTCAGACGTGGCCTGTGTGAAGGTGCCAGCAATGGTTTGTCAGTGAGCTTATGAGGCGGCACATGTTGAACATCGGAAAATCGCCGCGTAACCCTCAGTTGGGTGCCGGCATCACTCTCTCTTGAGCTAAGAGAGGTTAGTTCCAAGGAATGTTTGGAAAGTGTCGGAGGGCGAAATGGCCCCTCGTTTCGGCAAGGCAGGTTTGCAGGAGAACGTGCAAGCAGCACCCCAGACAGACCTTTGTCTCCAGCAGGCCGTATGAAGATCCATGCTTTGGGAAACATTCCTTACCCAGCCCACACGAGCAATCGAGGTGTCAATCAATGCACACCCATCGCTGGCCCATGTTGCGATAAGGAGGAGACTCGGTCTTTTGATGTGTCATGGCAGATGTTCTGACGGGTCGAAGGCGCTGTTAAAGCGATCCCGCAAGCGAAAGTAAGCTCTTTGGCGAAAGTGATCCAAACGTTGGCCTCGGCTGAATGCGAGTCTGGCCAATACGAGAGGGAACTACATAGAAAAAGCCAAACGAAGATGCACGGCGCAATCACGCCGACAATCTGGCGGTGGCAAAACGGCAAACGCGGCCTTTACAAACAAAACTGCCGGCATGGCAATTCAGATGTGGCAATAAATGCTTCTACCGCAAGTCGGCCACGCTTGGAATTCGCATGCTACGTTCCGCCACGTTTTTCCTCGCATTGGAATCACTGCGCTGGTCCAAACACAGCTTGATTTGAGGACAATCTTAGAATGCAGATCACGTCAAGACCTGGGCAGTGCTGTGTTCACAAGTTATCCCCCACCCGTTAGATCCATGTTGCGTGTGTTTGTTTGTGTTCGTTTTGTGCTGACTCTGTGAAAGTGTTTATGTGAGTCGGGTAGTTTGCCTCTAGACAAATGCCCTGAGGGCCGCGTGGGCCCATCGTTTGGTCTCTGTGACTTTTGCCTTGCTTTGTTTCGAAAGGGTTGAAACTGAGGAAACGCCTTGGGTTTCAGACCGCGGGTCATCATGGAATGTAGCAAAGAGGCCCCGTGTTTGGGCCAGCCTGAGCTGTGGCCCGAGGACCTACCTTCCTGGTCTCCAAGGGAATGAGGTTCCCGGCGTGCTGCATCGCCTGCATATTGGTCCACAGTGTCTTGGCGATTCTCGGGCGTTGGGTGAAAAGCAGCTTCCAGCCCGCGGCTACATTGACCGCACTTGGACGTGGGACGCAAGAGAGAACAGGTCTGAAGTATGACTTCAAGAAGCATCGGGGTCAGGGTGCGCAATCAAATGCTGCGAAAAAAGAGTGTTCCCATAGCAGAGAAAACAACGCTGCGACTAGACTGGACGACAACAATTCGTCGCCCAGTTGGGTGATCCTCGTGCTTTGCACCCCATGCGAGGCAATGCCTTGTCATTGACTTGGCAGCTTGATTTTAACAATAATGATTGTCCAATGACACGTGCTTGCCAACGCGGGCTATCTTAGAGGGTTCGCGGTCCATGCCACAGCTGAATGTCATCAATTTGCCTGGCGGCGTCTATCAAGAATCATTTTGCACACAGCGGTAAGTAAGCCCAATTGTTGATAGCAAGCCAGCCCAAACACGTGATGCGAACTGATAATTTAGAGCGAGACATGGCATCGCGCGCAGCCTGACTCCTTTGCCAGTGAATTGTGACGAGGCTCTTCACAAAACATGATCACGTACTGGAACAGGGCGCTGCACTTGCTATTTTTCCTTGCTGCTCAATGCAACACGTTTGTTTACCTTATATCGCGTGCCTTGCCCAACGCAGGGTATATCGCAATCAACAACGCAATCAAAAGCCGAACCCTTCGCAAACGAATGGGAGGACATTTCGACGTTTCTTTTCCTTTGGGAGTCGAAAGGCGCACTTGGCAGCGCACGAGGTATATGCCAGAGCTCTTTGACGAGCGAATGGACCAGGATCTGCGGGCGAGTATCATTTTGGGGCAGGCGCCGAGTGGGCCAGATGATTCATGGGTCAGCCCTCGTTTTCACCGTTTTCCCAAGTCCCGAGCTGTCCACAGCATATGAGCCACTTACCTTGCTCCGGCACCCAAACTAACTCTTTGTACAAGCGGGTGCTCTGACTCCTGTCGTGTGTGTGTGTGTTTGTGCTGGTCTTTTGTGTTGGGTTTCCTAGGGGCTTGCGCTCGCCCCTACTCTCCGCGCTAGTCAGTTGAAGGCCAGCAAACCCTTTTGGGTTATCAGGGAAGATGACAGTCTGGCCCACCGGAACCCACTTTGTTTGCGATTGCTCCTGAGGTCTTTTCTTGGCATAGGAAGCTTGCAGTTGTAGCGCCTTCCGCATTCTTTCCGGGGATTCTTCTCAGGAACATATACCCAATACTCTCACGACAAGTGATGCAGCAGTGGCGTGTGACTCGTAGGATGTTTTTGGCAGTCGTGAAGAGTGCCACATCCAATCGATTCCAGCCGTCTTCAACTAGCTCAAGTGGTGGCCCCTTTGCTTTAGTTGTGCACGGTTGGGTAGTCTCTCAGGGAAAGGCTCGTTGGCGCCTGCAAGTGCCAAATCAATCAAGCATGGCCGTTGAAGTGGGGGTTCAAGCATGAACGTGGAAGTGAGAGTTCAGCTTATTTTGCGCAAGTTGGTCCTTGCTTGTTTTGTAGCTCGATTGGTACTATGCATGCCAGTGTGATCCGAGAGGAGGTTGAACCACCTGTTTTTGCTCAGGAGTTGACCGATGCGTTTGATTGATCATGGAGTCAAGATGCTGGGGATTGTCAGCCCCCCAACCAATACCAGGCCTGCACTGGAATCCAGCCAATCACCAGGAATGGGCGTTTCCGAAGGGGGTATATCTACAAAGACCATCCTACAGACCCCCCCCGATTCACCCTGGTCTCTGCGATCCGCCCGGCTCACCTTGGCAGGGCAGTTGGCTTGCAGCCGCTCGGCCAGCAGGGATCACTTAGCCGCGATCTGGTTAGCATGCTTTGAGGATGCGGGTTTGAGGCTGCACAGCTTAGGGGCAATCAGGCAAGCGATTCGTGACTTCCCATGAGCCAAATGAGAAGACACACATTCACCCTCCAAGACTTGGCCCGGGGCGAGGCTTGCACTCCTCATTAGAACCAAACAGCTGCGCCCTGCGCAGTGTTTTTGTTGCGCGCCCTGCACATGGAGACGTTTTTTCGGGGGCCAGGAGTGGCTCGCAGCTTAGCAAGGGCTCCAAGACCGGTTGGTTGGTTGGTTGGTTGGCTGGCTGGCTGGCTGGTTGCTTGGTTGGTTGGTTGTTTGGTTGTTTGGTTGGTTGGTTGGTTGGTTGGATGGCTGGTTGGCTGGTTGGCTGGTTGGCTGGTTGGCTGGTTGTCTGGCTGGCTGGCTGGCTGGCTGGTTGTCTGGCTGGCTGGCTGGCTGGTTGGCTGGTTGGCTGGCTGGCTGGTTGGCAGAATTGCTGGTTGGTTTGCTGGTTGGTCGGTTGGCATGCTGGCTGGCTGCTTGGCACTGCTGAAACCAACCCGAAAACCTGACACAAGCCGCCCAACGCAACCCCCAAGTTTGCCCAAGTTCAACCATAAGCCAAACAAAAACTAGTGCCAAGCGGCGGGCAACCAGCTAGCCCCAAACGAACCCAAAAACCAACCCCGACAAAGCTCTAAAACCGTCTAAAGCCCACTCTATTCCTGCCGCAAGAACTTGAGCGGCTACCAGCCAATGCGGCATGGTGCTCAGGCCTGTCTTGCGGTGTCAACAGATCAGAGGGAGACTGAGCCCTTGGGATGTTGCCCTCCATTCGCCCCCCCCCCTCTTGGTCACAGTCACGATGCCCACATCCAGCCACTTCTTGTAGCGAGCCACTCCAACAAATGCCACTCCTAGCACAAAACAACCGTCCTGACACTTCACATAATTTCTGAAAGGCATTGAGGGAGATCAGATCGAAGCTTGTTTGTTGCCAGTTTCAGGTGCCCACCACGACTTTCAACTATGATGCTGTGCATGTGCGGTCAGGCGAGGGACGAGAAGGGTTCGCATGTGTCATGTTCGGGCTTCACGGGGGGGCAATGAAGGGTTTTTCAGCGGGCCGAACGCACCAAGTTTGATCCCATTCGGCTTCAGTTTGGCGTGCACAAGTCTGTGGTATCCATCCAGCATTGAGGGTGAATTGGGTTGCACTGCACGCGATATGCCGCCAGAAACAAAGGTTTTGAGATATTCCCTCGTGATTCGCACGTCTCGCCTTTCAGGCCGCGTCTTTTTTGTGGGCCTGGCGGCTATGGCAGAGTGGCCGACGTCCGTTGTGAAGGCGCGCGCGGCGGGATCTGCTTGCTTTGTGCTCGAGAGAGAGAGAGAGAGAGAGTGGACGGTTTTTTGGCGCAAGGAGCCCGCAAACACATTTGCTCTCAGCCTCCAAAGTCTCCGTCAGGCCAAGAGCCTCACATGGAACCCTGGGAGACACTGCGACCATGAAGCATTGTAGGTGAAAGGGAGCAACATATAGCTTGTGTCAAGCGGAAGGTCCGTAAAGAAATCAACGTAGAAGCAATTGAGGCTGACTTGACGAGTCCTTGCTTGTCTGAACCAGCCAAGGCTGACGCGCGCTTTGGGCATGCCTTTTCGCAAGGGCAGTCAAGCAATCGGGATACTGGCCTGCCCCTTGCATTTTGTTCGTGATGCGCTACGCATATGGCATTCGGATCGCCGAAGTTGGCCTGGGGGGAGAACCTGCCAAACAGGGACTGCTGGAGTAGGATGGAGTGCGGCATTCGCGACCTGCAGAGTCCAGAGCGTGACTTCCTCAGATCGCTTAGCAGGCCACCTGCTAGGCTGGCGGCGTTCATGGACTTTTGCAGCGTTTGGCAACCATTCTGCAGCTAGATTCAAGTACCAAACAGCAGCCTGCAGCACTCAATCACAGCAGTGTTAAACGCAGCATGGGAGACAACGACCGACAGATACCAACAATGCATGTGAGATGAAGACCTTGAACCCGACACCAGCATGATGTGTCCTCAACGTGCTACTAGTACCCTGAGGAAAGCAACTAACAGAGTGGTAGCCCATTGATAATTTTTGGCAGGAGCTTGGCGCACCCAAGCCAAGTTTCCTATCAAACATTTTGTTTTAACACTTGGCAAATATGGCCAAAACTTCCGCCGCCCTCTTGGGCTGGACGAGGGCTCGCTCGCTCGCAGGCATCGATCTCAGCGATGCGGGAGGCAAAGCCAGTGAGCTTTGTGTTGGCTGCCAGCAACGGCCTGCTGCTGCGGCAAATGCTGTGGGACCGGCGCATCCGGGGAAATCTGTGGGAGTGATTCGCTTTGCTTCCGGAGAAAAGAGCACCTGCAATCAAAGAAGTGTAAGAAGCACCTTTTTGGTAGGAGTTGTCTCTGGCATGGTTTCAGTCCACCGTTTGTCCAAGCTGGACATGTTTGCTCATTTTTTCTCAAGATTGCGGACCCCTTGTTATACCCCTGCAAAGGCGGTGCTCAATGACATCAGGGGCACCAGAAGCGCCGAAGGCCATGGTGACTTGGTTCCCAGTTCCTGGGGCTGCCCTCGGTTTTCCGGATAGGGAGACGAAGTCAGAAGTGGGTCCTGTCGAAGTATTGAGCCTACCCCGAACCATACGTAAATGAAATGGCAACGAACTCGAGTCATTGAGATTGTACAAGCTTCAGAACCTGCTGAGACCCTACTTGTCACGTGCATGTGACTCCTCTTGCCAGTTCCAAAGGAGCTGACACAGAAATTGCTGCCGGACGTAGACGAAGAGAGGCAGAATGCTGCTCGGCTCAGATATTTCAACACCTTGCCAGCGAGCTTTGGGATGTTCTGCTGTGGAAAGCTCGTGACCCAGTTTGATCAGTGGCAGTTTTTTGCCAGATCCATAAAAATAGATGTCTATCACGGCCATGGTTTCCTTCTTTCGGCACAAGGCAAGCCCTGAGATTGAAGCTTCTGGACCAGCCAAAACATTCTTCTTCGTGGGTGATGCCTTCAGGTGATGCGCTGCAACCTGCACCTCAGCCGAAGGGAGGAGTGGGTTGTGACGGGAGGAGCGTCTGGAAGGTGTGAAGAGACTCAGCTGGCCGAGGTATGATGTGCGCCCTTTTGTGCGGTCATTGACACAGCAACCAGCTGCAAAAACTTGTGTGGATGCTCGTGATAAAGGATCGATCGCTATTTGTACTACACGACATCCCTGTGGAGCGCGGATACCGTGCGTGAAGTATCCCGTGACACATGAGCTAGCATGAATTAGGTGCCGGGTGAAAGGTTATTGCTAAAGGGTCGGCCTAAAACAGCTTGCCTCCAATGGAAAGTAAACAAGTCATGTAAAACGCAACCTTTTGCTGTGTTGGTTTTTGCTCTACACGTATCCAAACTTGTTACTCGTTCCACGTTTTTACTTTTTCCCGGCAAGAGTAAGGAAGAAAGCTGGCAGAAGTAACACAGATCGACTTTCCTGTTTCGCCTTTGCATTTTTACGCGGAAAGTAAGACGGAAAAACCTTCCTTAAAAGGTGCACCCGTGTTATTTGTTGTAGGCTTTGTTTGCCTTTCTCCACTTTGCCGGCTCTACGAAGCGGAACACCTGTGTTTGTGTGGACTAGCACAAGCACATGAGTCTATATTAAATATAATATTTTTAGGGACTAGCATAAGCACATGTGTCTGTATGAATATAATATGTGCAGGTATCTGCGTTGCACAAGGCAGATGGATCCCACTGCCCACTGACAGCGAGCGCGCTTGGCGTCTCGGGTGTGAGGCATTCCTCGCGGAAGGGGCGGACCTTCATGCTGCTGACGCTGGGAGCCGCTCGGAGAGCGTGGGTGGCCAGGAGCAGAACGGATCTACTTATCATGTCACGGAGACATCCCGATGTGTTGCGCTGTCCACCTATGTTGCGCCTCCTGCGATCTGTGTATGTAATCCGAAGGCTGTAAGCGATTTGCTGGGCGAAGGCGTTCCTTCTGCTCGAAACCCAGAGATTGGCCCCCTGATTTGCTTGTGTATCAAGGGAAGCCAAGATGACCCCAAATTGTTTGGGCTCTCATTTTGGCTCACCCAGCCTTTTTTCTCTCGCTCTTCTTGCGAGAGTTGTTTTTCCCCTTTTTCGTGGCAACTAAACTTTATCAGTCTTCGACTAACTGTTTTTGATCCTCGGGTTCTTGTTTGCATGTTTTGGTTGTGGGATTTTGATCCGGTTGACGGTATATGGGTTCAAAATTCAGCCACCAGGAGACCGCAGGTTTTAGACTTTGGTTCCAGCTAACCAGGGCAAGCCATTTTGGGGTGACCCTATTTTTCGACCCACAGCCATATGGCTGTGGGTCAAAACCAATGGTACCATTTTGGGGTAGGTGCACCACTCATTTTACTCTATTTTAGTGGGGATTGAATCGGATGTTCACTGGGTGTACGATTTGGATTTTGACCCATGGCCAGAGGTTCATTCGGTCACTTCCGCTCCTCCCCGATTTTTCTCGCCTGGCCGCCGTGTCACCCGAGGTGGGCTTCCACACTGCGACGGATGGCCAGCTGATCGCAGGGGCGCAGGCTGCGGGCGCTTCGCAGCTGGCGCTGGCGATGCTGCGCCCCGGTGGGATGGCGCGGACCCGTAGAAAGGGTGGGGGGACGGGGAGTATAGAACTATGAGGGATGAAGAATGGTTGTAGCTCTTAGGGGCAAGGAAGGAAGGAGGGAGAGAGAGAGGGAGGGAGGGAGGGAGGGAGGGAGGGAATGGTAGCAAGGAAGGCAGAGGGACATGCGCACTTTGTTGCCATCACCCAGTGCAAGACAACTCCTGACTCTATAAGGGGTCTACAGGAGACACATAACTCCAGTTGGTTCATCCCATGCCAATATGGGTTTGTCTTTTTGGAGGCAACCCCTCAAAATGCGTGTTTCCCTTTGAGCCCACTTTCAAACCATGTCAGAAACACCATTTTTAACCCCCCGGCATATGCTTCAGTGGCTAGGGTGCTAGCTGCTCCCGCTTGAGCGGCCCAGGGACGCGCTTCGGGACCGGGGCAGCTGCCAAGCCCTCTATGAGGCAGGCGGCTTCCGTTCGACGCCGAAGAGGTTTTTGTTCTATGTGGGTGGCTCATTTACCAGCTGGGCTTACACAGGTTTTAGTCTTGTCTCCATATGCCAAAGCGGTGGGGATCTATGGGAAAAACTTTCGGGGTTTGTTTGGTTTGAGAGTGCTGGTCTCATTTGACCCAAACTCCAACACGGCGCTGAAACAGATTCTAAACCGTTGTGGTTCAGTTAACTGTTACGGATTGCACGGGCTTGTGCAGGCAGACACAACATAGACACACGAGCACTGCAATCTAGATGACATAGGGTGCCGCACGTCTTCCTTGATGCGATTGCTGAATCTGCTTTGACGGCTGGAGGGAAGCTCATTGACTGCTGTGTGTGCGCATGCGCCCTAAGTTTGTGTCCGATCGCAAGCCTAGGCTTAGTGCTGAAGGCTACCTATGTGAGGAACAAACAAAGAGACGCACTGGCGTCACGAGTTTTGTAGCTGCCGTTGGCTTGGGTTGTCCCCCTGACAGGGGGACCCTCCAAGAGGAAATCTAACTTCCAAGTACCTCCCCACAGATGCCATGTGGGAGGAAGGGTGCCCCTTTTGAGAAGACCATTCCAGCGCTTGATCCAAGGCCCTGGTTGTTGGTGGTCGAGGGCAAACCCAACAAACTTGCGCAGGTTGCGCAAGTGGTATCGATGCCATGCGCGGGCACTTTGCCCGGTCCCACCTGGTTGGCCCTTTATGTCCAAGCTTCCACCCACCCTCTTAGTTTAGGGATTCAATACACAGGTGTCAAGCTTCCAACTGAAGCAATGCGTTCCAGCCCCGATTCGGATAACATCAGGTCCGGGACTGGGCTCCGTTCGGAACTCCAGGTGGTGGAGGATGACGAGCGCTGCTATGAATACGACTGCACCTTCAAAAAGACTCCTGCAGCTATGACGGTGGAGGCCAGCGCGTTGCGTTCGTGAGACATTTTTTGGGAACGATCAATTTGAGACGTGCTGAGCGGGCCGATTGAACCAGATTGCGGCCTTTTTTTTTGGGGGCTGTATGCCGCCAACCGGAATCACAAGCGTGAAACATGATTGCCATCGGTTGCCTTTCAGGTTGACTGCGGTGCACTCGAGCGGGTTCGTTCCTTTCAACATCGCTGCAGAGCCTGTCTTTTTGGGCTGCCTGGGACTCGCGAGATCAGGACACCTTGGCAGCACTTGTGCCGATGCCGAACTTTAACGCGGCGCCAAAGCTGCCTGGCTGCAAGCTGAGGGCTGGGCTGCGGGTGAGTCTTTCTTGGCGTCTGAAGGGATACCGATAAGTCAACCATATTGTGGGGCCTACTGTACGTGTCGGCCAGCTTGCGACAGCAGGGAGAAAGCTGTGCCAAATGAATTCTAAGATTCCCAGCCGGTTGGTGCCATTTGTTTGGAAAGGTAGCAGACGGTCCACATTCCTGGTCAGTGCATTAGAACCCTGCCGACAAAGCACAATTCACATGGGAATGCCAGGGGAGACATTTTCATGGAGCGTTTCACAAGCTAGCGAGGGGCCATCGGGGTTCTGGTGGGGAAGCTTTCTCCGAGCGGGCAGCTCCGCACGTTTCACGTGGCATCGCCGAGCCCAGGCCAAACAATCTGCAGAGGCGGGCACAGTGCTTGGAAGCGCCGGACGCCAACCCTGTGCCGTCGATGGTTTGGATTCTTGTCGATGAGTTGCCGGTTCTCTGATCTGCAGTTGCGACCGTTGGTTTGATTGCCAGGCACTGCTTGCCATCGGATGATCGGACTTTTCGGAAGGGCTACCATTCGCATGCGGGAAAGGTCGAATCCAATGAGGTAGTGTGACCTGATGGTTCTTCCCCAGCGTATGATGCAGTGCCTTTCAGAACTTGAGTGTATGCAGGATACCACGGAGCATTCAACAGCATATCAAAGGAACACGTCTGGCATGTGGGAATGCCAATGGCCAATCCCAAAAGCGATCTCTGGAACCGCATGAGCCAAGAAGTCCCCATGCAGTTGAACATGAGTGAGCATGCGCAATAAACCAGCAGCTTGAGGTTGAAAAGTCAGGTTTTGTAAAATGGGTGTTTCCTATGATGGGCGATCCCCCCAAACGATTTGTCGGTTTCCTTCTGGCTTTCCTTCAAGCACCATTTGCAACAGGGTCCTCGGACACCTATGGAGTTGAACAGTCATCCCAGAGCGGTTGGTGGACACAACCGCCTAAATCCAGCGTCCGCGGGGTCCCTAAATATAGAGCATCTTCACCCCAGCAGAAAAATATCCACCGGGTGCCTAAATATAGAGCATCTTGTCCATAGGACCTGCACCCCGCAGCAGAAAACAGCTCGCCAGGGAGCCGCGGAGGTGCGGGGCCGCCAGCTGCGAGGCGGCCTTGTCGCCGGAGGAGTTGAAGACGTTGCCCTGGGATCGCCTGGGCCTCACGCGGGTGCAGGTGAAGGACAACGGCCTGGAGCCAACCGCCGCTCGCTCCCAGGGAGACGCTTTTCGAGTCAGAACGAAACTCTCTGAGGAAACGATCCCTTTGAAAAGTGACGTCCCCTTTTGGTGGGAGGGAGAGCTTCAGTTGCGGGTTTCAGAAATACTTCTAGTGAAACAGCGACTCCTTTTGGAAGCCGGGTGTGTTGCCTTATCCCCATTTTGTTTAGAAAGCCATCTGCTTTCGCTTTGATTGGTGCTTGGGAAGCCAATCATCACCGGAGACTTGGCGGATGCAGAAGAAAAGCTAGTGGCTACATGCACAACCGGAAGCTCTCCTTGGCTGTGCCAGAGCATGTTGGAGACCTGTCCGAGGCACATGACCTGGGAGGAGTGAAAGTCTTTGCCATTCCAGGCCGCACAGAGCACAAACCGAAGGCGCGGCGTCGAGAAGTGACCAACTGTGTTTTGCCGGTTCAAGGTGGTTGGCATTCACAAAAGGAGCACGTACTGTTGCTGTTGCTTGATGAATGCGCAATATACACTCTCCCTTGAGTACAGCGTTGAAATGCACTGATAGCTCTTGATGCTTGGCAAGTGAGGCCTTAAACCTTGAAAGCTGTTTGTTGCCTCCCAATACTAAGTACCCCCCCATGAATACATATTGGCTCGGCGGCAAGAGCAAGTTATGAAATAGGGCAATTCGGGGTCCGGATTTCCTCTTCGGTCCCCCCCCTTTTCCCGGGAATGAATTTAGATAACACCGTTCAAGTGTTTTTTCTTTTTTCACTTAGTGAAACAAGTTTAAACTAGTAAGATGTACTTTGTTCTTAATAAATGATTTTTAACAGTGTGCTGGAATACCCCCTCCTAATGACTGGTGGCGGGATTGGCGTGAATCGGCAGGTTTGGTATTGGTTTAGAATTGGCGTATTCTAAAAGAAGTATTGGGGATCCGGGGGTCTGGGTATAATAGGATGCATTTGTGAATAGGTGAAGCAAGCAGGATGTCGCAGGCATGTCTGGGTTCTCGTTTTCCGCAGAGGAGACTCCCGGTCACTCGTTTGATTCTTGCATGGCATGCGCTGATTGAACAGTGGTGGGTTCATCAAACTTACTTTTTCAGTGGCGAGGTCCGAGGGCCCCAAAGTAAGTTTGGCGGTTGTCATTTTCGTTCTGAGACTGCTCAACGAACAGCCAGTGAGCGTCTGAGCCAAGCCCTGAATCTCGGATCCGTGATGCTTTCATTCACTGCTTGTCCTGACCGTAGGTGTCCTTTTTAGTTGTTTTGGTAGAACAATAGATGGGTTTCCCTGGTTTACCTGGTGGTTTAATCATCCACCAGGGCCATCTATTTCCCCTAAAAGGACACCTATGGTCCTGACTACTTTCATTTGCTTCAGTTGTTTACTTCATTTTCCCATACGAGGGTCATACTACTGCCACTGACCTCGACTTCAAAAGACCCAGCGCACAACGGACAAAACTTAGCCTTCTTGAGGTTGAAGGGCAACAAAAAGGAAAGACACTACGCGGTTCTTTTCTCCCCAGATAGCTGAAAGCTATAGGGGTTCGAACTTCCAATAAAAAGGGGAAAGTGATTTGGGAGATTGATGGGAGGGTGCTAGGGGGCGTGCAGTTTGGGTGCTGGTGTAGGTGCTGTTTGGGGTGCTGTTTGGGGCGCTGTTTGAGGTAATGGTGAGATTGACGGCCGGGTGCCAGCGTACATGCAGGTGACGGTGCGGGCGCATTTTTGCAAGACTGACGGTAGGGTGCAGGCAGGCATGCAGTTTGGGGTGCTGGTGCGGGTGGTGCTTTGGGGGTGCTGTTGGGTGCTGGTGACGGCGTGGGCGCATTCTCGCGAGATTGATGGCTGGGTGCTTTGGGGGTGCTGTTTGGGGGTGCTGTTTGGGGGTGCTGTTCGGGGTGCTGTTCGGGGTGCTGTTCGGGGTGCTGTTCGGGGTGCTGTTCGGGGTGCTGTTCGGGGTGCTGTTCGGGGTGCTGTTCGGATGTCTGTGAGATTGACGGCCGGGTGCTGTTTGGGGCGCTCTTCGCGGGGTGCCGTTGGAGGTGCTGGTGTGCAACTGTCGGCATGTTCTTCGCTATCTGGTGTGTATGCGGGTGTATTTTGGGGGCGGCTTGTGCTGAGCCGGGGCTAGTGAAAAGCCGGGGCAAAAACGAAAAGCCTCAACCAAAAGCAATTGTCCTTTTGGTTTCCTTTTGGAGCCCCAAAAAGGGTACCCTTCAAACAAGAGCAGACCCATGTGCCAGTTTTGCTTTTCGCACTCAGACGCCAGGCGGCCATCCTCCTCTCGAGCGCCGATGAGGCGGCCGCGCTGGAGGATTTGGCGAAGCTGAGCCAGGTGCGGGGGCCGTGGTTGAGGGATTCCCAAGATCGGGATCTCTGGGCTTGCTTTTTGGGGTATTTTTGAGGATGTCCTTTTGATGGACAGGTGGCTGTATCTCAACAAAAGGGCGGGGGGGGGGGGGGAATATATCGACATGGACCTCCGCAGTTTGGTGTTCCTAATGCCCTTTTCGTGCCGCGCTGGCTGCCAGCGCATTGAGAAAATGCATCTCATCGATGTGACGAGCCCGGGCTCTTTTTTGCATGCTAATGCGTGACATGCTTCTGTGACTTCGGGCATTGCCCGAACCATCGGCCGAGGTGGTGTGATTGGTACTGACAAATGCATGAATGCAGTGAACTTTCCCGGCGCCAAGTGCCAGTGACGAGTCAAGAGCCCTTGTAGGTTTGTGACCATCACTGGCACCTCCAAGAAACCTGCCGACGGTCAAAAGGTACACTATGGGAAAGTAGAAAAGCCCCCAAAAGCCTTCGGATGGCGAATTTCTCGTCATTTTCTGGAGCAAACCGTGTGTTTTGTTTTGCCATCTCGGCCCCGGGATTGTTTTTGTTGAGGACCTCGCCGGGCTGCTGATGCAGAACGTGCACCTGCTGACGCCCGCGGGTTTGGTGCTGGCCGGCACGGAGCTGAAGCTCTACCAGATCACCAACCTCGTGGAGGCTCCCGGGAGACCGGGCCTCTCCCGAAGCCCGGAAAGACACCGCGCAAAGCCCGGGGAGCCGGGTCAAAGGTCAAAACGCGGCGAGCGGCCGAAAGAACAAGACACCAAGATTGGTTGTTTTTTTTTGTTTTTTGTTTTTTTGGGGGGGGGGAGCAAAAACAGTTTTTGTTTTCCTTTTTTTTCTCCTCTTTTTTTCGAAAGGCCCAATGCAAGGGCTCGAAATGAAATTGGAAGGTTGGACGGGTAGAACTCACGGAGGCGTACAGCTTGTGAGGACTGCGCTTAAGGACTTTGCCGGTCAGAACAAACAGGTGACATGCATCAGTGCGGTCATCTCCGCTGTGTGTGTTTGGAAAATTCAGATGTGGGTACCCATAATCACTGGCATGCTTGTGCAGGCGTACATCGTTCGTTCCGCCTCCCTCTTTTCAGCCTTGCCGTTGTGTGCATGCCTGTGGCAGAGAGCTTGCGTCCTGCGTGTGTGACTTTGCGCTCGGATTGGATGGTGGTAGGGTTCTTTGGTTTGCTCAGATGCAGGATATTCGCACGTGCACATCTCATTTTCTATTCCGCACGTTGATGTCTCCACGACAAGTTCCAGGCTGGTGTGTGAACAACGGTTGTTTACACGGTGTTTACACAGAACAGTGGGCCATCGAACGTAAACAGGCAAATAGCATTGAACAGGTGCAGGGAGCCGATTGTCGGCTCGGAAAAAGATGGCACTTCTTGCAATAATGTAGACATGCCTCTGTTTGTGTTTGGGTGCGTTTGTTCCATCGATGCGATTGCCGTACTTCAAGCTTGCGGCGGCATTGGCGTCTCGTCTTGTCTTCTTTCCGCCAGAGAACGATTAGCAAGTTGCCCTGACCCCCTCCGATTGCACCAGGATATGTTGCGTCAGAACCGCTATCCACCGCTAGACTGGCTAGACACAAAGCTTCGGGGGAAAGGAGAGGTGTATCCACCCTGAGGGCGTGGCTTTAGGCTGTGTGCTTTTGCACCTTTTCACTGCCCAAGCTTCCATGGGATTCGTGTCACGACCGCCGCACACATGCACACGTACATACGCGTGCACATGCACAACACATACATGTACACGTACATACATATACACACACTGGTATGCAAACATAGACACACACACACACAGACACACGCACACGCGCAAAATCCACCCACACATCCGCACACCCACACACACACACACCCACACACCAACACACCGACACACACATACGCACAGTCACATACACGTATACACACATACACGCACACTCACTCTCTCTCTCTCTCACACACACCCCTGCACGCAGGGAATGAAGGCGCACCTGATCAAGAGTCACCATGCGGAGGCCGTGCAAAGGGTATCGGTGAAGTTGTCCCATTGGCCAAGTGAATGTGGTTTTGGCGGGCTGTCGGGCATGGAGCAACATGTGCTCTGGCAAGGGTGATGTTGAGACGACATCATGGGTACAGCTATGGTGTCCTACACGACATGACTTGTATTGGGGGGAGCAGGGTGTAACATGGCCAAGTTTGTACTTCAGCACTCATCATGAATCTTATTTGATGAGTGAACGAATGCTGTGCTTCTTGAAAGAGGGGCACACGTTCAAGTGGGTTGACCTTGTCATCACCCTCATCGAAATACATATACCTTTTCCGGGCTGATTCTGAATCTTCATCAACCTGACAGTTAACCAAGCAAACTCTTTTTAGAGCATGCAATGACAGCAATATGACCTGAGTTAATTTGCTCAAGCAAAAGCGAAGGTGAATGGCCACACCAGCTTCTTCGCGTGGCACACTTTGATGCACTTCTGCAATAGACCAAAGCAACGGAACTCTCCTTCTCCAAAGGAGAGTCCACCTTCACACTAAGAAGGCCCCCCTCTCCAGCACATGTTGAACTGGAGCCACTGGTCTGCGAAAGCCGCTTCTACAACCTCTCGGCATTCGGGTGGCGGGAGAGCGCTTTGCTCAAAGGAATAAAGTCAGAAGGACCCACCAACCCACTGCTTGGGCTCACATTCTGCTCCCCGCGCCCTTGGCCAGCGCTGCGGGCCGTCCTTGGCTGCGTGTCCATTTTTTTGGGGGGGAAGCAGATGCTTGTCCGGTTTTTTTTGGGGGGGGAAGCAGCCAGGTATGTTTTGGGGGACAGGGGCGATCTAAGATCTTCAGGTAGCAGAGGGCCTCATCAACTGCAGCCTCGAGCTGGAGGAGAAAGAGGACAGCTGGGCGAAATGGTTGGGGTGTGTCTTGAATTGGAAACCCTCGAAATGGCTGCGGGTCAAAAATATGTACCCAAAATGGAACCCTGGTAAATGGAAACATGGACTAAAACCTGCTGACCCATACCCAAATTGGGAATGTCCTTTCTCAAAGAAGGGGTGCCTTTGTCGTAGGTGAAATATGTCTCAACTCTGAAATCAAGGGGTTGCGGCTCCTTGCAGGACGCCGATAACCACAGAGCGATGGCTCTAGACGCTCGGCTTCTGCTAAACCAGCAAAACAATTTGCAGATCTGTTCAATCGCTGCAACGCTCTGATTGTTGCCCAGGCGGCCTTGTTGGCCGAAAGTCTGGTACTTTTGCAGGGGCCTGCGCGCAGCGCAAACCTTGCGGCCTGAAATGACTTAATACAAGCCACAGCGTCGGTCGACCTGTCCTATGGCACGCATCCATTGACCCAATCAGTTTGCCCCTTCCGAACTCAAATGCACTTGTTTGGCCCCACATAGTCAAACTCGCGCCGTTTCCAGCAGCCGGTCATAGCCGATGCGTCGCCTTCATGTTTCAGCAACATTTGTCCATCGTGCTTGCGTCACCCAAGAGCATGCATCTACATGCTTCAGCTAGTGTGTGTTGCGTACATTGTTCAACATGCAAATCCTGTTCATAACATGGCGTCACGTTTTGAACTAGCCTTTGTAATACTTCGCGCTGCTCAGGGACTCGGGGCGCATCGTACATCACAGATCTCACCCGTGGACAGCGGTGCTGTTAAAACGGATTCCCTCCAGGTGGATGGCTTCTTTGTGCTTTTTCATGCAAGCCAACCCAAAGGAGAACCCCCACGTTGAGACACTGCTGCTTCTCTTGTTGGGAAGACGTCAAACACCCCATCAACACAATCGAGGAACATATGCCGCAACGCTTTTGCTGTATCCATTGCTTTATGTCCACGCTTGATGTGCATTTGTGTGTTCCTCTTTGCAGGACTGTATACATGATTATGTAGACATGTCTGTATCAAACATTATTATGTAATTGTGTATATATGTAACATATACATGTTTGTATGCAGGTGCACGCGCACGTGCAGAAGTTCTTGTCATTTGTAGGCATGTAAATGCTCTTGTCCAAGCACGCTCTTGCCAGTGTGCAGAGAAGTGCTGTTCCCACTGCACATGACATTGTTTCAGAAGACATGGCTGAAGAACGCTACGGAAAAATCGTGCTGTTTTCGTCAGGTGGTTGCATCTTGAAGTTGCCTACAAACGAACTGGCCTGCATCTATACAGATAGATAGATAGACAAACAGACAGACAGACGGACAGACAGACATACAGACAGACAGACAGACAGATAGATAGATAGACTAGACCAGACTAGACTAGACTAGACCAGACTAAACTAGACTGGATAGATTGGATAGAATAGACAGATTAGATAGAATAGAAAGATTAGATTGAGTTAGATAGATTAGATAGATTATATAGAATGGATAGTATGGATAGATTAGATTAGATTAGATTAGATTAGAGTAGATAGATAGATAGATAGATAGATAGATAGATAGATGGATAGGTAGATAGGTAGATAGGTAGATAGGTAGATAGGTAGATAGGTAGATAGGTCGATAGATCGATAGATAGATAGATATAGAGAGCCGTATGCCTATGCATATGCCTTTGTTCTGCATATCTTCCGCCAGGGGGGGCTTAAACACGAGCGCGTTGCAGAGGAACCCTTCCAAGCGACAAGCTGGCTTCCCGAGGTATGTTCACCAGTAGCAGTTTTAAGAATGCGCCAAGCCCGGAAATGGGGGATTTCTGTGAACGGGCCAGTGCCCGTGACATTGACAGCATATCCTTGCCGGGCTTCCATGCCCGGGGAGATTTCCTTGCATGCCGAGATTTCCCTCGGCGTGCCCTGGGATGTTGTGACCGTGGGCAAGGTCGACGTTCTCGACCAGGCTTCCAAGCTGCCGTTGGAAACTCAAAGGTTGAGGTCCAAATGTTTGCCGAGGGCTGATATTTTGTTTGCGCGTGCCCGCGGAGCTTGCTTGTTTTGTTTTGTTTTGTTTTGTGTTGTATTGGATTGTTTGGCTTGGTTTGTTTGTTTGTTCTGTTGTGTAGTTTGGTCGTGTCCCGTCCCGTCCCGTCCTGAACTGTCCTGTCCTGTCCGGTGCTGTCCTGTCCTGTCCTGTCTGTCTGTCTGTCTGTCTGTGTGTTTGTGTGTCCGTGTGTCTATGTTTTCGTTTGTTTGCTTGCTTGCTTGTTTGTTCGGTTGCTTTTTTTGTTTGTTCCGTTTGCTGTTTTGTTTGTTTGTTTTTTGTTTGTGTGTTTGTTTCTTTGTTTGTTTGTTTGTTTGTTTGGTTGGTTGGTTGGTTGTTTGCTTGCTTGCTTGGTTGGTTGCTTGCTTGTTTGTTTGTTTGTTTGTTTGCTTGCTTGCTTGCTTGCTTGTTTGTTTGTTTGTTTGTTTGTTTGTTTGTTTGTGTGTCTGTGTGTTTGATTGTTTGCTTGTTTGTTTGTTTGTTTGTTTGTTTTGTTTGGTTTGGTTTGGTTTTGTTTTGTTTGTTTGTGTGTGTGTGTCTGTGTGTGTGTGCGGAGTGGCAGAATACCCTGCCACCATAAAATTTGTCCCGCTGCAGCAGGGGCTTGACCATGTCTGTTTGGAGTCGGCCGCCACCACCCTGGATGATCTAGCATGGAGTAGCTAGCGCACTGCTGGCGGTCCGGAAGAGGAGAGTGCGTTTGCGAAAGATGTGTAGACTTCCTCGGTGCCGAAACTCCATTGCCCTGGCGGACACCCTGGAAACCCCGAGCACCTCGGTGATTCAAAGTCCTTTTGGCCCGGTGTTTCTCTCGCTGTGTGTGCTTCATGTTGAACCTTGTAACGTTTTCGCCTCTAGAGGGAAGCTGAGTGCCTTGCGAGCCGAAACTTATGCATGAAGAACCTTATCCAAGCCGAGACTTACCAGTTGTACTCGAAAGGATTAGCACCCTCCATCTGGAGTCTAAGTGTGTACACCCCACTCGTGGGGAATCCTCGGGTGTACCCATCGTGTGACCCCGGGCCGGCTTTGTCGGAAAATTTGACCTCAACGTGCTTATCATAGAACAGCGGAATTTCACATTTAACCAGGAACGAGGTTTCACTAAAGGGAAGACAGCCACCTCTTCATAGTTACGTTTCACAATGCTGGATGTCGCTGCTGGCAGCTTCTTTTGCGCCTTGCGTTGGGAACTTGCATGTCCATGGTCATGCGTTATCATTGATTGTGCCATGCGCGGTAAACATGCATGTCCTTGGTCTTGAGCTGCCGTTGATTGTGGCTGTCGTTTGTATCCTTCCTCAAGGACGAGCTTTATCTTTTCGGACGTGTTGCTGTTTTGTCATGTCACGCCGGGATGATCGTGACAGATCCAGAATTCGGCGCAGACGGGATCAGAGTCCTTCCCCCCAGCCTCGCAAAGCATGCCGACGTGAACACAATGACAATCAGGTTTCGGAGGGCATGGATTGGAACAACCTGGTCTCCTGGCAACATAATTCGGGCTACAACACCAACAACACCTTTCCAGTGATGCCAGGCAATTGGCGTCATTGATCAAGTGGTCCAATCACCCATCCCGTTTCAACGGCAACAAGTCCTTGGAATCCATGTCGACCCAGTTTTTTCAGGCGTGTCAATGCATCCCAAAAGGAGATGCACCTACGTTTGCGGCTATGGCGGCTCTGTGGGGACTTGAGCCTGGCTACATCACCAAGCTTACTGACAAAGCGTTGTGTCACCTTATCGTGACTGCCCGCTTACTCACAGGGTGAGCAGTTTACTTTGCTTACATATGAGCCCGGAGTGGCAGTTGTGTCAAGATTGATGAACGGTTCAAAGCTTGTTCGTCCTCTTCTTGCTCAGTAATTGTTTGGTGAAGTGTTTGGCTTTGTTTGCATTGTGCATTGCCTGGTGCTCATTGCTTCTTGCATGTATGTCGCCGCCACGTTGTAGTTTTCATTGGCTGCATATCCATCATGTTGGCTGAATTTCGCCGCTGTGGAATCTATGATGATGTTGCGCAATGGCATTCTTAGACATTTTTCTGCACTCGCTGACAGTGTTCTCTACGTGCTGGCAATACTGCTTTCCTGGATTTCCACCACCGTCGATTCCAATGGATGAATATGAGTCAATTGAGCAACTACCTCGGTTGGACCTCATCCTGGAAGTACTAGTCGTGGTTCGGATCGCACTTCAGATTCCGATACACTCCATGTCGCGGTCCTACCACACCGTGGCCAACAGGTATGAGCTTCATAGATGCCGGAGCACTGCTTATCTGTTGATCAGTTTTTTGCAGCGTTTCATTTTTCAAGACTATGGGTACAGTCCGCCGTTCTTCGAGGTTCTTCACTTCTACAAGACGTCACTGCTGTGTGAAATCATGCACTCCACATTTGCGGATATGAGACACCTTCGATCATTACGGACACTCTTCCCGGACCTCTATGACTTCATTCAGGATCCAGGTCACCATCAACAGCCATGCGTCTACATCAGATTTTTCCACGGCACAGTCTTTACTACGTTGGAGCAACAGATCAGGATGGATGGCATGGATGGCATAGATGGCATGGATGGCATGGATGGCATGGATGGCATGGATGGCATGGATGGCATGGATGGCATGGATGGCATGGATGGCATGGATGAAACCGCTTGTCTTGCCTTGTCTTGCGGACTTGAGTGTTCAAATCATGCTGGAGCAAAATGTGCAGACATTCATAACTTGGACCCATGGAGCGCAGCCGGCGCAGCCGACGTGGTTACAATATCACGGACCAAACTACCCGGCCGGTACATTGCTCGATAGACCATTTCGATTGACGGCATCACCACCACCTTCACCACAGTTTCTACTACTTCCTCCTCCTCCTCCACCACCACCACCGCCACCGATGATTATTCATCCACAGTTCATGACCTCATTGCGAACCTCCTCTACCCCTTCTCCTCGAGGACAGTCATGCCCGGCTACTATGGTCTCTGAGCGCACACGACGCTCAGTTTGCAGAGCTGACCAATCCCGTGCTGACGATCTACGCAGTCTCACGCGTTCCCCGAAACGCACTGAACACAATGACAACCTGGTCTCGGATGGCATGGATTGGAACAATTTGGTTTCTTGACAACACAGTTCGGGCTACAACACTTCCAGTGCATTTCTGGAGAGGCATGGAATGGATTCGGGTTTACACACCGGGCATGTGGCAGCCTGTGGCTGCATCCACCTTGGGCCCCACTTCCACGTATCGGGAGTGGCGCAGGGTATATACCATTTTGATGTGTATTTACCCCGTGATGCCTGTCTCCTACGCGTTTTATCACGTGTGGGAATTCCGAGATTGGCGCACGCGTGGTTATCAACGTTTTGGTGTCCCATGTCCATCCATTGGATCGACGGTTTTTTTTACGTATCCACCACTACTACGACCATCACCACTACCACGACCACTACAACTACTACGACCACAACAACCACCATTACGACCACTACTACCACGACCACCACCACTACAACTGCCACCACCACTACCGCTACTACAACCACCACCACCACGACCACCACCACCACCACTACGACTACGACCACCGCTACAACAACCACTACAACCACTACGACCACTACGACCACCACCTATATTACCACCACTACCACTACTACCACCACCACTACCACCACCACCACCACCACTACGACGACCACCACTACTACAACCACCGCTACTGCTACCACCACCACCACGATCACCACCACCACCACGACCACCACTACAACAACCACCACCACCACTACGACGACCACCACTACTACAACCACCGCTACTGCTACCACCACCACCACGACCACCACCACCACCACCACCACCACGACCACCACTACAACAACCGCCACCACCACTACTACCACCATCACGACCACCACCACCACCACCACAACCACCACCACCACGACCGCCATTACCACCACGATCGGTAGACTTTCTCCTCTCTGAGGGGCGTGTGTGTGCGGAGTGGCAGAATACCCTGCCACCATAAAACTTTTTCCGCTGCAGCAGGGGCTTGACCATGTCTGTTTGGAGTCGTTCGTCCTCTTCTTGCTCTGTAATTGTTTGGTGAAGTGCTTGGCTTTGCTTGCATTGTGCATTGCTTGGTGCTCATTGCTTCTTGCATGTATGTCGCCGCCACGTTGTAGTTTTCATTGGTTGCATATCCATCATGTTGGCTGAACTTCGCCGCTGTGGAATCTATGATGATGTTGCACAATGGCATTTTTAGACATTTTTCTGCACTCGCTGACAGTGTTCTCTACGTGCTGGCAATACTGCTTTCCTGGACTTCACCACCGTCGATTCCAATGGATGAATATGAGTCAATTGAGCAACTACCTCGGTTGGACTTCATCCTGGAAGTACTAGTCGTGGTTCGGATCGCACTTCAGATTCCGATACACTCCATGTCGCGGTCCCACCACACTGTGGCCAACAGGTATGAGCTTCATAGATGCCGGAGCACTGCCTATCTGTTGATCAGTTTTTTGCAGCGTCTCATTTCTCAAGACTACGGGTACATTCCGCCGTTCTTCGAGGTTCTTCACTTCTACAAGACGTCACTGCTGTCTGAAATCATGCACTCCACTTTTGCGGATATGAGACACCTCGATCACTACGGACACGCTTCCCGGACCTCTATGACTTCATTCAGGATCCAGGTCACCATCAACAGCCATGCATCTACATCAGACTTTTTCCATGGCACAGTCTTTACTACGTTGGAGCAACAGATCAGGATGGATGGCATGGATGGCATAGATGGCATGGATGGCATGGATGGCATGGATGGCATGGATGGCATGGATGAAACCGCTTGTCTTGCCTTGTCTTGCGGACTTGAGTGTTCAAATCATGCTGGAGCAAAATGTGCAGACATTCATAACTTGGACCCATGGAGCGCAGCCGACGTGGTTACAATATCACGGACCAAACTACCCGGCCGGTACATTGCTCGATAGACCATTTCGATTGACGGCATCACCACCACCTTCACCACAGTTTCTACTACTTCCTCCTCCTCCTCCACCACCACCGCCACCGATGATTATTCATCCACAGTTCACGACCTCATTGCGAACCTCCTCTACCCCTTCTCCCCGAGGACAGTCATGCCCGGCTACTATGGTCTCTGAGCGCACACGACGCTCAGTTTGCAGAGCTGACCAATCCCGTGCTGACGATCTACGCAGTCCCACGCGTTCCCCGAAACGCACTGAACACAATGACAACCTGGTCTCGGATGGCATGGGTTGGAACAACTTGGTCTCCTGACAACACAGTTCGGGCTACAACACTTCCAGTGCGTTTCCGGAGAGGCATGGAATGGATTCGGGTTTACACACCGGGCATGTGGCAGCCTGTGGCTGCATCCACCTTGGGCCCCACCTCCACGTATCGGGAGTGGCGCAGGGTATACCACTTTGGCGTGTACTTACCCCGTGATGCCTGTCTGCTACGCGTCCTGGTTTTCAACGCCTTGATGTCCCACGTCCATCCATTGGATCGACGGGTCTCCTACGTATCCACCACTACCACGACCATCACCACTACCACGACCACTACAACTACTACGACCACAACAACCACCACTACAACCACTACTACCACGACCACCGCCACTACAACTACCCACCACCACTACCGCTACTACAACCACCACCACCACCACGACCACCACCACCACCACTACGACTACGATCACCACTACAACAACCACTACAACCACTACGACCACTACGACCACCACCACTACTACCACCACTACCACTACTACCACCACCACTACCACCACCACCACCACCACTACGACGACCACCACTACTACAACCACCGCTACTGCTACCACCACCGCCATGACCACCACCACCACCACGACCACCACTACAACAACCACCACCACCACTACGACGACCACCACTACTACAACCACCGCTACCACCACCACCACGACCACCACCACCACCACCACGACCACCACTACAACAACCACCACCACCACTACTACCACCATTACGACCACCACCACCACCACAACCACCACCACTACGACTGCCATTACCTGCGATCGGTAGACTTTCGCCGCTCTCTGAGGGGCGTGTGTGTGCGGAGTGGCAGAATACCCTGCCACCATCAAACTTTTTCCGCTGCAGCAGGGGCTTGACCATGTCTGTTTGGAGTCGTTCGTCCTCTTCTTGCTCTGTAATTGTTTTGTGAAGTGCTTGGCTTTGCTTGCATTGTGCATTGCTTGGTGCTCATTGCTTCTTGCATGTATGCCGCCGCCACGTTGTAGTTTTCATTGGTTGCATATCCATCATGTTGGCTGAACTTCGCCGCTGTGGAATCTATGATGATGTTGCACAATGGCATTTTTAGACATTTTTCTGCACTCGCTGACAGTGTTCTCTACGTGCTGGCAATACTGCTTTCCTGGACTTCCACCACCGTCGATTCCAATGGATGAATATGAGTCAATTGAGCAACTACCTCGGTTGGACCTCATCCTGGAAGTACTAGTCGTGGTTCAGATCGCACTTCAGATTCCGATACACTCCACGTCGCGGTCCCACCACACTGTGGCCAACAGGTATGAGCTTCATAGATGCCGGAGCACTGCCTATCTGTTGATCAGTTTTTTGCAGCGTCTCATTTCTCAAGATTATGGGTACATTCCGCCGTTCTTCGAGGTGCTTCACTTCTACAAGACGTCACTGCTGTGTGAAATCATGCACTCCACTTTTGCGGAGATGAGACACCTCGATCACTACGGACACGCTTCCCGGACCTCTATGACTTCATTCAGGATCCAGATCAGCATCAACAGCCATGCGTCTACATCAGACTCTCTCCATGGCACAGTCTTTACTACGTTGGACCAACAGATCAGAATGGATGGCATGGATGGCATAGATGGCATGGATGGCATGGATGGCATGGATGGCATGGATGGCATGGATGGCATGGATGAAACCGCTTGTCTTGCCTTGTCTTGCGGACTTGAGTGTTCAAATCATGCTGGAGCAAAATGTGCAGACATTCATAACTTGGACCCATGGAGCGCAGCCGACGTGGTTACAATATCACGGACCAAACTACCCGGCCGGTACATTGCTCGATAGACCATTTCGATTGACGGCATCACCACCTCCACCACAGTTTCTACTACTTCCTCCTCCTCCTCCACCACCACCACCGCCACTGATGATTATTCATCCACAGTTCATGCCATTGCGAACCTCCTCTACCTCCTCTACCCCTTCTCCTCGAGGACAGTCATGCCCGGCTACTATGGTCTCTGAGCGCACACGACGCTCAGTTTGCAGAGCTGACCAATCCCGTGCTGACGATCTACGCAGTCCCACGCGTTCCCCGAAACGCACTGAACACAATGACAACCTGGTTTCGGATGGCATGGATTGGAACAACTTGGTCTCTTGACAACACAGTTCGGGCTACAACACTTCCAGTGCATTTCCGGAGAGGCATGGACTGGATTCGGGTTTACACACCGGGCATGTGGCAGCCTGTGGCTGCATCCACTTTGGGCCCCACCTCCACGAATCGGGAGTGGCGCAGGGTATACCACTTTGGCGTGTACTTACCCTGTGATGTTTGTTTTTTACGCGTTTTATCATGAGTGGGAATTCCGAGATTGGCACACGCGTGATTATCAATGTTTTGGTGTCCCACGTCCATCCATTGGATTGACGGGTTTCCTACGTATCCACCACTACTGCGACCATCACCACTACCACGACCACTACAACTACTACGACCACAACAACCACCACTACGACCACTACTACCGCGACCACCACGACTACAACTACCACCACCACTACCGCTACTACAACCACCACCACCACGACCACCACCACCACCACTACGACTACGACCACCGCTACAACAACCACTACAACCACTACGACCACTACGACCAACACCACTACTACCACCACTACCACTACTACCACCACCACTACCACCACCACCACCACCACTACGACGACCACCACTACTACAACCACAGCTACTGCTACCACCACCACCACGACCACCACCACCACGACCACCACTACAACAACCACCACCACCACTACGACGACCACCACTACTACAACCACCGCTTACTGCTACCACCACCACCACGACCATCACCACCACCACCACGACCACGACTACAACAACCACCACCACCACTACTACCACCATCACGACCACCACCACCGCCACCACAACCACCACCACCACGACCGCCATTACCACCACGATCGGTAGACTTTCGCCCCTCTCTGAGGGGCGTGTGTGTGCGGAGTGGCAGAATACCCTGCCACCATAAAACTTTTTCCGCCGCAGCAGGGGCTTGACCATGCCTGTTTGGAGTCGGCCGCCACCACCCTGGATGATCTAGCATGGAGTAGCTAACGCACTGCTGGCGGTCCGGAAGAGGAGAGTGCAACCCCGAGCACCTCGGTGATTCAAAGTCCTTTTGGCCCGGTGTTTCTCTCGCTGTGTGTGCTTCATGTTGAACCTTGTAACGTTTTCGCCTCTAGAGGGAAGCTGAGTGCCTTGCGAGCCGAAACTTATGCATGAAGAACCTTATCCAAGCCGAGACTTACCAGTTGTACTCGAAAGGATTAGCACCCTCCATCTGGAGTCTAAGTGTGTGTGTGTGTGTGTGTTTGTTTGTTTGTTTGTTTGTTTGTTTGTTTGTTTGTTTGTGTGTGTGTGTGTGTGTGTGTTTGCAAGCCGCCTGGAAACGTTTGGTTGCAGAGGCAGCCACGGCGTTTTTTTTTGCCCGGTCTGGCCACCATTGCTTAGCTTTGGGGGCCTTTGCCTTGTGAAGTAGTGATTGGGGCTGTTGGAAGCACGCCTCCATGGCTGAGCCTGACCCATGCTTTTGCAGTCCAGACTTGCAGTTCCACAAACGTCCAGCTGAGCGGGTTTTTGCCTTGGGACGGGGGGCTTGGTAGCAACTACACATCAATAATTGCCTTCAACATTTTGTCCAACTGCCAGAGGGGTTGAAGCTCCTCTTGCGTGACGGAGTTGAAACGAGCCGAACCTTTATTAAACTTTATGATTTTCACGCCAAAGAGCGCAGGCCAAGGACAACTGCGCTCTTGCGCTCACTGTGGCAGCGATGAGACTTGTCCGCAACCTGAAGGATACCAGGTGCCTCACTTATTTTACCTGGCGAATGTTGTCGCACGTGTTGGCTCGCAAATTCGCAGTTGGATGATATAGGCAGAGCCGCGATTGCTGCTGCTGCTGCTGCTGCTGCTGCTGCGGCTGCTGCTGCTGCTGCTGCTGCTCCCGCCCTGCTGCGTTTGGTTAAGTTGGCAGAGGGGGATCTGGTATCTCTGAAGCAGGTGGCAGTCACGGCCGCCATAGGAACCGGGTGTTCTCCACTGGGCCCACGCGTCGAACCCGAGGAACGAGGTTCGACGCAGCCGCTCCTGCGCTGTCCTGGAGGAGCGAAACAAGCATGCGCCGACGTGTCGCGTAGAGAGACTTGCATGGGCAGCCTGTGCACAGCAGATGAGTCTGGGCAGCCTCAAGAGCCACCTGGGAAAAATCAAGTAGTGAGAACACACTGGGGAGCTCCAAATGCTATGACGTTGTTTTCCGTTTTTGGGCTTTGCCAAACCATCTGACTGCTTCGCACAGGAGATTGCGGAGATCGCCCGAAAGACTCAGTGCAAGCTGGCAACTTGGCGTGTCACACGTTACCGTGAAAGGGGACGGTCCGCCGCAAGGAGTATCGAGAATGGAAAGCGAAGCACAGCTTTCAGATGTTTTTTTTCAAAAGTGCCAATCTACGTCCAACCCCTCTGAAGAGGCCGCAGATGGCACGCAAAGAAGAAGGCGAGCTGGAATCCCTGAAAGTCGTCCTCCCCAATGAAGTGTCCTCTCAAAGCTCTTCCACGTCAATCTGGATCCACACCAAGGTGGACACGATCGGGAAGGATGCCGATATCCCAAACATCGAGCCCTGGCCCTCTACTGCGATTCTGCCGCTGCCACCCCTCGGCTGGTTTGACGCGCCGGTCCTGAGCGGCTCTGCTGGGAAAAGAATGGAACTAAATCATGAGAATGGGGTTTTGGGATACCCTTCTGTTCTCTAACACGGAACTCACCATTTGGTCCCTTTTAAAGGAGACTGGTCTTTCAGGACCCTTGAGTCAGATTCCATGTCAGCGGACGGGAGCGCGCTAAACCAAAGTTACCTTGTGATCACGGGATAAAGATGTTTGCATTTTAGGCGCTGATAGAGGCACAGCTAGCAGCTAGGGCACAGGGTTGCCGGATCTTTAGCATGCAACGATTTCCCCGCGTTCTGCATCGGAGATATCTCTACGACCGAGTTTAAGGGGTATCGTGCTCGAAGGTTCTTGGTCCCCAGTATGCGTGGGCAACAGGAGCAAGCTCAGACTAGCAACTTGTATTGTGAGTAAGGGACGGTTATGACTTGCGGGATGAACTACTGATGAGGTTGCTAGAGAAAGCAGGGCGTAAGCATTCTTCATCTAGGGAAAGTTTCTCGCTGAGGGTGTTTTGCAAAGCACATATGTATCATACAAACGCGCACACACACACACACAATCATGTATATGGATGAAATTCATGTCCGTCTTGAATGGTAAGGGTTTCCGTGGCTGGGTTTTGGGCACTCGCAAGTTGCAATTGTTTCATGCGGCAAGCGTCCGTTTGGACCGATGGCCTAAGTAGAGGTGTGCCTTTTTTGAGACAGCAAATCTTAGAACTATTTGTCCAGCCGCTGGAGTTGATTCTCTGTGCGTGGCACATTGACGTGCCTGGAGATAGACAAAATACAAGACATCCCGTGCGTTGCATACTCACCTTGCAGGGTGCTGGTAGTTTGATCATCAGTGACTGGAGGGCGCCCAGTTGGCTCGCGAAACGTTGAAAGGTTCCTTCAGGATCTCTTGGCAGCAGCCTGCATCAAGCTGTAAGTGAACCAGAGTGCGGGGCTTTTGTGGGGGTTCGTTTTGTGCACGACACAACTTAATGGTCACCGCAATGATACACTGCAACTGCAGTACTTAACCAGGCACTTTGCCCCAGCTGGCTTAGCCAGCAAACACTAGCCGTAGCTTTGATCACATGCGTTGGGTGTCCTGTATGCTGCCTATTGCCCGATCAGAATGCAGAGCCATACTATGCAAACACAGTTGGCACCAGTTGCTTCAGCCCCAATCACTGCACTGGAACACACTGGCTGCTATCCAAGGTGATGCAGGACTCAGCCCACCCCGTTCAGCGAGCGCCAAAGTTGATGGTGGCCCGACTTGCAATTGAGGCTTCTATTTTGGTGTGTGTGTGGGTGCTGTTGGATGACTTTGTTCCACCCCAAGCAAGCAAACAAGCAAGCGAGCAAGCAAGCAAGCAGGCAAACAGGCCAGCATGCAAGCACATATCAAATAAGCAATTAGGAAGCAAGCAAGCAACCAACCAAGAAGCAAGCAAATACAAAAACAAAACAGCAAGCAAACAAGCAAGCCGAATCCCACGCTAAAGCGCCGACGGGCAATCACCAGCGCGGCAGCCGCTTTGCTTGCGGGTGCTTTTCAACTTTTGTGGCGAACACGACCTTTTCATTCACCCCACATATTGGAAACCCTTCGCTGCGGGGGGAAGTGTGTGGAGATTCATGGAGATAGCTCACGAACCATAGGTGTCCTTTTTGGTTGATCTTTTTTAAGAAAAACAGAAAAATAGAGGGCCCTGGTTTAGATGCTTTTTTCCACCATTTACCAGGGCCATCTATTTTCCCAAAAGGCCGCCTATGTCACGAACGGTGTCCGTACCAATGAGGCAGATGCCAAGTTGTGACCGAGGCTTAGAAGGCGATGCGACTTCTGGCGACGAAGTCTTTGGCGATGGCCCTAGTGGAGTAATGAGAAACCTAGACTCGTCCAGCATGGAGAACGGGCGCAAAACGATGGGCGTGTTATTTGTGATGTGCAATGGGCAAAGTCAAGGTACTTGCATCGGTGATATTTTCTCTCAATTGGATGGCTTGAAATCCAGGGAACCAGCTTGCATTTACTTGGCTGATGTTCAAACACGCATTTACTTGGCTGATGAGTTGTCAGTTGGGTTCAAACATCCTCGCTGGCAGATAAACCATGCGTTTGTCCGTGCGTCGCGACCGGACATTTTGCAACACTGACAAAGACTTGGCCGCTTTGCCATCTCGTTTGCATGGAGACCAGGTAGAGCATGGTTTTCCAAGGCTTTCCCTTCAGCTTCCATAGTTTGCGGGGCTGATTTTGCTCGCTCGTGACGCGAGAGATCATTCAGTGGGGCCAAACTCCAAAGGCGCAGCTTCGATCTTCCGAATCGATAGCTTTACAGCAACATAGTTTTAAAAGAACTCATGCAGAGCATTGGCTGTGTCTCAGTGCGGCAAGCGACATTGAAGGCCCTGGATTGATGAAACATGATAATACTGGCGGATCAGGGGATGCGAAAGAACTAGTGATGCAGGTCCACTCAGCCCCTCCCCCCAAACAAAAAAGCAAAACGACGAGGGTTGCATTACTCAAAATCCACCAGGGGGTTTTGAACTCTGCGGTCTTTTAATGGGCTCCGGGCTCCAGGCTCCCGTATTCAAAATTGAAGCAAACCCCGGCGCCCTTCTCCTGACGGCCCTAGGCCATCCGCGCGCAGGGCTGGCTCCTGAACCAGGTCTGAGAAGGCTCGGGCCAATCAAGCCCACGTAGCGCTGACATCGACACGTTTCACCATTCAAGCCGTTGCGAGCCCCACGCAACGTAGCTAGATACAAGGAACACTTACCAACTTTAAACGAGTCGTTGAGCCATTTCCAGAGTCGAGCAACGTTCCAAAAACCCTGTATTCGGGAGGACACCTCGTTTCAAAATGTTGATTTCTCCTAGGTCGCGGGAGCGTCGCGAAAGGTTCGTGTATCATTATGTACTCGCGCAAGCTTTGCGGAAGGGCTATTGCCCGACCCTGTACTGTCCACTCCTTGAAGATAAGAAGTTGTAGTTGTCCTGCACTCGCGGCAGCGAAAGCGCACCTAAAACCCAAAGCTCATCCGCGCAAAAAGCGACGCCGGAAGCGCTTCCCTCTTCAAAGCTTCGCGCGAAAGGAACCTTTGCCGCGCAAGCTCCGGGAATCCTTCGCGGAAGGGGTTTGATATTTCTCTTCGGCCGCAACTGAGTTTAGAGCACTGCTCAGTTGTCAAGTCATTCACTTAACTTGATAATGTTTTTTCTTAGATGTGTCTCCTATGCCAGGAACAGACTCAGCTTGAGATCTTATCCAAGGGCGTGGTCGAGCTGCTTGCTTGGCCGGAAAAGGCTGCCGGGATGATTGTTGCTTGCGAGCGTTCCAAAACGCGACCTTCTCAGCTTGGCCGACACTTCCTGTGGCCATTTGCATGTACCACATGTCCTTTGGGCACAGCTCTGCCAACACCCTGTGGATTGCCAGGCAGCCAGTAGCCAGTAGTCACACTCCGGCTCCCTCGAGGGGGCACTAGGTGAGCACATGTTCGTTTCGAAGCAAGCCAATGACCTGGTTTGGGTTTGACGTGGACAAGGCGCCCGACTGCTTGTGCAACATGGGAATGGGTTCCCTTTGATCACAACCAGATGACAACTAGCATGCCGGTTTGCTACATTTATGGTTTTCTGATTTCGCCCGCTCCGTGAGTTGCTTAGTGCAAATGTGGCCGATAAGCATTGCACTGAGCTGCTTTTGAATGGATTTGGTGTTTCTGACACAGCCTACCTAAATCCCTCATGTGCCTGTCGCGAGTTTTTCAGGTGTGCGTTTCGCGGATTCGTTTCGGATCCTTGCAGCCGCGCTCGTGCCCGCAGCCGGCTTCTGGCTCCCCCTGTGGGAGCCGGCGGATTTTCGGAGGCGGGGGGGGGGTGGGGTGATGGCTTGGCATTGAGGAATCACGCGTTCTCGGCTCTTTTTGTTGCCGGATTTGCTGTTTCATGAGGCAGGGGGAAACTGGGAACTTCTCATGGGCCTGGTTGTGGGTTGAGTTTGCTATCCCAAGACAGGTTCCAGAAAGATCGGTCCATTTTTGCCAGCACGTTGGATGCAGAAGATTCAGATTTCCTTTAATTCGCCTCCAGATCTCGATACCTCATGTTAGTTTCCTTGAACGTTTCGAAGTGAATCTTTTCCCACCTGCAGATGCTTGCCCCAAATCAATCCCATGGGCCCTGGGGAAGGGGGAGGGGGGGCGGGGCCCTGGTTTTCCCCAAAAAGAGACAGCCGAGGTGACGCCATGTTTTGGCACGGTGCCGCTGTGCAGGGTGTTTTTAAGCACAGGGTGGTGAGGGTGCCGGAGATGTGACGAGTTGTGCAGGGTGCGCAAGGGCGCTAGCGGGCGTCTTCTGTGGGGTATCTTCCACTGCAAAGAGGGCCTCTGAAAGGCTCCAGACAACTTGACAGCCCACATCCCGGCGCCCTCCCAGGTAGGAAAGATCATCCTGGCGAGGCGGGTGCGCGTTGCGGCTCGGAGATCAAAGAACCCTTTCAGATGTGGATGCCTTGTCATGTCCTCATCAGAGAATCTTCAAGTTTCAGCCCTCCATGAGGGCAGATCGGGAGTTTGCCAATCTCAGCTGCGATCGTTGTGCAAAGGTGTTTGGATATGTTGCAGAGCTCAGCCGGGCTTACGCCCTATCGGCTTGCTGGTGGTTGATGACAATTGATGCCTTTCTGAGCCATTGTTGAGCTTCATCCACTGAGCTTCAAGACGTGTAGCGCTATTCCTCCGCCTGAAGAGCGCTTTCAAGGGCCTTGTCAGCATGGGTTGACTTCCATAAACTGCCTTGATTTCATCCACTTCGCTCTCAACACTGAAAGGAGTGATGCTTGAACCCTTTCTAGGTTTGCCTGCATGTGTTTGAAGTTGCATTCCTGCACAATTCCCACGTCTTCAGATGCTGACTGGGTTCTTGCATCCGGACGGCCATTGACGTGCCACAGTGTTTTGAGTTGCAGGCTCCCGCTGAGCACCGCCCGGGCTGCCCAAATCAATGTGTTTTGCGGTGGAGGATGGACACTGGACTTTGCCGTTCCCAACTCTGAGGGTTTTTGTACAACATGCGGGACATCAACAGCATGGCGGTGACCCCAAATGGATCAACATGCCCATGAGGCGCTTCACCACGTTGACTCAGTTGACCGCACGCTTGCCAGGCCTATGGACTAGGGGCCTGCCAGGAGCCGCAAAAGTGGGGGGGGGGGAGCCAGTGGCAAGCGACATAGCAGAGTATCGAAGGGCACACCCTAAGAATACATTTTGGGTAGTACTGGCGTCTAAGCGGAATTGAGCGGCCTTCCATGCTGGCATGCTGCATTGTCGCCACAATAGACTAGAGCCGCAACATGATGTTGTCGCATATCGCCCCCAGACATGCAACCTGTGAAGACTGACAGGACATGCAGTCTGTGTCAGCGGCAAGCTTTTCCGACTTGTGCAAAATTGGATTATATTCCTGCCAACTATTGTTTTGACGGTGGACTGCATATCAACAATACGAAGGTGACTTAGCTTTATGACCCAGGTTCCTCCAGGAGGCGATTGCGTGGCAGACGCACAACTACTCCCAACAACGCCACGCAATGCTCATGGGCAAAAACTCCCATGAATATGTTCGCCGGCCTGCGCCCTGCCACCAACAACAGGTCATTGTTGCATGACTGATACGGGTGTTGCAATCGTTTGTACGTTGATTGTCTTGATATTGCCGCACGTTTTTGAGCCATGTGCGTCATGAGGACTGGAAAAGTTGGACACTGCCATGCCATTTGGAAGCAAGCAGCCATGCTCGACTAGCTAGGACTCAAACATATAGACATTTTGAATTCATTTCCTGGCATGCTCACAGCCTATGATTTTAGCAAGCTGCATCAGTTGGCGTAGTTCGCCAGCCGTTCGCCAAGTTGCCTGCAGGATTTGCTGGTGAGAAATGCCAGAGAAGCTGAATGGTTACAACAAGGCCGACGGATTCGTTTGACCCCATCTCAGTAGGTTTTGCAGTCATAGCCAATCTTAGCCACCTGAGATAACTAGCAGACCATTCCCACAGGAAAATTTAGCATCTTTGTGAGAATTTAGCATCTTTGTGTGCTTGTGCTGGCCTGTTCGATGCATCACGTTTTTGGCCGTCGTGCACGTAGGCAATGCTAGGCAATAGGCAGCCGATTTTTAGTGCACCCCACGCCCCATGGAGCGTGGTACAAAGATCGAGCGATATTTCATGGTCAAGCGCTACGCATGGATTGTTGCCGGCCAGGAACAAAGATGAGGGCAAGTTGGCGTGGCTTTAACTAGGTGACCTCCGCCGGGGTTTTGGAAAGCCCAAAAGGCACCCTGTGTCTAGCATGTTCAACAGTGCGATGGCCAAAGCGGACATTGGCCGAACTCTCAGACTGACCTCTTACCTTCGTGGTTGAGCTGAGGTGTTGCGTGCATTGCGGACTTCCCACAATTTCAGATTCACAACAGCTTGGCTTAGCTGCTGGGTCCCCAAGCAACTCCAACATCACTCAGACTAGTGGGCCTGTCGCTTTTAAGGGTCCCCCCTTTTTTTGTGGCATTTTAAAGGGAAGCCCAAAAAAGACCCGCCATGTTGGTCGCCCCCAAAAGCACCCACCCAATCGACGCATCACCGCAGGTCTTCTGCCAAGGCCGCTTCATCTCGGGCCCAGATGCTCGCTCCAGCGCCCTCTCGGCGCCATGGGGCGCATTCAGACTCAGCGTTTCCGAAAGGACCAAAGCTTGCCCCTGGGTTTTTCCGGGCTCCTGGGTCGTTTTCATATAAACAACTCTTAGGGGGTGTGCACTGAATAGCGCACCGCCAACCGCAGCTTTGCTATGCTTACAGATCCTTGGGGGGTCCTGGTTTTCACATTGCTTGATTGCTTTGGAGTGTGGATGGCACTCGTACATTTGCGGGGAAGAATCAGTTCGAGTCCTACGCGAAGGTGCCCCAAGCTTCTTGACACTTTACCCTTGAAAGAGACCAGGTTCCTGGGCGACCATCTTCCCCCAACAAACCTTTCGGATTCCATGTGGGTAATGTTGGTTCAACCGGTGCAAGTCGATTCGAAGGGATTCGATGGATCGATGGATCGAGGTGCTCATGATCTTCGTGCCCTCCGTCTTCTGGCAGATCTTCGTGGGCTCCTTCTTTGCGGCGGAGCAGCTGGTATGGGGAAAAATGGGCGGGCGAAACTTCTGCTCCCCCCAAAATGCGGGGGGGACAAACAAAAACGAAGCATCGGAGAAATCGGCGGTGCTTGATTTGGGAGGCTTGATTTGGGCACACTTATGGCTGTCAGGGGTGGAGAAGTAGGGTGGGAATGCAAACGAGGCAACTTTCAATTTCACATCTCAAGTGTTTTCAGAAGAATTTCACGCATGCGCTTTTTGCCTGCATATGATATTTAGCTTTTGTTGGTTTGGCTTCCACCCTTTGCCTGCAGGGGTTTCTGACTTGGGGTTGCTGGGTTGGGCAGAGCAACGGGCCTGGCTAGGCGATGATCGAAGCACCGCCCTTTGTTCTCACCACATGGGCACTCATCAAGATTGCCTTGGAAGTTGCTAGATAAAAAGTTGAACGCCCTGAGATTGGTTCGGATGAACTTTGTTAGTGGCTAGGAACGTTAAACACGTGCTACTGAAAGCTGGCGATGCTCCAGCTTCAGTGCTTGACGGAAATGCCGTGTTTTCAAGATCCGGCTGTCCGCGGCAGTTTGGTCCCCCGGGTTTTGGCGCCAAAGAAAGCGAGGAAGCTTGTTGCCCCGTTTCGGAGCGGCGCGGCTCCAAGGCGAGGCTCCCATTCAGACCCGAAGAGGTAGAGGGGGCCTTCAGCTTCCCTATGACCGGGAAGCCTTTCCAGGTCCGCTGAGAGACAACCCAAAGACCCGCTTCAAGTTGGGCGACGCCTGAAAGAATCAAGGTGTGAAGCCCGGGAACTAGAGCATCAACTCGGTGCCCTTCAAGCATCACCTGGACGTCAGACGAAGCGAAAAGCTGCTACCATGCTCAGGTATAGCGCCTTCATCCCCATCTTGGCCTTCTTCCTACAGGCGAGCTCGATTTATCTCCTGCTTGCTACAGTGCAGCCCTCAGACCGATTGGGTCTGGAAGCTGCGTCTCCCTTTTTCACCAAGCAGGCCTTAGGGAAAGGGTGGACTGCAATGCGCAAGTCAAGCACTTGCTCTTCAGGGCAATAGCAATGGTTCTTCTCAACAGCGGGAAATTATGACTACGCACTGTAAATCATATTGTGTGTCTTTTCACCTTGCTGCCACATGCAGACCCAGCACGCATGCCTGCTGCAACTGCCTGAAATATATTGACATATTGGATGTCGGATTTGATGGGCTGCAGTATGTGCTAAAGTAGGTGACCTCTTAGCCCAATGTCGCTTTGCTGGCACTTACTCGATCAACGCTTTCTCATAGCCCCCTGAATGGATGGCACTGAGTTCAGTCACCAGTGCTGAAGCCGGTGCGGCTCAGCGAAGAATTGACCCCGCAGGTTGCTCCCAGTGCAATGCATCTCTCTTAAGACTTCCGAGCGGTGAAGTATTGCCCCCGCCTAAAAAGATACATGCAGGGGATGTTTCAGGAAGCACTAAAGCTTAGAGTCAGACACGTTGGGCTCGCCATGTGCGCTGGCAGATGACCTTGTACGCCCTACATAGATGTGTTCTGCTTTTGCGTTTGGCCTTGATAATGCGCTTGGGCGATGTGTCCTGAGGCACTGTCGGATCCTGGCATCATGCCGCGGCAGCGGGACTTCACAGAGCACTATGACGAGCGCACCAAGGCGACCCGAGCGGGAGAAAACGGGCGATGTGGGATCCGTGTGCGATTTGGTGGAAGGATTTTCTATCATTGTCCCAGCTTCATTTCCTTCCTTTGTGGGAAATCACTTGGGCATGACTTCACTGCAGGTTAATTTACTGAAACTTGCAGGTGGGGTTCACTCCTTTGCCGTAGCTTCTGATGGATCACGGGCAGATGCACAACTGGTCAGCTTGCCGGTCCCTGATAGAATTGGAGGGAGTTGCATGATACTTTCGGTTTTGAACCGCATTTGCTGGCTGTTTCCTTCACTGGCGCATCATTTCACTACTACACGGGCCGTTTCGATACTATTCGGTAATGACTACTCTGGGAGACAAGCCTACCCTCGCAACTTGCTTGTCCTTAGTCGCGAATGATCCCACAACTGCATTCCTTTTGCCTTCCCTTCAGAGCCTCCCCAGTTTTTATTGAGGTTCAACCGTCTTGCAAGTGAGAATTTGGACCGTCTTCCATGTGAGGATTTGGCAATTCAACATATTCAAGCATATTTAAGCCATACTAGAACCATATTCAATCGTATTGAAACCGTAATCAACCACACTCTCATTCCAAGCTTGTAACACTGTCCACATTCAATTGGGTCTCCATTTGACCAGGTTCAGACTTGGGGCCCTTTGCTGCTTTTGGTTTGAAGGCGCTCAGGCCCTACGGGTCCTCTTCAGGGGACGAGACATGAGGACCTGCAAACCATATTCCAAGGCGCACAACTCAGACATGTGTGCGTGTGTGTTTTGTTTTTTTGGGGGGACCGTGCCTAAAATGGCTTAGGTGTTAACTTCCCCATTCTTTCCAGGGATCCTTCTTTCTCTGGGGAAATGGCTGAAAAAAAATGAAAAGAACCATGGCTGATAAGAATGGAAAAGGAATCCACCCCTAGAACAAAGAGGTACCCTCCACAGAAGAGGCTGCCTCAAAAAACCGGAATTCCAACATGGGTTGCCCTGGTGGAAGCATGGACCAAAACCTGCGGTTTGCCCCTGGTGAATTTTGAGCCACACAGAGTCGCCTAAATCAGCCCCATGCAACGAACGAACCCTTCGGAGGTCTTCCGGACCCGGGAGCCCCAGCGCTTCTACGACATCGTGCTCCGGGGGCACCCGCGACTTGGAGTCCAAAGGCGCCCCATTGTTCTCGGGCAATGTGATTTTGTTTTTTGGGGGGGGTTCTCAAAATGGGGGAGCCCTGTGCACATTTTTGTCAGGCAATACATATCGATTTCGGGGGGTTTCTCAAAGTGGGGGAGCCCTGTTTGCAGGGGTTTGAAGGGACACCAACAGGGAGATAAGCCTCTTGGATGGGGTCCCGCATTTTGAGAAAAATCCATATATGGGAGTGTCGATTTTGGCAGGTACCCCCTTTGTTTGGATGGTTTTAAGGGGAAACCTATTTTTTGGGGGGGTTTCCAAAGAAAGACACCCCTGTTGATTATTGGGACACTATATTGCAAGCGATTGGGACCTTTACATATGGGAGTTGATCAGGTGAAGCCCTCCTGCCAGCTTCAGAACTCTGAGGGAGTGTGTCATATATGCGTAGCCCAAGAAATGGGTGGCTTTTCCTGGTGGTTTCCCTTTAAAACCATCCAAAGAAGTACCCTCAACAAAAACACACACACACACATATATTGGAACACTCTTCTTCTCCCAAGCAGTTGGGACCTTTCTGGCTCTGTCAATTTTCGAGGGCACCCCGTTGTTTTTTGAGGGAAACGAGAAGGACATGGTGGTTGTTCCTTCAGTCGGTATTTGAATGGAGGCCACATTTAAACCAACCGTCTCAGGGGAACATCCCTTTGGACAATTTGTTGGGACGCAAATTTTCGAGCAAAAAAGGGGACACTATGCTCCAAGGACCCCCAAAAGGAACAAGCACGAGCAACAACTACTAGGAAGAGCTTCTTACATGGGATGACCGCTCACCGTGGCTTGCCTTGCGGGGAAGAACAGGTATGCCCATTTGTGGTGTGGTGTACGCTATCCACAGTCCCACAGTCCGTGGGTGAGATTCGACAGCGAAGTCGCCTCGAGACGGGCCAAGGCTGAAATTGAAGTACTGCAAGACCTGCCCCTTGGCTGCCTTTGGGAGGTTTCAGGCCACGTGACGATGTCTTGTTTTGGGTGCACAGTTATCAGCAGTTGTTTGAAGTCGTGAAGCTATTTGCCGTGTGTCGGAATTAGTAAGGGACCCCTTTCGGAACAGTTTTAGAAAGGAAGGCCACTTTGGAGGATGTGCGGGTGGGTTTTTGTTTTAGTCTGTGACTATGGCACGGCTTTGTGGCACTTGGAGCTTTCAAGCTTGAAACGACCTGACACTGAGCTCTACTCCATGTTCTGGCCACCACATGTGGAGCTCTCCATAAGTCCAGTCGACTCAGAGAGTGCCTAAATGGAACCACGAGACTGGCCAGAATGTGACAGAGACCCGCTGAGACCAGACATGCGACCATTTCACAGCTGCATGTGGCGCTGCTTGACGTTGCGAGGAAGTTTGTAGAACTTGTCAAAGCATGGCTACGAATGGACGGAAGCGAAGGATAAACACGCATTGCACCAGGCAAGTATTTAGACTCGTACCACTCCGGAAGAACGAACCAACCCCAACGTGCAAATACGGGTGTGTCTGTTAGGGAGGGTACCCCTTTTTTGGGTGGGGGCCAATTGAACCAGGTCGCCTTTTTTTATAGTTTTTCATCTTTTGCAAAGCAAAAGGAAGCCGGCCTTTTTTAGAGATCCCCCCTCTTGATTTCAGGCAACATCTACCGGCCGCCCCGGTGCACCCACTGCTCGGTCTGCGAGAATTGTGTGGAGCGCTTCGACCATCACTGCCCCTGGCTGGGCAACTGTATCGGCAAGCGCCGCTCAGCTGAAAGGGCTCAGAGGATTGGGTGGATTCCACCCGGTTGGTTGCAACATGTGCAACACTTGCTGGTGCAATTCCAAAGGGAAACAGATGGAGGTTGAAAAAAGCGCCTGAGAACATGGTTCATCAAGTTGTCCCAAGCGTGGACGTTCTTTTTGTGGGCTCGCTGGAAATGGTCAATCAAGGGGGAGGGGGGCTTTTCTATCGTGGTCCGCACACCCACCACATACCCGGTCTTTGGTTCAGATGCCAGTCTCTCATTCATTTTCCGGGGCAAAATGGCTGGCCGTACACGGCAAGCTGAACCTGCTTGTGCTCAGGGACTGTGGGAATGAGCCCCGGCCGGGGGTCCCCTTAAAGGACACCACCAGTTGGATGTACTGGTCACTCCATTTCGCAGCAAGAAAACGAAGCGACCCACCGACAAGCTGGCTGAGCTGGTCAAAACCAATGGTACCATTTTGGGGCAGGTGAATTCACCACCCATTTTAGTCGATTCTAGCGGGGATTGAATCGGATGTTCACTGGGGGTACTGTACGGGGTTTCGACCCATAGCCTGAGGCAACTATCGGCTCTTCTACGGCTTTGTCTCGGCCACGGGCGCGCTGAACATTTTGGTCCTGGCCACTGCCGTGGCGCAGCTCGCGCTGAGCTTCTTGGACGACGGGCGGGTTGGTTCCTGGTGGTGTCCCGGAAGTTTCTTTCCACTTTGTGGAGCTCCAAAAGTGGCGGGGTTCAAGGGGAGAGCACCAATAAATTGCAACCTTTTGAAGGGGAGAGCCAGCGGCCCCTGTTGGAATTTGCAGAGATCCGTGCACTTGGAAGCCTCCACCCTTTCGGATGCCAAAAACACCAACAAGAAGCCGGTTTGTTGGGGGTGGGCACATCATCGACTCCATATGGTCCCCAAATGGCTTTGAGAGGATTTCCGGCTGGCAGAAAGTCTCTGGGATCCACGAAATGCGAGTGATGCGATGCAGTGTTTTAAATCAGGGTCTTTCACGGTGTTTGCTTGCTTGTGATTATATTAATCACAAGCGAGGCAATGTTGAAGGCTCGGTAGGCAAACAAATCTGGCCTGTCGGTCATCACAAGCTCACACACAGAAGCACACCTTGTTTTGCTTGTGCAAACGCGCGACGCCAGGCATGTAGAGCACACATCTCAAGCAAAACACCTCGACTCAGCAAGGATTTACAAGCAACGCCCCGGCACTATGGTCTTCCTATGGCTTGCCGAGTCGAGCATCCACCAAGAATGAACAAGCCGCGTCCGAGAGCCACGACCTATTGAAATGAGCATCACCCTGGGCGATGCTTGCAAAACACCTAGCAGTTAGCACACCTTGCAGTGGAATAGCCGGGGTGCGCGCTGAGAACTGGCTTCGGCCAAAGCAGGTACTTAAGTCTACTGGACTTTCGAGTACTACAGAGGGCCCATTCGGTGAAGTGACTGAAGATGGCGCATATTGCACGTCTAAAGGTCAGTTCATAGTTCGCACTCGTTCCACTCATCATCCATTTCAGCTCAGAAAATGGACAAGACAGATCTTCAATTTTGGCCATGCATTGCTAGAGAGGTCGGTCTGCCATGAGTTTCTTTCGGGTCACGGCTGGCTGATTTGGCTGGATTCCCCCTCCTTTCATTTGGCACGGACAAGTCGTCCCAAGGATCCAAGCAGATCGCAGAGGAGTCGCAGGTGGGCGGAGGCGATGCTTTTGGCCAGGCAGGGATGCGACGGTGGAAGCCAGTCCAGCCGGCAGTTCTGAGATGGAGATTTGGCGATGAGTTTTAACCAGGGAGTCTTTTTGCCACCTCTTGTGAGACCATTGGCGACCCCCTCAAAAAGGAATCCTTCACTACAAGGGGGTCGATCATTTTTCCACCAAAGGTGGCAAAAAGACCCCCCTGGTTTTAACGGGGCCCGCCTTCAAAATGATTGGCGGACATCGATCTGCGCCATGTACATGATGTGCATGCCCATTTACCTCTGAATAAGGGCTTCAAAAGGATCATCCCCCTGACCATCAGAGCACATTGCATTTGGCACCATGGTCTGTGCACGGCGTTGCATCCGGGAATCGGACCCTTTTGTCATGATTGCTTTTGCATGTGGGCATCAACGACTGGTCTTTGTCTGGTGGGACTCTGCAGGTTGGGCGGGTGGGGCGCGAAGCCAATGGTTTTGCAAATTCAACAGCCTGACATCTGCAGATTTGGCTTTCCGATCTTCCGATGACGCGAATGGATTGTCGTGCACTTGCAAGGTGCCCACATGATCCAGGATCAGAGTCGGAATGCCAAAAATGGTCTGGAATAGAAAGGCCAAACACGAAACGAGGCATAATATTAAACTTGGATTTGTCGCAGGCAGTTTCTGAAAACCTATGTCGCGGCCACTGCCTGGCGACGGAGCATGACAGATCAACCATTGGAAGAAGTTGCCTCGGGCCAGGCGAGTATATACATACATACATACATACATACATACATACATACATACATACATACATACATACATACATACATACATACATACATACATACATACATACATACATACATACATACATACATACATACATACATACATACATACATACATACATACATACATACATACATACATACATACATACATACATACATACATACATACATACATACATACATACATACATACATACATACATACATACATACATACATACATACATACATACATACATACATACATACATACATACATACATACATACATACATACATACATACATACATACATACATACATACATACATACATACATACATACATACATACATACATACATACATACATACATACATACATACATACATACATACATACATACATACATACATACATACATACATACATACATACATACATACATACATACATACATACATACATACATACATACATACATACATACATACATACATACATACATACATACATACATACATACATACATACATACATACATACATACATACATACATACATACATACATACATACATACATACATACATACATACATACATACATACATACATACATACATTATATATACATTATATATATATATATGTATATGCGTTTAGCCTTCTTTGCAAAGAAGGCACAACTGTAACTGCTTGTCCCAGCCAGTGCCACAGCACCTGCATTAACTCTAAGAATCCAAACTTGCCAAATGCTCTGCGAGTCAAAACTGACCGATCAGAAGCTCGCCGAGAAAGGCTTCCAGAGCTTCCCCTCGGTGGGTTTCCTCGGTTTTTTTTTTTTCTTTTTTCTCGCAGGCCGTGCTTACTGCACCCATGGCTGCGATTCTTTCCATCTATGCTCTAGGCCGGGCAGCTTGGGTCTGGGCTACGCTCCGATTCTATGTGCTTGGATGCAAATAGATGGAACTAGCTCAGTTTTGTAAGCATTCACTTGGATTCGCAGAAGCGACGGCCGTTTTTTGGTTTGCGAGTGGGTGCGCAACAGCTATTTGCTGGAGCGGCTGGAAGGAGAACCTTGAGACAGCCATAAAGTGGGTTCAACAGCGGCTCAACATGCTCAACCGAAAGCGATCCGAGAAACCGTGGCTCAACTTAAAAGTGAAATTCCATTGCGAACATTTGAGAAGATCTGGGATGGCATGGGCGTCTGACATTCGCATTTCCAGGATGTTACTTGTTGCGTAAAAGTGAACAGGGCAGTACTCCGACTAGGCCAAAGATATTGTGGTGTTTGACTAGCCCGCACCTATTCCTGCATGTGTTATATCACAATTTGTCAAGCTTTTCCAGACATCCTGTTTGTGTCTATTCAGGTCTGATTCAGAGATGGATGCAATTTTTACAGAGCTCAGCGGTAGGGAGCTCGTTTTAGACGTCCAGAGCCTTCCATGTTTGGATGTCAATCCAGCCACAAGCATACGCTCATAGAGGCAGACTGGAGGGTTGAGGATGGTCAGGGTCGAATTTGTTTTCGAGCCCTGCACAAACAATGTGTGCAAGTGCCTGCTTACGGACTGTCGACCGGACAGAACTTGCCAGTTGCCAGTGCTTGGACATCAGGAAGTTGTTTGAGTCCATGTGAACCAGCATGCTACAGAGTGGCACATCCGTCGCATGGCATTCATCAAGCTTTTAGAAGGTGGAACTCGCAGCACATGGGGCCGTTGCAAATTCAAGGAGGAAGCTGTGAACAGAGGCAACCTCATTAAAGGGCAAGCGTGGCATTGCGCCTGAGTTGCCGGCTCGGCATCTCCGGCATGTGAGGTTTGTGCCATGGGACACCATGCCTTCCATGTTACTAGATACCGTTCAGCAATGAGGACCCCACGAGCATGCTTGTAGCTGCCCTCCTCTCATTGCATTGCTTCAGCTGACGGTATGGAGCTGTCAGCTTCTTTTTGCTCTTGGACTCTTGGTGTGTTCAACACGGATCAACTCCATGATGTTGACCCCACCAATCCCCGCCGCAAGCGGCTTGTGTGGGAGCTTGAATTCTGGTCTTTCCTCTCGCCAACATGCAGCGGGCGCAGGCATCGTATGGTTTACCTTTGGACTCTGCGCTTACCACAACTATTTGGTCTGTACGGGCCTCGGAGCCCAAATGCGCAAGCGGGCCACGATGTCTGGCTCTCACCGATCGCACTGTTGTGCTCCAAGAAGCCAAATAAGCTATGGGGCCATGCATGCGTTTGACGCCTGTTTGTCATGACCCCTTCAAAAGCATTGAATCCCTTGTCACGCTGTCGGCAGCTGTGATGTTTCCGAAATCGGACAAGTCACGTCCACGTCCCCTTTTATGATGTGTTCCCGGTCTCGTTTCCTTCCAGCTGCATCTGTCCTGTACCTGTGAGAGGTGATGTGTTCCCTGGATTCATAATATGGCTGTGGCTCAAAAAACCGGTACCAAAATGGAACCCTGGAAACATGGACCAAAACCTGCGTAACCCCTCCTGTTGAATTTTGCGCCACAGCCATATGTTTGCAAGCACCGGCTTCAGAGGGAAATGCAGGGTGCAAGGATGCTTCTCCGGCATGGCAAGTTCGATCCTCTTGCCGATTGCATTAAGTTCTAATTTCACCTGCTCGATCAGAGGCGACAATGCCAACGTAAGTGGCACTTTGCTTGAGAGATATGATGTGGAAACAAGAGTGCCATGTCCTGATATCCAATCTCAACATCGGACCTTTGGCGGCCGCATTGCCAGAAGCGCTTGTTACGTCAAGCTGTTTGGAAAGTCTTAGTCTAGTGGCACGGGGCGACTCCTCGTCTTTTTCTGCCTTGATTGCGATTTCGGGGTGTTCCCAATTTTGGGCAACACATTTTACTGGGTATTCATGATCCTGAATGCTGATTGGAATCTTGTGCACGACGGACCATAGAGCAAACCAGTCACACCACCTGCCGGCCACACCCCTTCAAAGTATCGAGGCCAAACTATTGGGGTAAAGCAACTGGGAGGTGCAAACTGTTCAAGAGGTCCTCGAAGTTTGCAAGTGGGTTCTGCGGACACTTCGCAGACATAGCGAGTTGAACGAACCCTTCGACAAAGGTTATGTAAAACTAAAGTCAACATGTTGCTCGATGTTGGCACAAAATCACGCGACTGAACGAAGTTCCACAGCCCGGGTGTCGATTACTCTGCACTTCAGCATGTTTTTTGTCTGCGAACGGATTTTTGGGGTTCCCGGTTCATCTGCAGGGGATCAGCTTTACCTCGATGGCGAGGTACCAACCAGACCACCTACGAGCAAATCAAGGGCGCTTTTAGCGGCGCTACGAACCCCTTCCACCGCGGCGCGGTGGGCAACTACTGGGTGCGGGCTTTAGTCCAGGGCAGGGGGGGAGCGTGTCTAAAGAGCTCGGAAGACGGGTCGCCCAGCCATGGCTGAGCGCCAGTGACAAACCAGGCTGTTGTTGCTTGCCATGCGCACTGGTTTGAGAAGTGGCAAAGACAAAGTGGCACAGGCACCCATGTTTTTTGCCTGACGTCAAAAGAGTTCACCCAGCATTAGAGATTGAACTGTGCTACGTCTTTGAGTAGCACAGGGTTGCAACAGGTTGTTTTGTTTGGTCACTTAGAATTCACCTCCATGCCCAGCTTGAAAAGCAAAGAGATTTGTATTCTTGCCAAGGTCCCAATATTTGCATACAGGTTATGTGTAGATTCATACCAGTTCCCGGCCCTGCAAGTCGCTGCGCGTCGCGAGGACATTCTGTTCACCTCAGTGCGGCCCCGGTACTTTAATGCGCGGTGCCCCAGGTCCAGGCGGCCGGCAGAAGAGAGTTTGCTCACTCGGCGCTTCTGAAAGCGCCGGCGCGTGGCAATGGGAATCCCCATGATGCTCAAGCTTCGGACGGCTCTGGGTTTGATCCTGAGAACTGAGTCCGGAAAGGGCCATGATGTGTAGAGCTGCTTGCAGTTTGGGGGTGTTCTAAAACTGCGAACCCCTTTCGGATATGTGTATTTTCACGTTGAAGCAAGAAGGACCGAGACATCAGACATGTTCTAAGAGTACCTCTTGTTTGAAAACATCCATTTGCTGCCTTTGATGCCTTTCATCGTTAACAAAAAGCAAATCCCTTCAGGAACTGATGTGGGGTTGCGCAATGCTGGCGGGGACCAACGTTTTTGGGGGCTTCGCAAAGCATCCATCTCAGATTTGGGCTTGCTTTCAGACGTGTGCAGTTGGTCATGCCCGCATGCTTCCGCTTTTCAAAGCTAATGTACAGTGCCCAGGTTTGGCTCGCACAGTTGTCACCGCGTGAGTCTGCAACTTCTGACTCATGACTGCCTGGCACGTTGTGCCATCTTAGATACGCACATTGAAAGCGGGAAGGGCTGGGTTCTTGGTCAGATGGGATAGAGTCCTGCAAAGAATTTGTGTGGCGCAAGAAAGAGCGAGAGAGGGAGAGAGAGCGTGTAGTGTGTTAGTGTGTGTGTGTGTGCGCGTGTGTGGCGTGTGTGGCGTGTGTGTGTGTGTGTGTGTGGTGTGTGTGTGTGTGTGTGCGTGTGTGTGTGTGAGTGTGGTGTGTGTGTGTGTGGCGTGTGGTGTGGTGTGTGGTGTGTGGTGTATGGTGCGTGCGTGCGTGCATGCGTGCGTGCCTGCGTGCGTGCCTGCGTGCGTGCGTGCGTGCTGTGTGTGGGTGGGTGGGTGGATGGGTGGGTGGGTGGGTTGGTGGGTGGGTGGGTGGGTGGGTCGGTGGGTGGGTGGGTGGGTGGGTGTGTGTGGTGTGTGTGTGTGTGGGTGGGTGGGTGGGTGGGTGGGTGGGGGTGGGTGGGTGGGTGGGTGGGTGGGTGGGTGGGTGGGTGGGTGGGTGGGTGGGTGGGTGGGTGGGTGGGTGGGTGGGTCTATGTGTGTGTAGGTGTGTGTGTGTGTGGGTGTGTGTGTGTGGGTGTATGTGTGTGTTTGTGGAAGTGTGTGTGTGTGTGTGGGTGTGTGTGTGTGTGGGTGGGTGCCTTTGTGTGTGTGTATGTGTATGTCTGGGCAACTTTGCCATCGCACAACAAGACCCAGTGGGCCATGCCTTGCATCAGACGAATGTCAAGCCAACATTTGCATTGTTTCAGAAGCGCTGATTAATCGAACTCGCAAATCGGGTTGTGCAGGGAGCGCTGGAAATCGAGTATCTCAAGAAAGAGCAAGCAATTCCAGGCTTCCATTAGAGTAATTCCACAATGGCGCGCTTTTGTTGGTCATTAGGCCGCCGTTTAGTTGCTGCCACACCATGTTATGTAATGCATGAATGCTGCGTGCGGAAGTTTCAGCAATATAGAACTAGCCATATCGGCCTTCCAAAGAGCCAGTCAAGGTGCGGTTTGCGGATGGTGGCATAGAGTTGCGCGAGTTCCTCATGCCAACTTTCTGGTGACCAGGGTTTGACCCTTACCCCCCTGCAAATGAACATGTAACCCAAGAGTTTCCCAAAAACGCATTCCTTGAACGAAGGTTTGCTGGCTTCCATGTCTTTTGTTTTTGCAAGATATGTATATCTTGAAGGGTTGTCCAAACAGGCAGTGATTTTGGCAGATCGCGCGGGCCGCGCTCGTGCTGAGGCCCACACGAACCGCCTGCTCTGGCCGCCCAAGGGGGCAGTGCCGCTGGAGGAGAAACTGAGGCGGTCGAATCGATTCGGGCGAAAGCCGCGACACAAAGGTTTGGCGGACGCAAAGTTACCCCCTTTTTGCTCCTTGTTTTTTGGGGCGGGCATTCCGATTTCCCCAAAGTAGCGCAAAAAAGGTGCCTCTTTTTGTAGCTGGGTTCCCGTTGAGTCACCCAAACGTCCAGACCCTTTGGCCTTTGGCCCCAAAAGATAGAGCCATGCTCCGGCCGTAAGAGGAGTGTCGCCCAAGCGGTGAGGCTAAGGAATGCAATCAGCCGCCTGCCATGTGCCCCTTAGGAACACCCAAGCGATAGCATTTAAGCAATGGGGGAACTCACTGGAACCCAACGGGTTTTTGTTTTGGCCCAAGGGCAAGGGCTGCCACAGCTCGAGTGCAAGCTCGGCCCAAACGCCTGGTTGCCTTGGGCGGTGATGGCTTGCCGCGGCCCGGTGTTGCAGGTCGACCACCAAGATGCAACAGCCCCCTGCCCCGCGGCAGCCGGACACTGAGTGCTGCCGCCAGAATTTTGGTGAGGGATGGGGCTGAGAGGCATCGCTGGAACTCTCGCCGTGCCAGGATCGAAGATGACCTCCGCTTGCCTGAGGAGGCCAGCACCATTTGGGAGTCGCAGGGATAATCGCAGTTGATGTCTTGAGTACCAGCCACGTTTCAGGCTGGAGCACGCTTAGCGCGCCTTCCTTTTGCCGTCATCAAGGGTCTCTCGTGGATTTGCGTGTGGGACATGAATTACCTCCCGGTATCAGGAAAGATGGATGAAGCTGCCCAGATTCACAACTCCCAGATTCGCAACTGTCACTTTGGGAAGGGATGACATTTAAGGCCGCCTTCTTGAGTCTAAGTTCCATTTTCCAGAGTTCTCCGCAACTCAGCCTGGAATCAGGTCACGCCGGAGTCGCAGGTGCCGCCGCTGCCGCGGGAAGAGCCGCCCGGCGACACAAGAGGCATTTCGACTACATTTGGTCACCTTCATTTCACTTTTTGGTGTCACAAGCCCATAGGAGCCAACGAAAAGGGCTCCTTTCTATTTGACCAGGAGGGCATGATGCCCAGCAAGAGAGCGCCACTCTGGCTAGCTGCCTGCCTTCCCCAAGGCTGCTAATCGCGTTGAACAACCCCTTCGCGCCTCTGAGTGCTGTGATGAACAAAGCCAAGCGCATGCTGCACATGTTTCTCGCCACTGCGAGTATGTTTCAAATCCTTCTCATATCTTCTTCATTGCAGCCGAGTGGTTGAAGATGTCACTGTACCCCGCGCTCATGCAATCTAGGATGCCAGGCACATACACACATCATGCCGTGTAACCTCATACAACATTGTGGGCTTCCTCTTTAGGAAGACGGTGTCTTTTGTTGATCCTGGCTTGGGAAATATTCATTCAGTTAGGCACACAGTGGCCCCAAACTCTTTGGCCTCCTTCTCAAATGCTGCTAGATTCGTTTGGTTTCTTGTTCATGTCCAACATTAGTTTTTGAGAACAAGTCAGGCGCTGTCACCTGAAGCTTTGCTCTGCAGAACGAGAAGAAGATGACGCAAAAAGGAAGAAGAAGAAGAAGAAGAAGAAGAAGAAGAAGAAGAAGAAGAAGAAGAAGAAGAAGAAGAAGAAGAAGAAGAAGAAGAAGAAGAAGAATTTGTTAATGTTGAAACGCATGTGGAAACATGAACTGTGTGTGGAATGCTTGACCATAATGGCATGTGCCATTTTGGCTCAAGCATTGCTCTGGGTTCCTGGAACCCAAGCTGATTGACAAACTTTGATCTTTTGCATTTTCGAACTTAACCCCGACCAAGCAATGGCTTCCTCGGCAACCTCGGCAACTTCCTTTGAGTTGATTGAGGACCAGACACTCACCGTGGAGGAGGTTGAAATGGCCAGCCAGGAGGCCCAGGACATTCGCACACGGGAGGCGGCAGTCTGGAGCGTCTCCAAGTGGCATTTGCCACACCGACTCCCGGCTTGGGTGCCCCTGGCCCCGCCGAGGAGGGCGACAGGGACATGGGGGATGCGGACGGCACGGAGCGGGCCACACCACACCCCTAGTCTCGCCGGGCATCTGGCCACTCAAGAAGGAGCTAAAAGGGGACTCCCTCATCCCACGGGCCGGGGTAACTACCCCTCAGCGGATCACTTCAGTGAGCTCATCCGTAGCACATTCCTGGAGGAGGTCTCCATGGGCATGGTAGATGGCCCTCTGTGTGTGTGTGTCTGTGGCTGCAATATGGAGGATCTTTGCCCAGGCCCCCTAGCGGGCATCGACGAAGGGGACAAGATCCGCACCATCTACGATGGCTCGGTGGGCGGGGCCAATGACACCATCAGGAACCAGACGGTGGAAAGGACGACGGCTCCGACGGTGCTGGATGGGGTACAAGCTCTTCATTGGCTACATGCGGCAGCTGAGGAGGGACCTCCCTCTCAGGGTGCCCCCGGCCCCGAGAGGGAGGTCGCTAAACCTCCACCCGGGTGCTGCTCAAGGCGGACGTCACCAAGGCCCACCGGAGAGTGAAGGTCCTCAGGAACGACTGGTGGTTCCAGGTGGCCTCACTGGGGGAAGAATGGTGGGTGAACAAGAGGCACATACGGCATGGCCAGTGCCCAATCCTACTGGGGACGCCTGGCAGCCCTTCTACTCAGGGTCCTCTACGCACTTTTCCCTCAAGTGGATTGGAACTTCGTCTTTGTGGATGACTTCCTGTGGCTGCTTCGCAGCAAGGGGGCAGTGAACTTGGCGGTGGCGCTGTTGGCAACACTCCTGGCCTTGGGCACCCCGCTTAGCTGGAAGAAGACACATTTGGCGGAGGTCAACACGTGGCTGGGCTTCGTGGTCCACCCGAACATCCCGCAGGTTCTCATGGCCGCCAACAAACACATCCTGGTGATGGAGGTCTTGCAGATCATGGTGGAAGGGCAGGCGATGCACTCAAAGGACATCGAGAAGGCCCTGGGCCGCATCCAATGGGCAACTGCTGCATGTCCGCTGGCGAAGTCGATGCTTCAGCCACTGTGGGCCTGGAAAATGGCCACCACCACGGTGGGGAAACCCCCTAAGGTGGTCAGGATGCTGGCGTTCATGCTGCGGTTCCTCTTCAACACGCCCTTCGTCCAGTACTCCCCTTACTTGCCGAAGTCCTCTTGGTGGGGTTGCAGCGATGCTAGCGCCTCGGATGAAGGACTGGCATTTGTGGGAGGCTGGTGCTCCAACAAAGTGGAGCCGGAGAAGAAGGAGGTGTACTGGTTCCACGAGCAGATCCACGTGGAGGAGTACCCGTGGGCATTCAAGAATGGGGATCCCAAGCGGAGGATTGCGGCTCTGGAAATGCTGGGCACGCTCTTCCTCTGTAACATGATCCTCACGCACCAAGGCCCTCTGTCCTCCCGGGTCCGACTCCCGGTGGGCAGTGACAATCAGGGCAACGTCATGGCGATGCTCAACCTTGGATCCAAGAAGCCCTACACCGCGGCTATCCTGATGGAGCTGGTCTTCCTGCTCCACACCCATGGCTGCTCGCTGGCGGCCAACCACGTGCCCCGGGAATTCAACCAGTGGGCCGATGAGCTGACGCACCCAGATTTCTCGGGGTTCGACCCTTTGCACAGAGTTCCTAAACAGGAACTCTGCGAGGAGTTCATTTTTCTCCCGCGTCTCCTGAATGGAGATGCATTTGATCTTAGCGTGGGCCCACCCATGCTCCCGTGACCGGAGCCGGTGGGTGACTCACTTCCCCTGGTGGCAGACCCCCCTGTGGCCTGGGTGCCCCTGGCCCCGGCCCAGGGGCGGGCGCTATCAGTCTGCACACCCGTTCTTCAGTTTTTGAGAGTTTGTGGTGGGTGGCCCATGGGGCCCACCCAGCCGTAGACATCTGACAGGGGAAGATGAGTCCCTGGCACCAACACATTGCTTGGATAAAAGAGTTCTCGCTTGCTTGCGTGGTGCCGTTTGGTTAGCTTACATACACGAAGAAGAAGAAGAAGATCGTTGGCCAACTTGCAAGTTGAAAGTCAGCTGCACGGACCGATCCTTTTGCATTCCAGGATTCGCCTGAAGCGTCAAGGTTTGAATGTGGCCAACACCCGCTTGGGCAAGCGCAGGCACGAAGCTGACAACGACATAGTCCTTAAACATCCAGCGCACAAAGGTGGATGACAGAAGATGCAGACGAGAAAGTTAGAATGAAGGACGCATGATACGACCCGCTGCGAATATCAAGTTCCTTGGTCAGACATGTTCAGTTGTGAGATGGTCTATGTAGTGTCCAATAGCTCATAAACACATCCTTCCTTTGCAGATGAAGTCAGAAATTGTCATCAAGTCTTGCCGAGGTTTCGCCCGGAGGCTACGCGGGAGTCGGGGAGTCGTTGGTTGGGCAAATAGCCTGGGCAAACATCCAAGGGCCTTTTTGAGATGGCGTCTAGCTGTTTAACGGGCAACCCATATGACACGTATGGTTGCGAGGTGGATGACTCATGTCATCGACGCACAGGTTTGCGGGACTTTGCCACCTAAGTTTGTACTAACAAATCCTGACTACTTGGCTTGAACATGTAAAACAACTGACCGTTGGGAGACTTTGTAAGTCCTACCAGGCTGGGGCTGCAGTCCGTGTTTTTGCTTCCCTTACGAACCTTGCAGGCTGTAGCAGGCCGGACGGTGCCGTGTTTCGACTTTGAACAGGCAGGTACCAGGCAATCTTCAAGATTTGCATGCACTTAGAATCACTTCAAGATGAATGCCCGTACAAGCTTATGTTTTATCTGCATATCCGTGGACTGAGCATGAGTTTACTACCAAGTTGCAATTGGCTTTGTCCCGTAAAGCAAACATGCCACTGACATTCAGAGCTTTGGCTCAGGTAGCATTGTGCGGAGAGTGCCATACAACCGTACCGCTGCACAAGCACCCACTAGCAGCCGTCCGAATTCAAGGTGATGATCTGCGACTCAGGCGAGGTCCGGTCCCAGGCGTCGGTGGGTTTCCTTTCCCACGGCGGGCCGCTGACGTGGTGCACCGAGTCCATCTCCTCCGTGCACCGGGAGAGGCGCTCGGATCGGGGCAGCCGCAGCCGCAGCCGCAGCCTTCCGGCAGCGCAGCCGGACCCTCCTACACCGGAACGGCCCTTGAGCCTTGACCACTGGGTTGGATCTTTAGACTTTAACATTTGAGGGAAAGAAAGGTGTTTTTCACTAAACCCCCGAAAAGTTTTGAACTTTTTGCAGGGGGTCAACAGTAACCAAGGATCGTGCTGGATGATGATGAGCAGTCGCAGAAGCCGATTCAACCCACAGACATGCCCGCTCTGTTGCAGGAACTTTGGCAGCCCGACGAAGTGCACACACAGGACAGAATTTGGCTGTGGTCGCAGAGCCTGCCAGCCACTGCAGACTCCACCATCTCTCCGCCCTTCAGTGGCTGCGCGAGGCATGCGATAGAGGCCAGCCTCACTCCGCAGAAGCCCCGGCTACGAGAGGCGCTGCTGGAGCTGCCGATGGCCGGGCAGGACTTGCTGCTAGCGCAGCAGGAAGATGAGGAGAGGGAGCAGAGCGGGTCAGTCTGGCATGCAGAGCAGGCGGAGCAGGTGCAGGTAGAGCGCGTTGAGTCGGTAGAAAAGGCAAACGGCGCGGAGGAGAGCGGGACAGTCCGGCGTGAAGAGCAGGCGGAGCAGGTCCAGGTGGAGCGCGCTGAGTCGGTAGAGAAGGCAAACGGCGCGGAGGAGAGGCGGCCAGTTTTGCATGCGGAGCGGGTGGTTCAGGCAAAGAGCGCAGAGGTGTTCCGCCAAGTGCTTCATTCGAATTTCAGAGAGGAGGGGCCAGCCCGGCGGCTGGAGCAGGAGAGGCAGCCAGTTCTGCATGCAGAGTCCCTTCAGGCAAAGAGCGCAGAGGCGATGAACCCGGGCCAGGAGGAGAGGCGGCCAGTTTTGCATGCGGAGCGGGTGGTTCAGGCAAAGAGCGCAGAGGTGTTCCGCCAAGGACTTGACTCGAATTGCAGAGAGGAGGGGCCAGCCCGGCGGGTGGAGCAGGAGAGGCAGCCAGTTCTGCATGCAGAGTCCCTTCAGGCAAAGAGCGCAGAGGCGATGAACCCGGGCCAGGAGGAGAGGCGGCCAGTTTTGCATGCGGAGCGGGTGGTTCAGGCAAAGAGCGCAGAGGTGCTCCGCCAAGATTCGAATTGCAGAGAGGAGGGGCCAGCCCGGCGGCTGGAGCAGGAGAGGAAGCCAGTTCTGCATGCAGAGTCCCTTCAGGCAAAGAGCGCAGAGGCGATGAACCCGGGCCAGGAGGAGAGGCGGCCAGTTTTGCATGCGGAGCGGGTGGTTCAGGCAAAGAGCGCAGAGGTGCTCCGCCAAGAATCGAATTGCAGAGAGGAGGGGCCAGCCCGGCGGGTGGAGCAGGAGAGGCAGCCAGTTCTGCATGCAGGGTCAGGCAAAGAGCAGCGAGAGGCAGCCAGTTGCTCCGCCAAGCGAATTGCAGAGAGAGTCCTGCATGCAGAGTCCCAGGCAAAGAGCGCAGAGGCGATGAACCCGGGCCAGGAGGAGAGGCGGCCAGTTTTGCATGCGGAGCGGGTGGTTCAGGCAAAGAGCGCAGAGGTGCTCCGCCAAGATTCGAATTGCAGAGAGGAGGGGCCAGCCCGGCGGCTGGAGCAGGAGAGGCAGCCAGTTCTGCATGCAGAGTCCCTTCAGGCAAAGAGCGCAGAGGCGATGAACCCGGGCCAGGAGGAGAGGCGGCCAGTTTTGCATGCGGAGCGGGTGGTTCAGGCAAAGAGCGCAGAGGTGCTCCGCCAAGATTCGAATTGCAGAGAGGAGGGGCCAGCCCGGCGGGTGGAGCAGGAGAGGCAGCCAGTTCTGCATGCAGAGTCCCTTCAGGCAAAGAGCGCAGAGGCGATGAACCCGGGCCAGGAGGAGAGGCTGGTTCAGGCAAAGAGCGCAGAGGTGTTTCGCCAAGGACTTGACTCGAATTGCAGAGAGGAGGGGCCAGCCCGGCGGGTGGAGCAGGAGAGGCAGCCAGTTCTGCATGCAGAGTCCCTTCAGGCAAAGAGCGCAGAGGCGATGAACCCGGGCCAGGAGGAGAGGCGGCCAGTTTTGCATGCGGAGCGGGTGGTTCAGGCAAAGAGCGCAGATGTGCTCCGCCAAGATTCGAATTGCAGAGAGGAGGGGCCAGCCCGGCGGGTGGAGCAGGAGAGGCAGCCAGTTCTGCATGCAGAGTCCCTTCTGGCAAAGAGCGCAGAGGCGATGAACCCGGGCCAAGAGGAGAGGCGGCCAGTTTTGCATGCGGAGCGGGTGGTTCAGGCAAAGAGCGCAGAGGTGTTCCGCCAAGTGCTTCATTCGAAATTCAGAGAGGAGGGGCCAGCCCGGCGGCTGGAGCAGGAGAGGCAGCCAGTTCTGCATGCAGAGTCCCTTCAGGCAAAGAGCGCAGAGGCGATGAACCCGGGCCATTTGGAACCCCAGTGGCAGTGCTTGGAGCCGTCCCCGGAGTTTCCAGACTCACCAAAGTCATCTCCGTCCAAGACGTCACTGCCCGCGGCACAGCCTTCGCCGCCGACTGCCACGGACAGCGCAGGCTCTCCCAGCGCTACACCGCCCGAGGATTCTTGGGCCTTCTGGCGTTCCCTGCTGGGACCAGAGCTGCTCTGTGTCTGAACCTGAATTCGAGCCAGGGTTGGCGGCTGCGGCTAGTACGGGGGATGTGAAATGGGTTCCTCACGAGCCCCGTTCCTTGTTGGCATAGCCCCAAGATGCATGGAATCGCACAGGTGCCTGGGGCCAATCAGCCTCGCACGGATCTGCTAATCTTGGATGCATTTCTTTCTCACTGTTGACTTGGGCGAGATGCTTGGGTGTAGGCTTGCCCGATTTACTGGGGGGTGCGACACAAAAAAGAATCGATTTGTCCGCAGGGTCATCATCATGGGTGGACAGTACGGTATCCCCAGGTGTGCCGTCTCGATCTCTTATCAGCCAGGAACGTTCGGGTGCTCCCACAGTGGCGCATGAGCGACGCGCAATGCAGCAGTCACAAGTGGCGCAGCCACAAGCTCAGGACAGAAGTGTCGAGTGGCTGGGTCTGTTTTTCGGCCCCTTTTTAGGATTAGAAAGGGAACTAGGTCCCCCAGTAGTGCCCTTTTACCCTTTTTGGGGGGAGGGCTCCCCTACCAAAATAGACTCAGACAAAAAATCGGGTACCCTTATTCTAACCTCTCTGGAGGACCTAGGGAAACCACATGTGAAACTCATCTTGGGGGCTTCCATGGCTGTTTGAGCCTAAGCTGTGGGCCTAGAGTCCTAGAGGAGACCCTGGAGCTTGGCGTAGAAGTGTTTTCGTGTGACCAATTTGGCAGTATTCACTGATATGCTGAAAAGCTGCAACTCTTCAGGCAATGAGCTAGTTGCTGTTTTTTCTTGGGCTGACACAGAATTCAGATTGATATATATATATATAGAGATCTGCTACACACTATGTGAGGTGCATTCTTGCGCATTATCATGCATCACCATATTCTGATTTGTTGACTGTTCTTGCGGCTTACGTGTTGTCTTGACACCTGAGATCTGTGTTTGCCGCATGTTCCCTTTTCCGCTGGCAGCCAACCTTGCTTTGTTGGACCGCTTCGTCGTTTGTTGCTTCCATTTGCTCAAGATGCTCTTGTATGTTTCCTTGTTGATCTAAAAGGGATTTGCCCACAGTAAACTTCTCACTTGTTGTGTTAGCAAATGTTAGCAACAAGGGAGAGTGGTTCCCTGAGAACGACCGGATCCCCCAAACATGAGGTGCTTGAAGAGACAAAGGCCGTGTTTCCCAGGAGCCGCTCTCCCCGCCCACCGCTTCGGGCAGGAAAGGCGGGGGCAGTTCGAAAGGGAAATCTGGAGAAGTCCCGAGTCCCGAGAGCGAGCGGTTTGCCAACCCGAATTCTAGGACACCCTCGGCTCCCTTCTGGACGGTGTTGAAGGGTTTGTATATATATATATATACATATGGGAATGTCCCTTTGCTGAAGATATTTCGTGCCCATCGGTATTGCAGGTTGCAAACCACCTGGAACCGCAAAAGCGAACGCAGCTGGGGAAACAAACCCGATAGAGGGACACACCCTTGGAGCAGAGGGTCAACCAGGATGGCCAATATGAAAGGCACACGATGCGGACCAAAAATGCAGCTCTGCCGCTTCCAGGTTGAGCAAAAATACGCAAGCGCACAACTTAGGGCGGTAGGACGGCAGTTCCGAGTCTCTTTGCAGACCTGGTTGAATCTGGCCATGGCAGTTCTAGAGTCGGGTGGCGTGTTTGGCGTGTTTGGCATGGTCTTGAGCTGGACCTGCGTGTGGATCCTTGAATGTGGCAGTTTTTTTGTGGGCTTGCAACATCGTGATGCAAGCACAAAGGATCCATGATCATGTAGCACACCTATAGGCGAATCTTTTGTTCTGCTGGCACGAGACGGGCTTGCACCCAAAGAGGCAAGACATTCTGCCTGTGACATGCGCACTGAACGGTGTGGACCTTGGCGGCCATGCCTTCCGAAAGCCATCGAATTTGCCCGGGTATGAAACGGAAATAGAGGTACACCAGCCATTTGATCCCTCCTGCTTGCTTCTTTGCCTGCTTGGCGGAAATCATTTCCGGGCCACTCATCAAGAATTGGACCAGATCTTTGCAGGTGAACGGAATTGCAACGTGTGGGACCGATGGCCCTAGGCAAAACGGAGCACTAAATCTGGGTTAGAAAGGAGCAACTCTCGTTCGCGAGCGAAAAACTGCATGCCGAGTTGTAAGGATCGACTCAACATCTTTCTCTCTGCAGCTACAAGATGATTGCCTAGGTCCCCCAGTAGTATATATACCCTTTTACCCTTTTTTGGGGGAGGGTTCCCCTACTAAAATAGACTACAGAAAAAAGGGTCCCCTTATTCTAACCTGTCTACTGGAGGACCTAGTTGCAACTCGTTGGGGTTCTCAGAGCCAACTGTGCCTGACATGCACCCCTTGAGGTGTTGCGGCTGAGGCGGGCGATTCGGTGGGCAGCTCCAAGTCGATGTTATTAATGTGGGTGTGGCTCAAAATTAAAAACTGGAGGGTACGCAGGTTTTGTTCCATGTTTCCACTTACCAGGATTTTGGGTACCGGTTTTTTGAGCCACAGCCATGTAGTCTCAGGCCAGGATGTTCTCCCAGCAGGTTTGGACAAACTTGGAGGTGTTTTTTGCACGCTTCGTCCACAGCCTTTCATCCCTGCAGCACAGTTTGTTCCTTTGTGCAATGTTTGCATGCGGCTGTTCAAGCGCCTTGCAACACAAGGATCCAGTGTCTCACGCAGCGTGTCACCCACTTTCTCTCCGTCTCCTTGAAGCGTTGAAAGCAGCCTCGATACACTGGAGACTGATAGCTTGATCGCTTGAGGCCTTGTAGGCACAGGGGCCCGTGTCCAGTGCTGTGGCCAAGAGGCACTTAGAGAGTTCGGTCAAGCGGTCGTATTTAGAAGGTGGTGTTTTGAAGCCACAACCTGCTGCACTGACCCTGAACTGCATGTAACCGCAAGGGGGCTTGTTGTGATGTGATGTTGAGCGGTTGTCCAATTAATTGTACCAACTCGATCATTTGCTGATGATTGATAATGACAGATGCGGTCGTGTCGAAACGGGTTTGTCTACCAAACAACTTCAGTCGCTTGGTCCCTCAGCCCAGTTACAAGTGCGCCTACATATTATCGATTTGTGCACGTCTTCCTTTTCACAATGCGCTCGTCATGCGCGTCTCATATGCTTGTCATAGACTTGTCACGCTGGTACTTCGAAGACCGACACGTTAGCAGTGTGGTCGAGGTTCCCTCCAGGAACGGCTCTCGTAGAGTTGCATTGGCTCCTCCAATCCTTGGCTACGAAAGGCTCTCGTCGAGGCAGCTCTTGGGATCAACGAGATTTGAGGATGGGAGGATTGGAGCTTCCAAAAGGCATCCCGGAAAATGACAGTTGGAGTGGTTCCAAATGGCTGGCTCAAAACACAGGTACCACAATGGAACCCTGGTAACTGAAACCAAAGACTAAAACCCGCGTAACCCCAGCTCTTTAATTTTGAGCCAGACCCACGGCACCGTCCTCTGAACGAGCGGCTTCAAGGACGGGTAGCTTGAGCGGGGGGGGTACTGGTTTACTCCTGTGGACGGGCGAAATCTACCAGCACCATCTATCCCAACTGGTGCGGGAATCTCGTCCAGGACTTATCATTCCCTCCTAGGTTAGTGTTGGTCAATTTCAACTGCTTGCTTCTTGAAAATGAACAGATGGACACCAGGACTTTCAAAGCTGTCATTTTAGAGGATCTTCTTTTTATACAAGGACACCTCGGGGTCTATGTCAATCTGTGGATAGCACGTCCACCGCTGAGACGCACCTGTGTAAAGATATCAAGAAAAGTACAACTGGGTGCTGACGGAATGTTGAAGACATTCCGAGAGCAAAGCAGGCAGACTAGCTAGCTCGTCCATTGGCCGAATCTCTTGTTTTGTAGGAATATGTTGGAACTCTGATGTTGTCGGCAGAGTCAGTTTCCGGTTGCAGCTCGAGAGTTCAGCATACACCTCAGTTCAAATGATCCACGCACATGAGAAAAAACAAGGTTTTGCTCCATCCAAAACGCATGTGACGGAATTAAAGCATCTTGAATTCACAGGTCTAGTGCCTTAGTCCTTTCCTTACTGGCTTGAACATATCGAGCAAATTCTGACATGTCAACCACCGGGGGAAGAGCCAGAGCCATTCTTGTCAATGGACGTTTGATTACGAGCGATCATTCAGCCCATCGGCGGCGTAAGTAACCGAGGCACTCGCATTTGCAGACGGCAAGCCTTGGCATTTGCTTATTGCTCATCCAGTCAGTGTCTGAGGTTTCAGTAGTTTTACAGATGGCAACGATTGTATGAAAGAAGCAGCATGACCAACTTCTTGAGTTCGTGCCCACGTGCCCGTCCGCTCAGGAGCAAGCTTGGTTGGTCTGCCTGCATAGCACGTTACACCGGGCCATCACGGGCCGCGCGAACAGGAATGGCACTAGGGTTCTGACGGCGGTGGTCTTGGACGAAACAGATCATCCTAAGGTTAGCCATCGATCCCTCAGAAAACTTTGCTGGATGCATTCTAGTGAGCCTCTTCGCAATTGTGCCACTGGGAATCCTGTGCCGATCACTTTGACAGGGCCTTCTTTTTGCCTGAATCAAGACGCTCCAGAGTCATCCTTCCGGAGAGTCTCTTTACCGCAGCTTTTAGCGTGAAAACGTGTACCTGACCTTCTGTGCTTCTCCGCGTGTCAGTGTGAAGCTGCAGTATTCTGCCGGGTTGCTTTGTCCACGGCCAACTGACTGTATTGTACATATAGTATGTAAATGGGGGTCGGTACTGTTGTTTCAACGCTATCGTGCTGAATTCATGACACGACCCATCCTCATCCTCGTCATCCCTCCTCCTCCTTCCTTTTCCTTCCTGCGCTTCCTCCTCTTCCTGCTCTTCCTCCTCTTCCTCGTCATCTGTTTGCATGCCTTGTCCTGACTTGTGACCCTGGTAGTGCGATTCCTAGCACCTCTAGCTTGACACAGCTCTTTCTCGACCCTTTGTTGGCTTGGTCTTTCTGTCATAGAATTAGTCTACTCGCCAAGCTTGGGTTATCCTTGAAAAGCTACCTTGTGGCAAAACACCGGGCAGTGAACCGTGAGAGTCCTCCGAGAGGTGGCGCGAGTTTTGCACTGGAGCCGGTCTCACACGAATTTGGGTCCGCTCTCACAAGAAAGCCCAGACAGCCCTGTACAGTGCCGCGCTGGAAATAATTACCGACCCCCAGAAATCCAGCATTTCTTCAGGATTCATTGCGGGGTGTATTCCAAAAACACTCAGCGATGCCAACTAGGCGTTCCCCAACAGCCACCTTGCTGATGCTATATGCTCCTAATGCAGACAAGCAGCAACGTATGTCTTCGGTTCGGCTATTCCTTGTCATGTCGCTCCAACGTAAAGTGCTGCATGCATAGCCAGCCGTTCATGTCACAGGAGAAACCTTCCCTGAAGAGGGTCAAAGTTCCACTGACTTTAGGCATTAGGCCTTCATAATCATAGGCGTCCTTTTTGGTTGTCTTGGTCGAAAAATAGATGGCCCTCTACCTGGTGGTTTAGTCATCTACCAGGGCCATCTATTTCCCCTAACAGGACTTCTATGTTCATCATCTTTTTGCGACTCCCATTCGGCGGCGGGCACCAGCAGTTTCACAGCCCCCAAAGCGGGCCGATTTGTTGGTTGGCAGCGTGGGTAGCGCAATCGAGAGACGCATACTTGCTCTTGGTTTGCCAGTTGCCCAGGCGCAACGCGAAGTCTTCGTGATTGCCAGGATTAAACAAGTGTTCATATAGACTTGAAACACATATCGTATTAAGTTGCAGATGGCGAAGTTGTATCAGCCATAAACCATTGCCATTTGCAGGGGGCCCTGTAGCGACCACACATTGCTTCTTGCGTTTCTTCGCTTTCCCTACGCGTCGCCTCTGGTCCTCACCTTGGAGTGCCAAGTGACCAAGTGCCGACGCCGTAGGAGCCGCATGCTTGGAGAAAGGGCGACACCTGTGGATCTGCTAGACGAACGAATCCGTTGAAAGGAAGCCAAAAGGAAACCTGCGATTTCTGCTTGTGCCTTTGGGGCTTGCTTGCTTGCCCTGTTGGCCGGCTGGCTTGTTCAATTGCCATGCCCGTGCCTTGCTTCATGCGGACTGGTTGCAGGTTGTCATTGCACGCATGCGCGTGCGCAAGGGGGAGGGGCTGCCTTGGTTGTATGCGGGGTATATGGGGGTAGAGTCCTGGACTATGTCGGTTGCAGCTGGAAACTTGAAGAAATCCATATGCCATGTGTGTGCACGAAGTTTGTTGTGTCGGAACAAGACAGCAGAAACCGTGGTATTTGAACAATGCAGTTGTTGGTCGTTTCGGGCCTCCTTCGTTTCAGAGTTGAGCTCAACTATCTTCATTTGCATCTTCATGTCTCGCATAGTTGGCCACAATGTCAGGCCTTGTGTGTGAAACGCCTTAGACCGCTGCCGTGAGTTTCTGCAAGGGAAGTCACTGCCAGCCACGACTGGTGACCTAGCGACTGTCGAAATCTGCGCTGATTCCTGGTTAGATCAGCCAGACCTACCCGGCAACATCTGAGGCCTTCTCATTTAGAACGTTTTGAGTTGAAGACTTGAAACCCTTTCCTTTGATCTTGATGTGTGTTCATCCTCTTGATAGTTGTGTCTGGTGTGTGTGTGTGTGTGTGTCTGTGTGTCTGTGTGTCTGTGTGTCTGTGTGTCTGTGTGTCTGTGTGTCTGTGTGTCTGTGTGTCTGTGTGTCTGTGTGTCTGTGTGTCTGTGTGTCTGTGTGTCTGTGTGTCTGTGTGTCTGTGTGTCTGTGTGTCTGTGTGTCTGTGTGTCTGTGTGTCTGTGTGTCTGTGTGTCTGTGTGTCTGTGTGTCTGTGTGTCTGTGTCTGTGTCTGTGTGTGTTTGTGTGTTTGTGTGTTTGTGTGTTTGTGTGTTTGTGTGTTTGTGCGTGTGTGCGTGTGTGCGTGCTTGTTTGTTTGTTTGTTTGTTTGTGTGCATGGAAATGCGGGTGCGTGCCCGGGCATGCTCGTTGTTGGCCTCAAACCTTTGCTGGTATTTGAAGTCAAGGTGAATGTTTGGCTGTTGGTGCTGCTTTTCAAGTTGTCAACCCGGGCTTAGATTTTGATTGTTGATGTCGAACTATTTGGCTGTCGCTCTAATCCTGATTGCGCCCAGTGCTTGAGCAAGTGTCCATGCGGAATGAATGGCCTTGAGACAGCAGGACGGGCGTATTTGCTTTCTGGTTTGCGATTCTTGGTGGGGTTATGCCACAGGGGCTCAAGCACGGCAGATGTTTGCATGGCAGCCACAGGCACAGTGTAGCCTGGCGCAATGAAGCTAGCTTGCCCACCAAGTCCATTTGCAGCACAACATGTGCCATGAACCTAGACAGCATCAACCTTGAACAATCCAAGCACGTACCATTAACCTAGAAAGCATCAAACTTGGACCATCTAAGCTACATGCCGCAATAACAACAGCAGCGCACCTGTTTCTGGCTACCATGGGGCTCGAGCCTTAGGCTCCCGCACTCCAGTAGAGTCAATTGTGGTGATGAAATACTGGCGTATATTGAATTCTATTTGCTCGCCGCTCGGCTGGTGCCGCACTATCTCAACAAAAAGCAGACCCAACAAGAACTTTCAGAGCCAGGGTACACCTCAGTAGAGGGACTTGCATGGCAGTGTTTCCTGACACCTGGCATGCGTGTATTGCCCCGCCCAGTACCACGCTTCGCACCAGGTCGAGAGGCCTGGGCTTTCAGGTCAAAGCGGAATCCGCGAGAGAGCTCTCGGGGTTTCGGGAGAAGTCCGCTGAAGCACGGGAGTTTCCGCCACCGGCGATGCATCTTTTCAGTTTCCTTTCCCTTAAATCCATTCAAAGGCCCCCTTGTGTGTGTGTGTGTTTGCTGGGTTGTAAGTTGTATGTTATAGACCTCCAGGCCACCCGCTTCCGTTGGCAACGGCACTGGCAGTTGCACGGGTCTGCATGGAGAGCGCACCAGACACAATGAGTCTGTGACAATGTTTGTTTAAGGGCTGGACGATATATATATATATATATATCTACACATTTATGTGGATAAACATATATATATATATGTATATACAGAATACACAGATAGTTTTCCATGTCACCCTTGAATTTGAAGGTGTCACCACATACCGGCCGGTTTGTATGAGTGAACCCGCCAAAGCGACCTTTGTATCGACAGGCGCAACCCACCTGGACCTGGACTGCAAGGCGCAACAGTCAAAGCCCCCACCCCTTTGAAGGAAAACAACAAGCAGGTTACTTCAAAACCAGTGTCTTAGCCATGATAAATATATAAAGTTTGAACCTCAGACGGACCACGCCCGCTTTTCAACGGGGAAATCCAAAGGTGGCTGTTTGCACATTGGTCTAATTAAGCATGCTTTCCCAGAAGACTTGAGCAATTTCATGCAGGGTTGCATGCTGCCTGTTTTGCGTCTTTTTGCCCTTCAAGTCATGAGCGTGCCGTCAACGGATCGGGAGGGTGCGCAGAAATTCCAATTCTAGAGCGGCGCCTCTGGTACCAAGCAAGTCTTCAATGGGGGTTTGTCTGTTTTTGGACCCCCAAAACGGTCGGATTCCTTTTGGTTCCCTTTTAACCCCCCCCCGGCTCCCCCCCCCACCCCCCCTCCCCCCCAACACAACCATCACCGACCGCCGTTTGAGGGACCCGTCCGGTCCAAAATCAGGAGGCGCTCCAGCAGCTCTTGCGGCCCAGGCGAGGTGGGGGTCCAAAACCCCCCAAAATGGGTGGGGCGGCCCTGCTATGTTTCCCATTTTGGCACCGTTTTGGCCCATGAAAGGTGCGTGTCCCCAGGTGGGGGTGATGTTTTAAGCGGAAATATTGGAGTCCTGAAAAATGGTGGGTGAATTCCCAATATCTGGCCTTCCTTTGTACCAACATGGTTTACTATGGACAACCTGCGTGTTTTTTTTTGCCATGGGGGATTAATTTGGACCCATGGCAGAATTTGGATTCCTGTTAAACCAACCTTCTTTTTTTGCGGGGGGTGGAGCGGGGGGGTACACCCCCAAAAAACACGAGCCACCCATTCGGGCATAGCTGACTCTGGAGGTAGCATTGGCCATTTTTGGGCAGACTGTGAATTCCCATGGTCGAGCTTTCTTGCGGAGATTGTCAGCTCAGACGCCATGCAATAGCTGGGCTCCGCCAAAATGCATGGATCCACAACTTGATGGATAATAATTGCCTCTGATTCTGCAACAACACTGCCCAACCCTCCTGCAAACTGAAAAAAAACGTGTTTTCTCTCCCTCTCTCTCTCTGGAACTTCCAGAATGTCAAGTAAAACGGTAGACAACAAATTGGGGTGTTTTTTTAAGCGGGTTTTGTTTATCCTTGTGCCACGTCGGAGCAGCCCCAACGACGGGGCTGCATTACAAATGCTGCGACCCTGTCAGTTACTATGGGGTCATCAACGCCTGGATGCAGAACGCGTACCGGCCTCGGCCCTCTATATTGCTTTGCCTGGAAGGGAGTCTTGCTTGGTGTAGGTCCGTGTTTCTCCTTCAGCTTTCACACTCAAAGTGCCTGCCTGATTTTGCCGGCGCGAAAGAAGCAAGGCTCAACTCCGGAACTCCAAGGTCAGGTTTAAGCTTAGCTATCTCGACGACGGAGCTTGGGCGTTGGTTCAAGTTGTTGTCTTGCCTGTGCGCACCTTGCAAAAAAAGTTAGATGGGGCACGTCGCACGTCTTGCTGGTATTTTTTTCCAACTCATGTAGCCAATGCATTGTCATTTGCTTTGTTCCTTTGTATTGCAAGAGTCGGTGATGCAACATCGCGATGCTTATGTTCATCCAATCCCATTTAATTTTGAGGCGGGTTCGTGATACGCGCTGAAGCTAGAATATCGTCTGAAGATGCCGTACCATGCTCCTGTCTCCGCGCGCCTTTTCTTCATCACCTGCATTCCAATTTTGGACAGTTGAATATTTAATAGATGCATCTTCTAAGGCTACAAATTCAACAACAGCTGCATGTAATTGATTGCTACTAAACTGTGGCGAGGTACATCCTTCTAAACAACTAACCGAACTTCGTTCTTCAGCAATAGTAAGTGTTCTTTCAAATTGTCCTGGCGATGGCAAAGGTCCACACGCATGAAGCGCGACATGGTGCTGCTGGGGAAACGGGTGGAAGGCGCTGCGGAAGCCTTGACCTTCGCGTGAGTGGAGCTCCTTCGGTTGCTATATCGTCAAGGGTACCGTCAGTTGTTTCAAAAGCATGGTGTTAATGAATTAGTTGGTTGGCCGCAGCGCTGGGGCCTGTGTATTGCTTGGAGCGCGTTCAAATGTTGGCACACGGGCGCCGCTTTTGCTGCTCGGCCTGCGAACAGCCTTGATCTTGGGACGCTTCCTTCGGAGAGGCAATGAAATTGAAGCAGTGGCTGAATGCTGGCGAATGTGGGGTTGTCAAGACTAGCGGCAGCTATTTACTGTAGTTAGGACATGTTTTATTGGACGCCAGCCTGGAGGGCTCCCTGATTTGACACCCTATGATTTTGTGGAGGTTTCGGATAGCAAAAGAGCTGCACTGCGCCAGAAGCAGAGCGGCCCGGGAAGAACCCATACCTGATGGCAACTTGGCTGCAAGTGTTGCCTTTGCGAACAAACTCGTCTGCCTTTGCGCTTTGAGAATCCGCGGGTCTTGGGCAACAAATGGGTGAGTCTTTTTAAGGCACCCCCCACACAAAAACGTGGCTTTCCTCTTGGTTTCCCTCTGAAGCCCAACAACAATGGGGGTACCTACTACAAAAACACCCCAAGCTGCCTGTGCAGCTTGCGGCTCCCGCTCTACGCAGCGCCCGCCACTTTTGGCGTTTTGCCCCGCGCCCAGGCAGATGTCGGCAAGATTCAGGCCGCCTCCGATGTGGTTTGTGGGAGGGGACACAATGGCACGTGTTGCGTGCGAAGCAGCCGCCCTCCACTGCCAGTAACTTCCTATCATGTGTTGGTCTGCTTGCAATACTGAGAGAACTTGCTCCACAACAGTTTGTCTCAGTCCGAACCCCAAGATGGTTTCCTTTTGCACCCATGGCCCATGAGCCCCTGGGTGAACTCACCTGGGCCTGGCTCCGCTGACCTTTCCTTGCTTCCATTTTGCAGGCTCACCCTGCTTGTGGCTTGTCGTTTTCGCTTGAGTGGTTGGTTTCCGGGTGGTTTGTTGTTTCTTCCTTCCCAAGCTTTCAAAGCTTGCTTGGCGCTTTGGTTGTCAAATTGGGAGGCTTCAAACCAGCATGTTCAGCAAGGAGCCCTAGGGGTTCCTTGTTCCGCTTGGGGAAGCCCCGACAAAACCGGCCAAAGGCTTTGAGGAGGACAGGTTTGTCACTGGCCCTTTCCCGACTTGCGGCCAGCTGCTGTCCGCCTCTCCACGTTCAACCCGGGCAACTGGGGATCTCTGAACATGTGGGTATGGGTCAAAATTCAACCAGGAATTGGACCACTGTCACAGGTAGGTCATGTTTTCACTTAGGGCAAGCCATTCTGGGGTTACCCTATTTTTGACCAGCCATGTGATGCTGCAAAAGAATGCTTTGAGCGGCGCTGGAGAGCACAATCTCTGCAAGGGATGTATCAGAATGATGACGCAGTGCAGTGATGCGGCACGAGCACCAGTCATCACTTGTCGACACGCCATGCAGCCTTTCTTGGGTAGTTCAGATCATGCACGACCTGTCGTCTTCGCTTGCCGAGATCATGTCCAACCCCTCTGGGCGGCAGAGGGAAGCGAACGCCAGGGCGCCCTAGCTGGCGCTCAAAGCTTGTTGCCCCCCCTTTCGGCGGGGAATTCTTTCACAAATTTTGGGGTCCTTGCTCTGAATTGGTGCGGTGTTCCAGATTGAGCACATCTAAAGAGCCACTGTACAAGTTCATGGGCCATGGTTCGCGGCACGCTTTGTCGCATGCCGAGGCCCGGACAGGCGCCCCATGGCTTACATCGCACAAATCACTCGAGCACGGTTAACTCGCAGGTTGCTAGGCCACGGCACCGGCCCAGGTCATCCCCACCACTGCCGACAGGGTGCAGGCCGACCTCTTAAGGAACCAGCCGGAGCGCCAAAAGTCGGAGTCGTTGGTTTTCTTTTGCATCCCTCGGAAACGGATTGCACGGGTTTTGAATGAGGCCCAGGGGCTTTGCTTCGTGGCCAACTTAAGGTAAACAAAAAAAAAAAGAAAAAACACAAGTTTGCCGCCTGTTTCGCCGCCAGCGGGGGGAAGGAGGCCAACGCCCAGGTCCTCCCACATCACTTACATGGGGTCAGGTTTGCCAAGGCGAAACTAGCACGAGCCAGCCGTCTTTTTGAGGCAACAGCTATGGCAAGTATGGAGTGTGGCCTTAGCGAAACTTGAAGGACAGCTGTCCACCGGTGGAGTCTCTCAGACTGCCCCGCCCATTGCTTCAGGATATTTGTAGACAGATTTTCCAAAGCGTGATGTGAAAAGAGCGAGGCCTTTGGGGAGAAGGGAGGCGTCATGTGCCTTTAAGTTGCAGTCACAGTGGCATTCTGTTGCTTGCATTGGTACGCGCCACATGAGATGTGGTGGAAGCATGGGGTGCACAACGAGAGACCACCGCCCTGAGTTGACAGAGCCGACTTGTTACCTTTTGGTGGACACCCCTAAGAAGGCAGTGCTCTCCGGATGGAGGTCAAACAGGTGTTTCTTGTCAACAAGGAAGGTACAAGCCAGCTGCGGATCTGTGTTCCATGGAATTTATGCTGGCAACGCGTTGAGATTTTAGTGCTGGGTTCTGATCGGTTCGGCCCTTCCGCGCTTGCCGTCTGGATCCGAGTGGATCAAATCTCGCGCGTTTCCACGGCTCTTGGTGCAGAAGTGGGGCTATAGGTGCAAAGCACTGGTTTACTTTTGCTTTATTGCATTTGTTCCATTTACCACTGTCTTCTTCCAGAGGGTCACCTAGTGGTTGACGTGTTTTCCGCGCGTGCTTTTCGGGTGCAGAAGATGCCATGCCGCAGATCTCCAAAGCTGAGAAGGACATCTTGGCGGAGATTGGGGAGGACCAGGAGCAGAAGAGCAGGCTCCGCGCCTTCCGGGAGAACTTGCAGCGGAGGGCCGAGAGGAAGAGAGCCCGACAGGAGGAGAAACTACGGCTGCAGAAGGAGAGTGTGGCAAGGAAGGAGGCAAGAAGAAAGCAGAGGGAGACACAGAGATTTGCAAATGAGGCGCGGCTGCAGGCACAGCCAACTGATGTGAGTCTAGACCCAGACTCCGTCTCAGATGGCAAAAGCGAAATTGGCCGGACCAGCCCGAGCCCCATGAGCCCTGCAGAAAGCATTGGCCTGAAGTCCGAGGCGACTAGCTTCATGAGCTCCAAAATGCTGCGATCCTCCACCACGGTCTCGGGGCTCTCCATGCTGTCGGACGGGTCTGAGGAGCTTGACGACAGCGACGAAGAAGACAAGTCCAAGGCCCTGAGTCGCCAAACCACCAGGATGTCCTCCGTGAAGCATCGGGCGCAGACCAGCGCCATGTCATTGGATGAGGACTCGCAGAAGAAGCACAAAGGGACCATCTCCGGCGCCATCGGCGGGGGGATCAGGGCCACAGGCTTGGCCCTTTGCCCGAAGTTACCGCCCCCACTGGCAAACAGTTGAATGAATCTATGTCAAATGAATATAGTATTTGTGTCAAACATACATATATATGTATATGTATAGTATGTATACATGTATATATATATATATTATGTACATATATATATATATTATACATGTATTGATTGTGGATTCACCCCTGGCCTTTATTCATATGTCCTCCTCCTTGTTACCGCACCATTTGTTTTTTGCCTCCGTCCAGGGAAGACGATGCTGAAGACGGGCACCACCGTGGGTCTGCTGCTGGGCGTGGTGCCCTCCAAGACCTCCCGGGACTACTTGCTGCGGAAGGTGACCCGCTGGTTCCCCAGCCGCCGCGGGGTGGGGCAGGCGGGAGGGTTGTTTTTTGTTTCTTCATCCGCGGCTCTGTGGGGGTCACACCATTTGGCGCTGTGTGTGTTTGTGTTTTTCTATTTTTATTGGTTTTCTTCTTTCTAAGGGGAAACCACTCTTTCCTGTGTGTTTTTTTTCTTCCAAGGGAAGCCACTCTTTATCAAATGTGTTCCCTTGGAGCTGCGAATCAGCTGATTTACTCTTCAAAGCAGGCGGTTCGAAGGCCACCCCAGAGGAGTTCAGCGGTCTGAGCCTTCCCCGGGCTAAGGTTTTGGCTTGACATCAGGTCCTTTCTGTCCAGTGCCTTTTGGAAAACCGATTCCTATAACCTCTTCGAGCCTCAGAAGTTTTCTTGTTTCTTTTTTGTTGGGGGGGGCTGTATCACCATGTTTCAGCGTTTGCCTGGGGTTTTGAACGCCCATGAGATCAGAGAATCCTTTGGCCCTGTCCAATTTGTCACACGGCGGGAGACTGGCGGGGGGGGGGGATGGACAGTAGATTATGTACTTATGTGGCGAACAGCTGCGGCCTAGATGAAATCCAATTTCTAATCATTCTAACTATTCCTTGAAATAACACGAAAAATAGGCACAAACTACTTAGAATATGTAGTGATTCATTGCTGTATTCGAGTTCTTCGGAGCTTGGGGTCCGGCGTCAGGTGCGGCCCCAGGACGACGCGGACTCGGACTCGGACTCCGTGGGCACCGAGGACAGCGAGGCGGAGGCCATCCGCGAGGAGACGAAGCGCCGCTTCGGGGAGAAGGCGCGTGGCGGGGTCGGTTCCGGGGCTGGGGCCGTTGCTTGGGGGGAGGTTGTTTTTTTTTGGGGGGGGTGGGCGAAAGGAAAGGGGGGGTTGAAGAGCGGGGGAGTTGTCTTGAATGGGTTTTGGTTGAACCCTTCCGGGTTTTTCCTTTGAGTTCTTTCTTCTCCTCGGATGAACTTGTGTTGCCCTCTTCCCCGCCAAGCTCGTCGCCGTCGCCCCCCTCCGCGGTCGCGGCATCGCGGGATCGCGGGATCGCGGGGGGAATTTGAGGCCTCGAAGAGTTGGACCTCCATGGACAACGCCGGGGAGAACATCAAGGCCCGCGCCCGCGAGGTCGTGGGCTACCCCGCCGACGACTCCGAGGCGCGATGGGCGGTGGGTGAAAAAAAGAAAAGAAAAACGGCCAGGGTTAAGGGCGCGAAGTCGGCGGAGGGTGGAGAAACCGAGCCGTGGAAAAAAGAGCACAAACCAAAGACCGCTCGAAGTCAAGGTGCAACCTAAAGCTGTGGTTTTTGTTAAGTTTGGCCCACGAAGTCGCCCAAGGACGACTGGACCTTCGTTTTGAGGCTGCAGAGAGCCACTGGGATCCTTTGGTTCCGCATGCAGCTGGCTGTGCGAAAGATCGCGGTGGCAGACAATCCCCCGCACCCGTCGCTGAAGCGGATGGTGGAGTCTCTTCGCTTCGAAGCCTTCATCGGGGCCTTGATCGTGGTGAACGGCATCATCTCCGGCATGGACGCCATGTACAAACCCGGCGAGGTGAGCCACAATCAAACCTGGGTAGATGAAGGTTAGCAAGGGACAATCCATAAATAGCTTCGGATATCCGCCTTCTTAGTTCTTGAAGCATGGTTCTGGGTCAACCATTCTAATACCGCGTTTTGATTGTGGCTCAGGTGCGGCCGTCGCTCATCACCGTGGCCGAGAACGTCTTCGTGGTGATCTTCGTCACCGAGTATTTCCTGCGTTTGCGGGCGGACACCTGGGTTTGGATGTTCGAGCCCATGAACATGTTCGACACCTTCGTGGTTTGGATCACTGGGGTGCTGGTGGTTTCTTCCCGCTATGAGTTCCTTTTTCTGTTCCCCTGTTTTTGTTTTATTGCAACCTCTCACTGGAAATATGTGGCTCTGAACTTTATCAGGGAGTCACCACCAAAGTGCTTGGTGCCAAGTGAACATCTCACCCCTTGAAGGTCCCGCAGGAAAAAAAAGAGGAAAAAATGAAAAGACACAAAAACACCAGCACCTCATTTTCCCCTCTTAGTCTCCGACCAAAGTTGCGAATTCGCTCAACCGGAAGGTTTGGATTTTGGAGCCTTTGGGCATCGAGATCGACATCTTGCGGCGCCTGGCGGCTTTGCGCGTGCTGCGCCTGGGGCGGCTGGCGCGTGCCGTGCGCATCATGCCCATGTTCCGCGGAAACAAAGCTGAGACCTTCTCAACCAGAAAACGCCAAGGGTTTTGCTTATTTCTTCTTTTAAACTAAAACCGTCATTGTTTTCTTTTGGTTTGCTTGCCTAAAGCGAATGAAGATGCGAGCTTGGTTTGTGGGTCCGCTGGCTTAGGTTCCACGAGCTGTGGATGTTGGTGTCCGGAGTGCTGGAGTGCACTCGCCTGCTCTTCTGGTCCTTTGTCATCATCGGCGTGGTGCACTTCATGTCTGCCGTCGTGGTCATGGAAACCATCACCAAGTCCGAGCTCTTCGAAGACGACCCCACGGTGCAGAACTTCTTTGGCACGCTGTCCTACTCGATGTTTACTCTTTTCCAGTTTATGACCTTTGACAGCTGGGCCAGCATTGCCAGACCCATCATTTATCAGATGCCAGAAGCAGCCGCCTTCTTTCTGCTGTTTATGGGCATTGCTGGAATTGTGCTCTTCAACCTCATGACCGCCATTGTCGTGAAGAACGCCTTCGATGCTGCGGAGGCCGATGAGGAGGCCAAAGCTCAGCAGCAGGTGCAGCAACAGGCCAAGATGGCGGCGGATCTGCGGACCATGTTCATCGCCTTGGACGAAGACGGCAGCGGCACGCTCACGCGCGAGGAGTTTACGGATGTCTTGGATGACGTTTTGTTCATCCGCCAGATGAAGGTTCTGGACATTGATTTGGAAGAGCTGCCTGACATCTTCGACATCTTGGATGATGGGGATGCTCTGCTGTCCTTAGATCTTTGGAGTGGTCTTGTTGGCGTTCCTTGGTTGTGTGTTAAACACAGGGTCCCCTCCAAAATAATTGGCTGTTTTCTGTTTTCGGAATTTGTTTTCCACGGGGCCCAAAGCCAATTTGACCAATCCACGTGCAAGGATGGGAACATCACCACGGAGGAGTTCTGCTTGGGCCTGACGCGTCTGCAGGGCGTGGCCATGAGCCGCGACATGCTGCGCTGCACCTCCCGCAACATCCAGCTGAACACGCTCTTCGGGGAGGTGCGCCGCGGAACCGAGGGCAAAGTCCCCAAGAAATCGGGCGCCCTGTGAAGTCTTGCCGCTGTTTGTGGGTACCCTCCCACCGTGCACAGACCCCTGTAGAAAGACTACTTTCCTCTTGTTAGTTGGTGGGAGGGTAGACGATGGTAAAAACCAGGTTCGGAGTGCGGCTCAGGTGAGGAATACGATGGGCCGGAAGGTGGACAAGACGTTGGGTTTGATCGAGACCAGCATGGAGGAGGCCCAGATAGATGTTTATGTTGCTTCTTTACTTTCTTTTTCGAGTTTTTGTTTCTTCTTTTTTTTTCTCTTTTTTTTTCGGGGTTGTTTTTAAGCGAAACCAACGAAACCACCAATGTTTGGGTCTCCCCATTCAGAGACAAACTCCACGGAGAATTCCCTCAGGGTAGTTAGGCTGTGGACGCTACAAAAAGGCTCTTGTTGGATAGGTTGTATCAGCACAAGGATCTCGAATGAGCCGGTGGACAATGCTCGTTGCCCGTTCCAACAAGCACTGGCGTCAAAGAGGGGGTGAAATTCGCATGACTTCCCCTCACTGTCTTGCCCTGGACTTCTTTGTATCGGAATGAAAGGGTTCCAATGTTTTGTTTGCCTCAAACAGAGGGGCATGGGATAAAGGGAGTCTATCAGTCAGATTTCTGGCAGTTGTTTCTTCCTGGAGGTTTTGTTGCTGGTTCTGGAGGGCAGACATGGCCAAACAGGTCTTTGAGAAGCAATCACGGGATGATCGGGGTCCTTTAGAACAGACGGGAACCATCGGAGCAGTTCAATCCCGCACAGGACACCTCCTGTTCGATTTTTCTGTAGGTGTGTCTCTTTGTTTCGGGGAATTTGTGTGTTGGCGTTCAGATGTTTGGCAAGCGCTTTTGTTCTTCGGGATCGTTTTCGGGGGATTTGGGCGTGTGTGTGTGTGTCAATATAGGGTTTGAATTGTGTGTTCCCTTTTGGGTTCCCTTTAAACCAACCCCAAAAAGAGCCCTCCAAAAGCGGGGGGAAACACATCGACTTGGGTTTTTTTTGGTTCCCCTAAACGCCTAGGCTCACGTGAATCTAGTGGAGATGCAGCAGATGACGGCGGAGGTGCTGAAGAAGTTGGAGGAGGCCATGGTTGAATTGTTGCCTCTTTTTCTTTTTGGGGGGGGGGGACCCTGAAATGGTGGGTGTTCTTTTGGGTTCCCTTAAACCAACCTGAAAAGGGTACGCTCAAAAAACAGACACCCCCCAAACCATGCTTTTAACCACCATGGTTTGAAGAACTTCCTCAATGAATCATGGGGTTCTGTTTGATTTCTCTTTAGGTGACCTTCCCCAACCACATGTCAAAGTCAGTTACTGGGGTAGACAAAAAAGTCAGGAAGCATAATCAGTACCCCGGATGGCCAAAGGGGACCAATCCAAGAAACCATCAAACCAGGAATTTCTCCAGGCAATCAGCCAGATACAAAGAAGAACCAGGGCTTTGTTTGGGTTTCTTGGAGAATTGGCAGCTGGTTTACTGGAACCAAGGCTTGGACCTCTGATCCCAACCAGTTTTTTGCCCCCCGGCGAGGCCGGGCTCCACCGCGCGGTGCGCTCCACCACAGAGGCCCTGGATGAGGTGCCGCCCCCGACCCTGGAGGATATCGCCAAGCGCGAGGACGGGCGGAGCGCGCGAGAGGGCGGAGCGGAGGTGCTTTTTGTTTTTTTGGGCCCCGGAAGTTCAGTTTGGGTCGAAGTTTGGGTCCAATCATCCCTGGTCCAGCTTTGGCACAGTTCCACTTTGGCCGGCTGAGTTGGTCCAATGTTGGTCCAGTTTCGGGCCAACTTTGGCCCAATGTTGGTGTCCAAGGGTGGCTTTCAGCTTCACCACTTGGGGTTGCCGATTCATTGAATTTTGGGCGGGTCTACAGGTCTACAGTTGGGTAGTGGCACACTTTCTTCATGTTGGTTTCATCACCCTTTCAAAAACTTTTCGGACAGAAAGGGAATCCCACCTGCTTTCACCCTGGCGTCCACCGGTGCCGTAGGAGGAAGCCGCGAGGCAAGCGGAGCTGGCGCGGTTTGGGAGGGCCAACAGCAGCCGCAGCGTGAAATCCACCCAGGCCAAAGAGACGTTGCCTCGCATCCCATCTGCCTGGGTGCTGAATCGCAAGAAGGAGGGGGTCTCAAAAAAAGCGGGAGCCCTACAAATGCTTCAAGGGAAAAGGAAAGCAACCAGCTTTTGGGGTCTGCTTTTCTGGAAGATTGGAAAGACCCATAGATTGTTCTTGTTTTAAAGGAAGCCAGAAGTCTAGAATGGGATCTCTTTCAGTAACATGATGTTGCAATTGTCACGATTTGCCACAGCTGATAGGTAACCTCAGCCTTGATCAAGGGGATGACACCGTTTCTTCTCAGGTTTTGTCAGACAAACATCAATGCGTGTTTCTCTGTTTTGGCCCATCCAAGCAACCTTCGTTCCAATCAACGCTTTGGCCACCCTATGAGGACTTGGAGGAGAGGAAGCAAGCGCTGCGAGCGCAGCAGCATGAGGACGTAGGAGCGGATGTCCAGGAGACGCTGGTGCCGGGCGTGCTGAAGGCAGGGGGTGCTAGAAGGCTACCACCAGGTGTACACCTTTGGGGAGATGTTGCTGTGGGTCAAAAGCACCACCCATTTTAGAACCTATTTTTTTGTGGGGATTGGGATGTTCACTGGGGGTACGGGATTTTGACCCATGGCCATGTAGCAAACAACCAGCCTTTTCTTTCCACAAGGGATGGTTTATATGGGTCATTCCCTCCTTTCCTGCCTATCGCACCAGTAAGTTTTTGTGGAGTAGCTCCCTGAGGAGTTCCAGCGCGAATGGGCTCTGCGGGAGTTGCACGTGCCGCAGAAGCGCCGGGAGGATCGCTTGGCAGAGGCGATGGCCGCCAAGAAGGAGCCCCAAGAAGCCAAGGAGAAGAAGTTGCCGGCCCAGCTGCCGGCGTCCCTGGCGCCCAACACGGTGTACGAGCAGGAGGCGGAGCAAGCAGTGGTGGCCGAGGAGGAAGCTGAGGAGGTGGTCAGGAAGGACGTGAACAAGATGAACATCAAGGAGCTCAAGGAGCTGGCAGACAGTCTGGGAATGGAAGGCTTCGAAGGAATGAAGAAGGTGCAGCTTTTGCCACTGGTACTGGCAAAATTGGAGGAGGTGGCGAATTTGGGCAAGGCGCCTTTGTCCATGATGTAGTTAAACAAACGCCAGTTTGTGTTTTTCCCTAGGCCAATAGGTGTTTCACCCTCAGCCAGTTGCATGATGCATCGTGTGAGATAGGCCATGACCAAGTCATGCTGCCACAGAGTCAAAAGCAGTTTGGGCCGAGGAGAAAGCACCAAAGTGAGCTCTGATAGCTGAATAGAGAGGTGAACAAACCAGCCAATAGCTCGTAGCCGTAGCACAACAATCGCAGAGCCCAGGTTAGGATAGCCTTGGATTGGACCCCTTATTTCCAGATGAATTTCAGAATTGTTGCCTTTTCCATCGCCGCAACGCCGTAGATGTTGTTGGGCTCCCTTCAATGTGCGTTGCAGGAGGCAAACCGTGGTGCGAAAGGACAGCTGCTTTGATTGATTGGGGAGCCCATAGACATGGTTGGCATTCTTCTCAAGCACCATGCGAAATATCGCCAAAACCAGTTAAATGGGTCAACAGCTTCTTGGTTTTCTTCTGTTTTCCCATCAACCAGCCAGCGAATTGGTTGCCTTTTTTGAAACACACAAAAGAACATGAATCAAGCCCGTATTTGGTTGCCGTTGTTCAGTGAAACAAGCACACTCCAGTTTTGTACCTCCTCCTGTGTCGGTGCGTTCCAAACTTGTGTGTGTGTGTGTGCCATGCGGGGTGATCCAGGTGCGCTTGAGAGGCTGAAGTGTTTTCCTCTTGGTTGTACAGGGAAATCTTTGTTCCCTTCATTGGGGGCAAATGGGAAACTACCCCTAACCGCTAAACCACAACTAGGTCCCCCAGTAGTGCCCTTTTACCCTTTTTGGGGGAGGGTTCCCCCACTAAAATAGACTACAGAAAAAAGGGTCCCTTATTCTAACCTCTCTACTGGAGAACCTAGATTCGAGGGACGCCGAATGGAGGTAGTCCATTTGTTTGGTCGAGGTCCGGCCTAGAGCAGCGGGACCCACGCCGCGTCGCCGAGCGCAGGCGCGTCGAGGGGATGGACGTCAGATCTGTTTTTTTTGTTGGGCGCCTTATCAGCCACCTCAGGCTCAAAAGAGAACCAAAGGATAAACCAACCATTTTCGTGGTCCCCCTGTTCTGACACATAGATGTGACATGGTGGGAAACTCTCGTATTGTTTGGGGTGGACATGAACCTCCATGTAAGTAAAAGACAGTATAGGCTTCCGGCCGTGATCATGGCCTGCTGAAGGAGTTTTGAACATGGCACGTGTGTATGTGTTCTTTTGTTTGGGAGCCCCCTTTTGGTTGGCTTAGGGAAACCAGAAGGACACCAACCATCTTGGGTTCACCAATTTGAGACAGACCCATATTCCAGTTCCAATTTGGTTCAGGGACCAATGGCTTGTGGCCCATGCATTTCTTTTTCCGCAGGCATCTCCGGCAAGTCAACGAGAAGCAAATTGGTACAGGTCCCCAATCCATTTGGGTATGTTGTTCAACCGGGGGACCGGAGCCCTTTTTGGGATGACCCCTTTCGATGGTAAAAGGAAGCCAACCAGCTGGAGGGCCCCCGAAATTTGAGAAACACCCGTAAGTTTATTTGTTTCTTGTGGACGCATGTGAGAGAGAGCTTCAGGAAGTCCCTTTCCCGGTGAGACATTTCTGCCGAGATTGCAGTGGCGCGCTATCCATTGGTTGGTTGTGTACTGCCAGAGTAGAGCACGTTGGCGGTGATGGCATGAAGCCTCTTTTTTTCTGCTAACTTGCTCATCATCAAATCACGTGAAACGGCCAAATGGGTACGGAAAACCCCTCTCCAGGGGGATGGATGGTATTTTCTTAGCATCATGCCACTGGTGGGAAGTGCAAATGTGAAATGGAAGAAGAATCACTTGAGACGCGAGACACCGCACTTTGCCAGCCATCAGTCCGGGTGCGTGGAAGTCAAGATCGCATGGGATGCCAAGATCAAGCTTCCTTAGATGCATTTGCGCCAGTTGAAGCATCACCTTTTCCAGCTTTGGAGGACTCCCTTGCTTTAGCAGGTGCTGCGGGCCGATCCTAGCGAAGATCCGCAGGTACATGGCCAGATACAGCGAAGTGCCCAGCACTGCCTCTGCCGGGGGCCAAAGCCTTCGGTGACTGTAAATGGGCTCTAAGAAACGGGTGCTGTTTGCACCAAAGGAGGCGTACGTGGCATATAACCCATTTGTTAGAACCCGTTCTGGGGTCACCCCAGGTTATTTTGGACCAAAACAGCCTTTGCGCAAGCCATTCTTGCTGCCCAAAGCTGGCCACTCCTTTGGCAAGGTGGCAGCAGGAAAGGGCTTACCTGATCATATGCACCAGAAAGAAACTTGAGGCTGGCCCTACTTGCTTCACGCGAGAGTGGCTGAGTAAGCACCGCAATGCGACGAGTTCTCGCAAGCAACACGTAAGCACAAGGATGTTCTATGGCCAAGTATGTGTACAACTGTGCATTTGTAGCACGATTGTATACATACGATCTTCCTCACAGGCTATGAAACTGGTCACCCAATCTCATCTCAAACTGTCCAGGTTGACCCAGCCCCTATCGAGCGCGTCCTGTCCTGTTTGAGATGTTGGAGGTGAGATAAATCTTGACTTTGCAGGGGAGCCGAAGGAGGTTACCCCAGTTCGAGCAGAAACTGCTCATTGGAACGCAAGGAGGAGACAAAAGAGAAACCTCTCACGCATTCGCCATTGGCGATAAGATGAACCCCTGAAGAGGCGATCTTTCAAAGTCATGGTGACATAGTTGTATTAGACAGAGCCTTCCTTGACACTCTACAGAGTGATGTGATAGCGGAATGTGGCGCGGAAGTTTGTCCTTGCATGGCACACCACTGAGGCAAGGTGAATGCTGCTGGCCGTGCGTGGTCTCAACAAAACCATAGATTTCGCTGTGTTTTAGAGGCCAGTAGCAAAAGGAGCGGGTTTCACAAGCACGTCAGGCCGAGTAATTCCCAAGTGACGCCCAGGTGGCGGACTACTTTCATCTTACCAATTCTCCAGTCCAGGAGCATCACACGATGAAGGTTGGAGGGCAGGGCTTTTTCCGACGTGGGGAATGATGAGGCTTTGCGAACGCCTGAACTTACCGGGGTATTCAATGGCCGCATGACAGACTCGGCGGTGAGTGGCAGTGGTGGAACAAAGCAGTTGGCTTGCACGAAGCAGCAGACAATTCACTTAACACATTCCAATTGACACCGGATGTATCCAGGATGACTTCCTTCTTGAAATTCTGAAACGATTATTCGATCTCCTCCTGTTCGGAAGGTTGATGCTTTGGCAACGAATCTTGCTTTGGCGCTCATGCTCAGGTTCGGTCCAGGAGGTTTCAGTGACAAAAGCAGACACAGAGACACAGAGACACAGAGACAGAGACACCTACACACAAACGGAGACACGGACACATCCACACACCCACACAAACAGAGGCACAGACAGAGACACAAGCAGAGACACAGACAGAGACGCAGACAGAGGCACCAAACAGAGACACAAACAGAGAGCCACACAGAGGCACAAACAGAGACGGAAATAGAGGCACAAACAGACAGAGACAGACAGAGACAGACAGAGACAGACAGAGACAGACAGAGACAGACAGAGACAGACAGAGACAGACAGAGACAGACAGAGACAGACAGAGACAGACAGAGACAGACAGAGACAGACAGAGACAGACAGAGACAGACAGAGACAGACAGAGACAGACAGAGACAGACAGAGACAGAGAGACAGACAGAGACAGACAGAGACAGACAGAGACAGACAGAGACAGACAGAGACAGACAGAGACAGAGACAGAACAGAGACAGAGACAGAGACAGAGACAGAAAGACAGAGACAGATAGACAGAGACAAACAGAGAGAGACAGACAGAGACAGACAGAGACAGAGACAGAAAGACAGAGACAGATAGACAGAGACAAACAGAGAGAGACAGAAAGGCAGAGACAGAAAGACAGAGACAGAGACAGAAAGACAGAGACAGATAGACAGAGACAAACAGAGAGAGACAGAAAGGCAGAGACAGAAAGACAGAGACAGAGACAGAAAGACAGAGACAGAAAGACAGAGACAGACAGAGACAGACAGAGACAGACAGACTCAGACAGAGACAGACAGAGACAGACAGAGACAGACAGACAGACACAGACAAGCAGACAGACGGACGGACGGACGCACGGACGGAGAGACAGGCACAATACACATACACACGCATAGACATACAGACACGCAGGCACACACACACACAGAGACGGGGACAGAAAGACAGAGACAAAAAGAGACAAAAACAGAGAGAGAGAGACGGAGACCGAGACGAGACAGAGACAGAGACAGAGACAGAGACAGAGACAGAGAGAGAGAGAGAGAGAGAGAGAGAGAGAGAGAGCCAGGCAGGCAGGCAGGCAGGCAGGCAGCCAGGGAGGCGGGCACACACGCACACACGCACACACCCACACACCCACACATCCACACACCCACACACCCACACACCCACACACCCACACACCCACACAGCCACATGCCCACACGCCCACACGCAGAGACGCTTCCGCCCACACGCCCGCAGGCCCCCACGCCCTCGCCCCCGCACGCACACATGCACGCGCACGCAAGCATGCAAGCACCCACCCACCCACGCCCCACACCCACACACAACCACACACACACACAGACACTCACCCACGCACACGCGCTGAAGCACGCGCGCACGCTCAAGCACACGTGCACGCAGGCAGGCAGGCCGGCAGGCAGGCAGGCAGGTGCGCAGAGAGGCATGCAAGCACGCCCGCACGCACGGCCGCGCCCCTGCACGCACGCGCGCACACACACACACACACACACGCGCACACTTTAGACATGTTCGCATTTGGATTGCGGCCCGGCTTTCATGCTGCGTTTCGTGAAAGAAGGGTCCTTGAGCTTTACATGGATGTACTTGAGGGAGCCTGACAGAAGCAGCTGCAAGACGCCAGCGCAAGTGCAGAAGCTTTACTTCTTGTTAGTCGAATCGCCAGTGCATTGCTTGCGATGCTTGGGTCAACCCCAAGCGCCTTTAGGGAATCCCACTGAAAAACTAGATGCCGCAACGCTTCGGCCACAACGTCCCATTCCACCAGGCTCAGCCAGGGTCAGCCTTGAGGAATTTGACAGATTCTACCATGGGCCTTAGTTTGGCAGGAAGGCAGTAGATCCGGCAACTGCTCCTTTCGTTTGAGACGGTCGCTGCCTTTTTTTTCCGAGTGCCTGTACCAAGCTCTGACAGGTCCTCACCGATCGGGTGCGGAGTAAGCTCAAGCACTGGCAGGTGCGCTGCCGTTCAGTTGCTTCGATGGTAGTTTTCAGTTTAGGAATAGATGGTTCGATAGATGGCCTGCCTAAACCTGGGCCCGGTTGGCACACGGACCCCTTGCAAAATTCCTGGAACTCTCGTCTGGTTGTTGGCCAAGGTTAGATGCCCCTCTGACCCAAGCAGGGCGTAAATGCAGCGGCAGGATGTGTTGGACATCAATCATGGTTTCGGCAAAAGTAGACCAAATGAAGCGGGACAGAGCTTTCGCCACGCACACCAACTACAACTACCTAAACCAACTACAACTAGCACTAAACCAACATAATCTGGAGGATGTGTTCTGGAAGCATAAAACGATTGTTGAACCATTGGCCACAGACTTGATGCCAAGAATTGGGCGGCCGGAAGCGATTGAGCATCCCGATTCAGTATGTCGAAAAGATGCGGAGCAGTATGAATTCGCTAAAGGTTTGTCTCTATCCCTGAGATGCATAGCTTTGGGCTGACATTGGGCGCAATCCCCAAAGTACAATGAGAAGGTGGGGGTTGACCGCCAAATTCTCACGCTGGTTGGGACAAATGTGAGTGTGGCTCACATACCATTGCGTGCTCCTCTTACTTTAACCTGCTCAGGGCGACCCTTGCAGGGGCAAAGAAAAGAACGCGACAACTAACAGCCCAAGCTGGGCAAGGAGTAAGCAGCTTCAGGATAATAGCTAACGATTCCCTGAAGTCTCAACTATATGATTTTGGAATGAAATCATGAAGAAAGCACCCAATTTCAAGGGTCACTCATTCTAAATTCCTCTTCAAAACGGTTTCCGAGCTGACAAGCCACCGCGTCTTGGTGCGGTAGCCGTTATCAAAGGGCCAAGCAGAAGGCATGTGTTGGATCAGCGAACCGCGCTTGCACGAACCTCGACATGCAAAAGCACTGGGGTTGAATGGCTTGCGCTCCCTCCCGGAAATTAGGGGACCTCTTTTTGGATGGCAAATGGAAACCAAAAGGACACCAACCGCCTTGAGGAACATGTTCAGAGGAAGCACTTGTTACAAGGGTGCCACTTTTTGTGGTGCCGCGCGTTTTTGCAGGAGTGTCAGTGGGAGACTGTATGCCCACATTGGATCAGAATGACCAATTCAAGGGTCTCCCTGATATGGAACAGTTTTTCACAGGGCATGCTTTGCGTTGCGATCCAGAGAGCACTCGAATCTGGATTTGCTAAACCCACACTTCCGAGTATCTATTCTTTGCTTCAACGACCTTAATGCTTCTACCAAAAGTCACATTCAACCTGTTCGCCTTTTTGTAAATTTTCTACCAAAAAAGTCTCATTCAACCTACTCTCCTTTCCAAATTTGAGAAAAGGACTCCCTTTTCCCGAGCCTCCAAAGGCAGGTTTGGCCAGCTTTGCTTCGCGAGGTGTTGGGCCCCGAGCGAAACCCCCATGAGGCTGCAGAGGTGCCTGGGGGGGACAGAGCTCGGTCCTCTTTTTCAGCTTGCTGGAAAATAGATTGGTTCCAGTGGATCACGCTTGGTTCCCACTCAGCAGCCAGTACGGTCGCGTAGTACAGTCTATTTTTCCAAAGAGGACACCTTAATGTAGACACGGATTTCTGCTTAGACCCAGGCGTGCCCCAGGCGTTGTCACTGAAACTTCAGCAACTTTATGTCAAATCCAGTACCCGCTTTGTTTTTCCTTCGGGAGGGCGGGGAGTAAGGTAGACCAACATGAAAACCGGCCATTTTGAGGGGCCCCCGCCTTTGACACACCCAAAGGCATTCGATCTTGCGAATAGCATGTACCACATAACAGCTTCGTACTCTTCAAGAAGAGTTTTGGAGTTTGTCCAGGCATGCTTATAAAGCACTCAGATTCAACATGGAATTGTGCAGATTGATCTCTGCATAGCTAGGATCTATAGTTACTGTCAACGGACAATGTTTTGACGGACAATGCGATGCTGGTCAATTTCTCATGTCAGTCGGGAGAACCAAGAGCAATGTCCGTGCCTCATATCCGTATTGTTTGGGCGTACCTTTTGCGTTCTTGATGTTTGCTTGCCTGAGGTGGTAGCGCCCGCTAGAAGGATTGGACGCACACTGTACAGCGAATTGCCAGATGATGCGCGGTCTGCAGAACCTCGCAGCAGCTTGCGAGAGGCGGGGCCTCTCGATTCACAGTTGCGAGTTCCAGAGTAACGTATCCGCAAACGTCAGTGAAAACTCATCCGATGCTTTCAAACGTGCTCATTTTGGGGTGGCCCTGAGATAAGAGGGTAAAGCCCTGAAGTAGTGGGTCAAAGAGGTTGCAGGCGAGTCATGCACGTCGTCGGCAGGCTGCCGAGCTATGCGGACTACACCGCCAGCCAAGGACCAAAGGCGCATGGGAGGGGCAGGGTTTCCACCAGACCTGCCATTCGACTGCTTCGTGTCAAAGTCAGGCTTCGGCTGCGACAATGAAAGGGCGCTTTGCGATGCAGTTTGATTGGACATGAAATCCTGAAAGAGATGGGTGCACCTCTTCCAGCTGTTGGCCATACATGAACCTCTTGGGGAAGATGTTGCAGATGATCATGCGATCGGATTGTCATGAAATCGACAGCGTACGGCGTGCGGAGAGCTTGGTGGTTCTGTATCATCAGGGAGTAGCACTTTCACACAACGTGCTTGAGCCCGACTGCTGCTCATGTACGCAGTTGCAGTACCTTAGTCGATTTAGAGCTTCATGTTGAATGGTGGAAATCACAGGATGCCATGGAAATGCACAGCTGTTGATGGCCATTGCTGAATTGAATGGGTGAAGCGCAAAGGTCTTGAAAGTCATCATATTTGCCCTTCAGGGTGCCTCAATTGATCAAAACAGCCGGCATGTTATTTGTGGTTGGTGGCTTTGCGTACAGACCATTCACCTTCCATCCTTTGCCACTGGCCATGTTTCAGGCGGCGCATGAGCGCCTCTTCGGCTATTCCCTGGCTGTCCCGAAGGGCAACAGGACCGGTCAACCAGCACTCAGATCTAAATTCCCTCGCGTCCTGGAAGGGGACTGAAACCCGTTGAAGGAGCCTGTCCACTTCGCATGCCGCAATCACAAATGAACAAAGGATGGGAGGGAAGCTCTCATTCTAACCGGGAGTTCTGGGAAGACAGCAGAGTCCGAGCTGCGCGACTCGCCATAGCGAGAGCCAGCGACAAGAGCTGGTTGAGGCAAAGGTATGACGCCAGGACCTTGAAGAAAGTGCCGACGTTGAGACGAGCGCCGCTCTCAAGGCCGGCGCTTGGAAGCCTCGCAGCATGTGCATCCTGGTAAAGTGGGCAAGAAATGGGGGTGGCTCAAAATTAAACAGGAGGGATTACGCAGGTTTTGGTCCATGATTCCACTTACCAGGGTTTTATTTTGGCACCGGTTTTTGAGCCACAGCCAAATGGTAACTCCATCAAAAAGTTTGTGACTTGGCAGACTGAGTGGAGATAAGAAGCTTGAATGCTTCACTGAGCAAGAACACACTAGGCTTCCTTTGAGCTTCAAAGCGGGACCGAAGGTACGAGGTGCAATATTGGCGTGGTTTCTTTGTGCCCCCGGGAGCCAATTTTCTAGCATTCCTGCAGATTCCCCCCAAACAGAGGGCCTCAAGGCCACAGCAGCGGACCCTTCCATTTGCTTGAGAGTCTTTGGTTATTGTCCCTTTTTGGGCTTAAAGGGAGTCTATCACTACTGCCTTATACTGCCTTGTGTTTTTTCTAGTTTTTGGCCCTTTCTGGTTTTAAAGGGAGTCTATCACCACTGGACATATGCAGTTTTTTTTTCTAAGGGCCCTAAGCACACGAAGGGAAGCTCGCGCGCCGGTGGGGTTCTTCTCGCCAGCTCCGCGCCTGCGCTGCTGCGGCCGCTGCTGGCTGGAAGCCTCAGGGAAGCCTGAGGCGCTTTTTGGAGTAGAATTAATTAGAAGAAATCCATTCAAGATCTTCCAAGATATGACAGGTTAATGAAAGAGAGATGATTCCTAACACAAATTGATGATCCTAAAGTAAAAGCAATTAACAAGACTGGGAAATGAAAAAGGCAAGGAATAAGAGATGATGAGCCCTTCCCTCGCCATCATCGGTTAACCCTTGATTTGTGGCTCGCCAAGGATAACAGGTTCTTGAATTTGAAGAGCTCCTACAAAAGGATTCTGATGGCACCTTCATGTCGGTTCATCTTCTCTTTACCTTGTATTATTTGGATTGTTTGTTTGTATCTTCTAATTACCTTTCCTAACCTTATGAATCTTCTTTTTGGACAACAAACATAAAATAGATGAATTTAGACCTCATGGAATCCCAAATGGGTATGGGTCAAAATTAGGCCACCAGGAATTGGACCGCAGGTTTTAGTCCATGCTTCCATTTACCAGGGTTCCATTTTGGGCACCTATTTTGACCCACTGGCAAAAGATGAGCGGCGGTTTATTTTTTCCGCTCAAGCAAACATGTATAGATGTTGACATCCGGAAGGTGTCGCGCAAGGGTTTGATGCGTGAATGCAAATTTTAAGGGAATAAAAACCACCACTCAAATGGGTCTCTCAAACGAGGATTCCTCCAAGAATGGTGAGGTACCGACTGATACCTCATGGAAGCTTGGATTCCCTGGTCGATCTGATGACCTGCAATTGAGAAAGAACAAGCCACCAAGCGGCCAATGAACCAACCGAGCCACTGAGCAAAAAAGGGACCAACCAGAGACAGCCAAGCAATCCGCCCTCTACTTAGTCATTTGGGGTTAGCAAGTGGGAGGTACAGCATCAGGATGCACTTGTCTTTTTTGGAACCTATGAAGCTGAAAACTGTTTGGGGAAAACCGAGTTCTTCACATCCCCTCGTTTTCTGCGTACATGGCAAAAGGATGTGAAAGATTTACATTGGACATCTTGCACATGACCTTCCCTCCTGTGCTCTTGTTTGGAGCCGCCTCCCTTCTCCCGACTTGCGGATGACAAGGCCGTTGGAAGCCTCTCCTCGCCCAGGGCCTTGAAGGGACCCAAGGGTCAAAGGCCCGTGCTTGGACCTGGCACGTTCCAAGGATCCGGCGGAGATTGAAGCCATCTCCAGGTGCCGGTTGAGCTTCGTCTTGAGCCTTAGATGAATGTCTTCTAAGTGCATGGTATCCTCAAGTTTCAGGGAGTAGCCCATTTCAATCAGAGTTTCGGTTCCGGGCCTATGGCGAGCTTAACGGGTTTTGTCCTGGAGGAAATGCCAACCACTTCATGCATGTGACGCGAAGCTTGCACTCCATTGAGTCAAGCACCCTGCCACCAGCTGTGCAGTATCATATTGAGAAGTTCTCATGCTGAAAGCATGAACTCCTGATTGACGAAGAAGGGTACCATTCAAACCCCTCATTCAGCAAAGTGGTGTTGACCTGCAGTATCGATCCACTTGTATAGTTGTCATGTAGTGCTTCGTTGCAAACAACCTCCCGCGCTTCGTTTGTGCACCGACACTTCGACACTTCTTTTCAGACGCACCTAGATGAGTTGTCAACACTTCACTGCCCATACCGTTGGAACAGTTCCCCCGAGCCGAAGAAAGGTCTTGCTGGTGCTCAGAAAAGAAGGAGTGAATGAACCTTGGAGTTCCTTTAAAGGAACCCATGGGAGATGGTGAATAGGGTTCATTCCCTCATTCCCTGCCTATCGCACCAGCCAGAGATTTGATGGCAGCACCCGGAACCATGGGGCCAGGCCTGGCGGCACGGCGGTGAAGATGATGGACTCCGCAGGGGCGCCCGCAGGGCCGGAACTGCTTTGGACGGCGCTTTTGGTTGCAGGCTGCGGGTGTTTTGTCCCAAAGCTTTCTGGTGCAAGTTGCACTGAGAAAAAAGTCTTTGACCGCAACCATGATTTGAGCGTTATGCGCATGTCATTTAGTATTACAGCCTACTGATTCCTAGCATGCGATTCCGGATACGGAGAATTGCGCTGACCGTCAAGTCTTCAGTGACGGGCTTGAAGCAGCGAACCAGGCCGTAGTGTACAGAACAAGCAATTAGAATGCTTGAGCAGTTGGTGTCACTCTCTGTGAGGCTTATGAAGATACTCATTGCATCATCCAGCTGGCAGTAAAAGTTGTGATGATGTCACAATTGATTCACCCAAGCGCAAAATACAGTAGAATAAGCCTATCCGACTTGTTCTTGGCTGAGGAATGAGCATGCCAAACCCTGCACCAAGTCATTCGCTATCAATCAAGCCCAAGCGCTTCTTCAAATGTTCCATCATCTCTGAAGTGCTGGCAATTCACAGAAAGAGTGCATTGGCTGAAGCCAAGATCGTCAAACAAGTTCTCAGGCAACCAAACAACTAACCATCCGACTAGCCAGCCCGTGAGCTGGCCAGCCAAGCAACCAACCTGCCTCTCTGCCTCACCCACTCACAAACCCACGCGAAAACACATACACACAAGTACCAACACAAGCACAAGCTCAAGTGCAGACACAACTAGAAAGATAAGCGACGCAACTACAAACACAACTGCGAAAGACTACGAACACAACTACGAACACAACTACAAACACAGCTACAAACACAGCTACAAACACAAGCACCACTACAAACACAAACTCAATCACAAACACAAAACCATGCACACACGCTCGCACGCATGTACCGTTTATGCACGGAAACTGCACGTAGGCATGACGTAGGCATGCATGCATAGCGCACCCACAACGTACACACACACACACCCGCACGCACACGCACACGCACACACGCACACACGCACACACGCACACACGAACACACACGCACATGTAACTGCGCAGAAGGCTGGCAGTGCCACGCTTACACCCACACTCGCACATGCAAACACAGACAGCCAAAGTTGCACACATGCACAGGGCCCAAGGATGCCCGGCCCATAGACATACTAGTGCTGTATGGGACCACAAAGGCTTGCGGCACACAACGCCGCAACTCCCGAAGCTAAGGAGCTCCTGCAGCGAATGAAGAACGTGGCGCGCTCCTCGCAGTCGCAGGCCGGAGCAACCAGATGGACTTGGGCGACAAAGCATGCTGCTGCCGGCGTGCGTGTCTGAAAGTCTTTGGAATTCTTTGGACGTCTGTGTGGACCTTTCTTGTTAGGCGCCCAACTTATCCCAGACTTATCAAACTAAACAAGGCTTCTCCGGGGCAGAAAGCACGCAGCTACAACTCTTTTTCCGCCGGGCGGACGGAGGTTTTGTCTGACAAGCCAATCAGATCACGCGCTGCGTATTTCGGCGGTGATCCCAGCTGCAAGGTGCAGATGTCCATGGGCAGAGCTGACTGGACAACCACCGCCGGAGACGGGCCCTGAGATGCGCTGGCCACTAGATTCGGGTCTCGCTTTTGGGGGGAGCCCCCACAATCGATAAAGCAGACCAAAGAACCCTCAAAAAGACCCCCCCGCGTGTGGGTGTGTCAACTAAATGGTTGGAGGCGCCTTATTGTTGGTAATATAAATAATGTATCAATGTATGGGCCCATGTGGAGAGCTCGCGTGCAACGTATTTTGCGTCGCTGAGGACATGGCTCACGCGCTTGTGGCCTGAGCCAGGCTTGGTCAAGCGTGCCAAGAACATGGCTTGGCTTTTAGAGCCCGGGTTCTTCCAATTCACGAGACACTGCCAGAGGCAGCCTTTTGGTATCATCTCAGCAGAAGCGGCTTGCATGGATTCCTGCAGTAACAAGGACGCGTATTGAATCAGGCATGCCTGGAATGCGAGCATTCAATCTGAGAGCAGGCGTGTACTAAATGTACCAGGTGTGGCACTTGCGTCCTGACAACGTTTCTAGCTGCTTTGCGCCGAGCGAGCTGCTTGAGACTCAAAGCTTTCACCTTGATGTTGAATGCGTGTAATATATTTTGTAGCAGCTTGATGATTTCAGGTCCTACCAACACCGAAAGCCAGAGTGTGCTCAAAGAGCCCAGTAAACCGTCCGTGCTCAAGGCTTGCAACATATATGGCACTTGTGACCGCCAGGCATTGTGCATCCAAAGTGAGCTGATTCTGGCTGTGGGTCACAGGCTTATGGAACGGTACCTGATTGCCTAGGAGCATTGACCTGCAGAGGATGCTGCACAGAGACGATTGATATTCCAGTCACAAGCCATCATTGAACTGGGGGAAGACTCTCATCAGTGCCCCATGACCTGCCGGCAAGCTCAATGTAAGTTTCACAGTGTCACCGGGAAAGCATGTGCCATGCAGGCAAGCGGCAAAGATTTGCTCCGGGTTGGATACGTTGCATGCCCCTGTGTCATGTTTCGCTATGATTTTGTACATTTGAAGCTCAGAGACGGCGGAGCCCCGCCTGCATGAGCAAGTCCAGCATCCCTAATGGGACTTGGACCAAGCTGGGAGGAAAAAGGCGCCTGACCGACTGACCGACTGACCAGTTGGTGAGTGGAAAATGCACTGATCTTGTTCTTCAGCATGAAAGCCAATGTTGATTCCACGACACTTGGGGCTGCCTTCGGTTGTGTAAGAGCTCGGTATACTCATCATCATGGGTTCAATCTTAGCTGTGCTTTTCCTGTTTCTTGGAGAACCACCTGCCTAGACTGCACGCCTTGTTTGCCAACCGCGAGGGTAGCCGGCTGTTGTTCAAGTGGGCTCGCACCTAGAAGAAGTCTGGGTTGCTTGTGAGTTCCTGCCGATGCAGGGATTGCCGCACGCTGTTTGCCTGCAATATTTTCCGGCACAGGAGCTTTTCTTTTTCTGAACCAGCACGATCAATCATACTTGCATGAAAGAGCATTTTTGAATTTCTGCATACAACAAATGTTGATGCTGCCAGGACATGTTCCACTTCATCGCATACCCAGTAGGCCGCTGTACATAGCACGCTCTGATCAGAGCTGTGTGAGCAGGCATGACGCAGGCACGTGTGTTTCCGCAGTGGAGAGCTTTTGATATGGATCGAAACAAAAAGAAGTTCAGCCATTCAGGGGAGAGTTTCCCAATTGTGTGAAGCACCCACACGTGTTGCTTGGTGTGTCCCAATTCCCAGCAGCATGCTGACACTCGTGTGGCTACCCTCCACTATCAGGTCCAACCATGTCCTCTTGCGAAGGGGAGTGAACTCCAGCAGCCATTTGGGGCCATGCGCTAGGTGCTGAAACCATGATAGCGTGCTGTTTGAGGAGACAAGCACTGCACACCCAAGAAAGCCTTCAGTGCCTAAAATCATGGTGGGCCCTTGCCTGAAGCCAGTGCCACTTTGGGGGAGGGGACACCTCATTGCAAACATATTTTTTGGGTGTCCATCCCTGGGGTTCGGTGTGACTTTGATCAACTCGAAGCTTCCCCATGTGTTGCCATCCCTGAACTTCTGTGACTTGGGGATAGCCCACTACGCCTGCAAGACGAATTCCGGCGCCTGAAATTGACTTTGAGCGCAACCCTGGAACTGGTATGAGTTTCTGGACGGTAAGCCGTGGATTTCCGTACGGCGAAAGCTTTTCACTTTCGCGCGGTGAAAGGCAACGGTCTAAGAATCATGATCCTTCTTTCAGTGAATGGCTTTGCAGCTGCCACAAACTTTGCTCGCCACCAAAGTGTACTTGGGTGCGGCATGTATGCTGCAAAGAACGATGATTCCTTGAGCTGGAGCGGCCCTGCACTACTGTACCACAAGTTGCTAGACCTGAAAGTAACAGACAGATCCGAGGATCTTGCAAGCCCTCGGTTTCAATGTAAAGTCAAGCGTGAGGAGCCCGAGGCTTTCCCTGCGAAAGCGCCGAAGTTTCGCAGCGGCTGGCAAGAGGAAAGGTCAATCCTTAACCAGCTTTGCTAACCTGCAGTCCTTTTCTGGACCCGGCCCGGGGGCTCTTGCCTTTTGATACCTCCAGGTTAGCGCACGGAGGTGCGGCGGGACTGACAGCTGGGAGATGGAGAAGCTGCAAAGATGGGTAGAGTTTGTTCGATGACCGCTTCTTGGTTTGCTCTTCCATTGACCTTTACAACCTTGTTTTTTTTCGAGAAATGTAATTACACGTTGTCCCCCAACTAACTTGATACGACATAGCAAATCATCGCACGTTTAGGACATGGCTCAATTCTGGCGTGCGAGCAGTTTTGAGCCTTTTGCTAAGGTTTCGGGTACATGTTCACAATGGACGCTGTTGGGGGCAAAGTTCCTCTCAAACAAGGTCGATAGTGGATGTGGATGCCTAGCCGTAATGCAACAACATCATTGTTACCTACTGCGGGCACACAAGTTAGACATCGTGCTGGCACTCGTACCGGAGAAAAGATTGACAAGCTGAACTTGCATTGCCCACTGCTTATGCTATGCTCATGAGAAAATATGTTCACCAGTCAGCACTTAAAGGGAGGTGCATGTGTGAAGGAAAGCGCACAATGCAGACCTCAATGATGCCTCTGTACGACTTGTGCAATGCCTTGAACATTCAAAATTCCGTTATGCAATTTGGATTGGCTCCTTGTGGAAGATTGATTCGTGTTGACTTCCCGTGAAGCGCGCCTGTGCGACTGGGACCCATGGGTTTTGCCGGCGTTGACCACGGCACTAGGTGCAGCAGGTTGCCACGTTGCCAAGCCCCGACACTTGTCCCCATACCACGGGGTTTGCCCCTCGACCGTCAACCATTACTGACGCACCGTGTTGAGTTCTTGGGCGGACTCAAATTTCGGTTCTACAATGTCAGTGTCAGGGCATAGAGAAGCCTCACAGGGAACCCTGGAAAATGAGAATCTGTAATTTGCAGGTAACACCCGTAAAGAGCAGACCCCAGAGTCGGGAGGAGGGAACTTGCAGCAAGTCTAGATATAGAGATTGGAGGGCATGGTGAATCGGGATTGAACAAGGGGTATTGTTCCGATTCAATTCTTTACGGGTGCAACCTTCGCGCCCGCACCACCTCAGGACAGAAATGCTATCATGAGCTTTGCGGCCTGACTGATTTAATAGGGTTGATAGTCAGGTGTTATTGGACTGATTTTTCATAGGGTTGATAGAAACCTTCTCCTGATTTCATAGAGTTCATAGGCCTTTATGACCTTGGCAGAGGTTTCTTGAGGTGCTTGAGGTGTGCGCAACTGCGCCAAGTGCTTGAGGTGTGCTCGCCGCAGCACGGCGCGCCGGGGTGCTTCGAGGGATCAAGCGAAGGGCTAGGGAGCGAATCGGCTCGAAGTCCTACTCAGAGCCATGTGCTGGACTGAACTGTGCTGAGTTGCTGATGTTGAATTTAGTAGGCTTGGCTTCCTGGGTACCAGAAGCAACGTCTGCAAGCAATCAATTCCAATTTGTGGCCTTGCACAATCTGGCAGGCAAGTGTTTGATGATGTTTCCAAACAGTGGCAGGCGCATGATGCCATTAGAGAAGATGATGAGATGCTGCTTGTACTCACGACCTGAGTTGTTCTTTCTCCGGCAGTCTCCCCTGTCTTGGCAGTTTTTCTCTCCACTGCATAGCAGGCACGCCGTGGTACAGACTTAACTTTTCGGGTGTCGCTTTGCTAGGAGCGCATGTTCTGCCTTTAGTTAGACGACCGTTTTGTACAGGGGGACAACCCCCTTCTTTTTCTGCAGGGTAGTTGGAGGGTAGTTGGAGGGTCCAAATGGATACTCCCCTGCAAGTTTACGGAAACAAGCTAGCTCTTCGTGTTTTTGTATGGCAACAATTCAAAGCTTCTTTACGGGGTTGGTGTGCACACTGGTGTCAGATTGGCTGCAGTAGCCACAACACAATCCGGGTACGCCCGCGACGAGCATGTTCCGTGATCCATGAGAGGAAGCTGTTGATTCTTCTCATACGGCTCATGGCACCTGCTGCAAGACAATCCAATACCATAGTGACGCATGATAAGCATTCAGTACTTTGGACCTCGAAGGCAGTTTGGCGGATTTGGATCATAAATTGCCTCGGCGAGTGTGGATGTCGCTGGGTCCATTGGCACTCTCTGTGACATGTTCAAGCAGAAGCAGTCCCTGATGTTTGGGGTTCCCTAGCAAACTGGCATGGTACGGACTTTGTTTCTAGCAAACGCATCCATTGTGATCCAAGGGTGAATGTCCCAATTGCCATGCACTTCTAGTTGTTCTTGATGAACAGATGGTGCAACCTTTGACCCCTAGCACAAGAGGAATCGCCTTTGCATGTTCCAAGTGGGAGTTCTTGACTCCTGGTTGACACTGTTCCTTCAACCTATGACTTTGGGTATTTTCCGGCCAACTCTTCTCTTTGAACAGGTTATTTTTAAACTCGACATGAGGTCGCTGGTTTTGATCATACCCGGATGCCAGGGCAGATGCTCAGTTTTGCATCGAAATTGGCTCCGAAGCTTGCCAGGTGTTGCTGCTCGCCCTGTTCGCCCCTTTGTCTCTTGGCTGGAACCTAAACCATTTGAAACCTGTTGCCTTTGGGCAGACCCCTTGAAATAAGAAGGCAAAGCCCCGAAGACAAAACGGGTTATCGCAGATTGCACCGGATTTTGTTCCTTTATTCCTCAGGCTTGTTCGGAGTTCTTCGGCAAGTGGCTTGAGCACTTCATTTCCTTTGCTTCTGACCCTCCAACGTCGGGTCACATGGCCACGGGTCAAAATCCCGTACCTCCCCCATCCCAATCCCTACTAAAATAGGCTAAAATGGGCGGTGTACCTACCCCAAAATGGTACCATTGGTTTTGACAACCACAGCCACATCCTTTTGCAAGACACAGCGTCAACTAAAAGCTGCATCAAGTTTTCAGGTTCCCGGCAGCTTCGAGCCTGTGATCGCCCGAGGCTTACCAATTTTTCGGCACCACTCACGACCGACGTGGAGAAGGCAACCGATGGGAGCTGTGTTCATCCAGCCCGGGTTTAGAGAGACCACTTTGAAGCAACTTTTGGATTTTGGCTGGCTGTTGAGACCACTGCCAGATTGACCTTCACATGGGTCACACCTCCCTAAAACTGCGTGTACCATTGCTGTTCCTTGGGCGTGGGTTGCGCTTTGAGACACAGTTACTGACAAGTTCATGCCTCCAGGTCCAGCAAGAGCGAGCGGCCGGCGCGGCCAGGGAGCCGGGTGTGGCACCTGCGAAGCTCTACAAAGCGGGTCAGGCGGGGAGCGTCACCAGGGCAAAATTGGCTGTGGCTCAAAATTAAACAGGAGGGGCAAACCGCGGGTTTTGGTCCATGTTTCCACTTGCCAGGGTTTCATTTTGGTACCGGTTTTTTGAGCCACACCCAGATGCATGTCCTTACATATGGTTGACCCTGTGGGAGCTTCAAGCATTCTTGTGTCTCGTGTCGAGGGCTCATATATGGCTGTGGGTCAAAAATAGGTACCCAAAATTGCACCCTGGTAAATGGAAACAATGACTAAAACCTGAGCATTTTTTTTCATCGTGTCGATGCTTGTACACTTTGATCTTATGCCCAGTTTCCCCCAGTCTCGCTTGCACCCCGTTTGCTTTCAGGCGCTGCAGGGCGAGGCGGGGTTCGCGGCAAGTTGCTCCGGTTCGCGGTCTTTCCTGGTGCCTGATGGGGTTTCCTCGTCCCTCGGGAAAATCTGGGCTCCCATTTTGAGCAGTCATGCAAGTGTGTTTGTTAGAAGTGAAAGCGGCTGGGGAATGGGCAAGATAGCTACAGAGAGGCTACATTTGTCAGAACACCAGAGGTGTTGCTCCACCATGTCGCACCTTCCAATTCCGATCCTGTCACAAGATCTTGGCTTTGCACCTCCGGCAATGGTCGGGTTGAAGCATGCTCGACTACCCAAGTTCACGCGTCCTCGTGCAGTATGGTTCCTGAGAGGACGGCACGTTGGCTTCAGGTGAAGACGATCAATGACAACGGGGTCATCATCAGGCTCAACGGAGTCTACCCGTTCCTGGACGGTTTCGCGCACCTCCGGCTATCAAACGATGAGCCGAACTTCGACGGTGTTTGCTGAGAAGAGTTTGGGTGCGGAAAGCGAGCGACCAATAGTTCGACACGATCAACATAGATGCTGGAAGCACTTTTGTGCGTGCGAACGCACATTTTTGCGGGGTTCACAAAATGAACCAGGTATTCAAGGGGTCCTGCATTCCAACCCCAATGTGCCAGTATGTCAATGAGTCTCATTGAGCGCTGGCAATGCCAGGACTGTCTAGCCGCATTCGAACAGCTCACTAGATGGGCAAGTCAGCCGTTGCTGACCTTAGTTCACAATTTGATTTCCACTAAGCACCAAATTCTCAGTATGCCCCTTCACTGTCGTGGCTTTGTTGACAGCGGGGTGATGCAGACATGTTTGGGCATCGATGCGCACATGTTGCAACCGAGGCACATCTCGCAACTGAGCACTCGGTACGTGGGCCATCCAGCAGAGATCCTGGATGAGGGTGATGAGGTGACTGCGCGAGTACTGCGACCCTTGGCAGCATGCTGGTTTGGGTGTGTCCAAAGACCCCAATCATTGCTGGCGTCCTTTTGCTTTCCCTGTTAAGACATCTTAAGACCATCCGACAGAAAGTTTTAGCACCCCCCAAGAAACCGAATGTGCTAGGTGCCTTCCTGAGTAGTGAACAGTTGGAGAGATGCCCTGTTTTGACTTGAACTGGGTCTGTCGGGTTTGCTTCCGGCCACGAGGGATGCTGTGAATGAGCTTTGTGTGCGTGCAACCATCTCAGGCGACTCTTGGTGCAGTGTACAGGTTTCATGTGCAGTGTGCACTGGGGAACACTTGGCCTCCGTTCACTTTGGCATTCGTCTGGCCGGGGAAACCGAGACCCTATGTTTTTCTTAGACCCAGCGCCAGTGGCGCCATTTGGGCTAGGACATTCGCCTGGCTTCCTCGAGCTCACGCTTCGGGACCCGATCGATCGAGTGATGGCTTGAAGCGTGAACCGGTGGGGGAAGAACATGAAGCATCTGAGCTCAGCTTTTCGGATCTCTTTCGGAAAGGAGTGAAATTGCGGAAGAAGCAAGCCCTAAGAATACTCAGCAGGCAGAAAGACTTACCTACACGGTTATATAGCACGTGTACATTCGTGGATTGCTAGCATGCTGGCATCCAACCACTCAGGCATTCGGAGCTTCTAAACGACCACGAAGCCGATGCGGGGACACCGGAGCAGCACAATCCAGACAGGAGCAGAGCGAGGCCAGACAAAGCTCACCGGGATCGTGCCCAGCGACTAGATTTGAATGACATGCACCAAAAGATGCAGCCAAGCCTTCAAGCTGCTTCAGTATGGGATTGCCACTGGCCGTGCCACAAAGCAAGCAGCCCTCCTGCCGCCCATCAAGTGAATCTGCCAGCAAGCTGTAAATCCAACCCACGAAGGTTGAGACAACGTGCACTGCAGCTGGAACTGGTCGAGATCACAGGCCAGAAGCGCAACAGTGCCTTGTGAGGCGTGTGGAGTTGTGGACTGCAACATCTTGAATAGGATCCAGCGCATTCGGCGCCTCGCAAGTCAAGCTGGTCGGGCTTGGTTTGTTTTGGCCGCCTTGGTCTTAGTGCCTGGTATGGAAAGAAGTGGCTCGGTCACCGCTGGCTCCGGAAGCATGGACAGTTGGATGTGGCAGGTTCGGTGAGTGGTCAAAGGGACTCCTCCCCCTTGAAGTGACGGGTTGGGCATCCCTTGGTATGCCAGTGGCAAGCCCATTCTTTGCAGGGAGACCACCAACCCCCCAACAAACATCGCCGGTTGCCGAACAGCCTGGTTCACCATGGAGGTCGCCAAGCAACTCCAAAAGTGGAAGTTGCACCCCCCAAAGGAAAAAGACGGCGACGGATCTTGGTCCGGGATGTGGGCTCGCAAGCGGCTCCGCTATCGGCTAGGAGGAGGGCACCAAGAGTTTCAAGGACTTCAAGCTCAACCAGCAGCTGGAGGGCACTGTCCTGGCGGTCTGCCGAGCAGGTCCCATGGGATTTAGTGAGGTTTGTCGGGGGGAGTGGTTTCGGGGGAGGTGGATTTTGGGAGGGGGGTGGGGGGTTGGGGGGGAGGGGAGGGGAGGTATATCAATATGCCTCTCTGAAGCACGCCGTGCCTCGGGGCGGCATTGTGGGTCTCCCTTTTCTTTCTGGCAGTTTGTTCGGCACAAGCCACCAACCTGTACTCATGGTGTTGGTGTGTTGCTTCTGCAGCAGGTGCTTGTCTCTTTTTAGAAACACGGGTAGCTCCTCGTTGATATCAACCCGCCTGACCACGTGGTTGGGCCCCGCACTGATCTTGGAAGAGACTTCAGATGCTGTCGAGCTGACTGCTCAACACATGCCAGAAACCAGAAACTGTTTTTTATTCTCTGTCCACCCAACAACATTGCAGGTGCCAACGTTGACGTCGGTGCCAAAGACAGTGCCTTCCTGCATGTGAGCTGCATCCAGGACAGAGTGTTGATGTAACACGTACTGAGCCAGACACTTGCATGTTAGGAAGACAACATTAGAAGCCACGCTTACGAGAGGCGCTTGCAAAGCAAGGTGATCATATGCTGAGCTTGGCATGCCGTATAGGAGGGTGAGATCGTAAAAGCAAAGGGTTTTCATGGATCGGGTTCCCGAGGACAACGTGGCAACATTGGATGGGCCCTGATTTTGAATAGGATATATGGGCCCTGATTTTGAATAGGATACTTGGGTGGCCCTCCTTGTCAGGATGACTTCGCCGAAGACGTCCGCTGCCACGTTTGCGACCGCTCACAGCGGTGGGTGTTCAAGCGCCTCGTGGCGCACTTCGGCGTTCCCTCTTAAAGCAGGGCGATGGTGCATGTCCCAGTTGCAGATTAACACCAAAGAAGGACAGAGGAGAGCATGCGCAAAAAGCTTGGCAAAGGGCTTTTCTGGATGTGCAGGCGAAGCCCCAAAAACGGGCTCTCCTTTGACTCCAGTCAACCTCTGACTCCGGTGAAGCCTCAAAACGGGCTCTCCTTTGACTCCAGCCAACCTCTGACTCCGGTGAAGCCCCAAACACGGGCTCCCCTTTGACTCCGGTCAACCTCTGACTCCGGTGAAGCCTCAAAACGGGCTCTCCTTTGACTCCAGTCAACCTCTGACTCCGGTGAAGCCCCAAAAACGGGCTCTCCTTTGCGACCTCTGACTTGGGTGAAGCCCCAAAAACGGGCTCCCCTTTGACTCCGGTCAACCTCTGACTTGGGTGAAGCCCCAAATTTGACTCCGGTCAACCTGTGACCCGGGTGAAGCCCCAAAAACGGGCTCTCCTTTGACTCCGGTCAACCTCTGACTTGGGTGAAGCCCCAAAAACGGGCTCCCCTTTGACTCCGGTCAACCGCTGACTTGGGTGAAGAACCAAAAACGGGCTCTCCTTTGACTCCGGTCAACCTCTGACTTGGGTGAAGCCCCAAAAACGGGCTCCCCTTTGACTCCAGTCAACCTCTGACTTGGGTGAAGCCCCAAAAACGGGCTCCCCTTTGACTCCGGTCAACCTCTGACTCGGGTGAAGCCCCAAAAACGGGCTCCCCTTTGACTCCGGTCAACCTCCGACTCGGGTGAAGCCCCAAAAACGGCTCCCCTTTGACTCCGGTCAACCTCTGACTCGGGTGAAGCCCCAAACACGGGCTCCCCTTTGACTCCGGTCAGCCTCTGACTTGGGTGAAGCCCCAAAAACGGGCTCCCCTTTGACTCCGGTCAACCTCTGACTTGGGTGAAGCCCCAAAAACGGGCTCCCCTTTGACTCCGGTCAACCTCTGACTTGGGTGAAGCCCCAAAAACGGGCTCCCCTTTGACTCCGGTCAACCTCTGACTCGGGTGAAGCCCCAAAAACGGGCTCCCCTTTGACTCCGGTCAACCTCTGACTTGGGTGAAGCCCCAAAAACGGGCTCCCCTTTGACTCCGGTCAACCTCTGACTCGGGTGAAGCCCCAAAAACGGGCTCCCCTTTGACTCCGGTCAGCTCCCCGTGCCAGGCGAGAGAGTTCTTACAGAAGGGCGACAAGGTGAAGGCGGAGACGCACTGGGTGCGTTGGGTGCTCTTAGGGTGCCCGTGTTTGGGGTTGCTCTAAATGGAGCAGCCGGAATCCTCGGGTTTTTGCATTTGGAGACGGTCCCATAACGACGTGCAAACAGCGGGTCGATCACATGCAGCGACCCGTCTCTTGCTCAGTTTGATTTTCCACGATAGTCAGATGAGATGTGGCCCCACTCTCGAAGAACTATAATGATGCTGTCACACATGGACTGATTTGCATCTCTGCAAATCATGTGTCGGTTTTGCAGCTCTATCAGGACCAGTGTTCAATTGCAGTCCGTGCTGGTGAGGATGCAGCCTATCCTTTCATTGCTTGTGCAATTTTGAACTCCTTGATTTGGGACTCATTTCGATTTGTGAACTGTGTGCCAGGGACAGGAAGCCAGCAGTGGTGTTAAGTTGTGCTTGTTCAAAATGCTTGCCAGCCATGTGTCTAGTCTGGAAGAGGTGTGTCTGGCTCTGGAGCTTGATTGGTTGCCTTGCTGTCTTGCACCTGGCTTTGTGTCAAACCTAGGGACTCTTTCAGAATTGGTTTGCAGGAAGAGCAACATGAAGCAATTGTTGAAAGGGTGTGCCAACCCAACACGTGTGGCAGGTCTGGGTCAAGAGGATCGACCACAAAGGCATGAAGCTGACGATGGTGGAAAGCCAGAAGGAGCCCCGCGGAATGTGCTGGGGTAAGTTTGTGTCAAGACGAGAAGGCGGCCTCTGCTTTTCCAATGTGTTTGGCGAGTTGTTTCAGGCTTTGGCCCTTATGCTTTGGGGTCCAACCGTAAAACACGGTGAGCGATGTGTTTGGATGTCGCTTCCAATTCCCAAAGGAACTAAAGGCATTTAGGCTTCCCCCATCTGGAGGGTTTCTGCGCGATTCTTGGGAATTCGCCCATCACGGGTGGAGGGTGATCCAGGAAGACATTTTCCTACCCTACCTTGGTACACTAGAATGGCGGAGCTGCCAAAGCTTCATTTCGCATGCTGTATGTTGAATCATGCGACTGTCTCAGAGCTGTGGAAGTGCGCCTGCTTGGCAACTTTTCCACTTTCGAGCCGCGTTTGTTTGTTTTTTTTTTGAGGGGTCTGTGTCAGAGCCGTGGCGGAGATTCGTTGCAGACCTCGTTGCAGATCTCGTTACAGACCTCACATGAACAAAACCGCCTGGCTGGCTGCATGCCCCTCGTTACATACCCCGACGCATGAGCAGACTCTCAGTGAATTCCCATGCTTTCCTTCAGAGCAGACTTTTGCAGAGCACGCCATCGCTGAAGAATCAACTTGCAGAGAGCTTGCCATTCAGAAGCAAAGTTGGAACAGGGGCCGGAAGCAAAACACGTCTTTTTGTGCTATACCTTGTTACATACCTCGTTACATAGCCGTTACATACCTCGTTACAGACCCAACCCCAGCCCTTGCCCGCTTGGCTTGCATTAATTGAATAGTTTCAAGTTGAAAGCTGGAACTGCGGAGGTGCGCTTTGCGGACGGCACTTAGCAAACAGTCACAAGCTTTTCTGAATCACTTCTTCAAGCTCGTCATCCAGCAGCCTTTCCTCCCATGAACCTCTTGGGCGAAGACACATTCCGTTGGCAAACATGTTCCAAGGCTTGCCGAGGCGTGTTGGCGCGCGCAAACACGAGCTTATGCTCCAGAAGCGACATTTGTTCGGCGGGGCCGGCGATTTGCTTGTCCGGCCGGACGCAGGAGAAGAAGGCCATCGCAAAGGGCTTGCAGCCGCTTACCGAGTCCAGGGGTTTGCTTCGGGTGTGTGAAACAAATGAGCCCATGGGGTGATCGGCCAGTGGGCGTGACTTCATGCTTCAATGCCAACGCCCTTGGAAAATTGGTTGCAACAGCATTGATCGATCCGCAGAAAACCCTCTAAGTCCACGGCTCAAAGCCCGTAGCGATTATTCGGGGGCTTCCGCCCCTCAAATGAAGATTGGTTTTAGCTTCAAGGAAGGCACAGACTGTAGTTTCTCCAGTGTTTGGCTCAAGATGGGTATGAATTGATACCAGTTCACCAAAGGCGCTTTGCATACACCAAGCTCAGCAACCACCTGGAACACGTTGCGGCAGATTTCTTAAACAATGGGTTGTCTGAATTAAGTTTCCTTTGAGTTTGCCGTTCGCCACCCATATTCTTGCTCAACACGGAGTGAGTTTGGTCTTCCATCATGAGAACGACGCGCGGCGTCACTACATGTTTTCAGCTGTTGACGAAGCTTCAATCCATAAGCCAAATACGTACTTTGCCATGATTCCGACCTCGTTCGTGTTCACGAAAGCCAAACACCTCGAGCGCAACAGAGGAGGGAACTCGGCGATCTCTTCAGCCAGCCAAAAGTAGGCGGTTTGCGGTTCCCAGTTTCGCGGTCCCAGGCTGGCCAACCTGGTCGCCGGCGAAGAGTTGGGTGGCGAGGCGTGTTGAGCAGTTCGGGCTTTTGAAGCGAGCCGCGCTTGCCTGAAGGCCCCTGCCATTCCTGGAGTGCTCCCCTCGCGCAGGTGAAAGCGGTGAAGCCCTTTGGCGCCTTTGTGGACGTGGGTGCGGAGGCTGACGGTCTCCTCAAGGCGCATTTCGGGAAAATATTCTCCTGCAACCTGCCATCGCGTCAGCTTTCGGTGAAACACCAAGAAAGGCGAGCATCTGAATTCGTGGGTTGCAGTCAAGGTCGTAGGATGGTCATTGAACATGCGTTGTCTCCGGTTTTTCGTTGCCTCAGCTAGAGGTTGACTTCCGGCGGACGCCATCACAAGCTTTGCCGGGCTCGGAAGGCTTGCTTGCCGGCTTGCGGGTCAGCCAGGTGCGGAATGTGAATGATGGCCTGGTCAACGACCTCAGCAAGCTGCTGAGACGAGGACCGCAACAACCGCAAAGCAGCGAAGCTTCGTGAGCTCGCGCCCTTTTCGACATCAGCTAGGCTCAAAGAGACTGAAACCGGCCTGCCAACGGGCCCAAGCTGTCCATTCTTTTTTAAGCCGAGGTGAAACGCTGTATGCACATACTATTGCGTCCAAAACCCTTGACCGGTTTCTGGTCTCTGGGGGCATTCCACTTGGATTTGGGCATGCAACAAAAAACTTGCATGTTTACAGTGTTTTCTTTTGTTCTACGCTTGCAAAGTATTAAATAAGCACACGTTCTCACGTCTTTGTTCGAATATGTAAGCTCGATTTGCAATTCTCACGCACAACAACCAAACAACCCGAGGTTTCCTCTTTTTTTAAGGCCAGATGTCCACAAACCAAGACAGTTCCTTTTTTAATGAACAATTTCAAACGACAACAGACGGAGGGAACCCAAAAACTGTGAAAGCCAAAACACAAAGTTTGGGGCTGAAACCAAAGATCCTCCACCAGAGATCAGTTGCTTGATTTTTCTCGATGTTGTTGTTTTTGCGTGTTACCTCTGATTTTCTCTTGGCATTCTCCCTCCCAAGAACCAAACAAGGTGTGCTTTGTCTGGCATTTCCTTTTGACGCACAGAAACCAGCAAAACACTGAGTTATGTTGCCTTGTGTGCATTGCCAATCAAGTTTTGTTGTGTTTGTTGAGATTTGCTCCCCCATGCTCTTGCTGCATGCATACACATGCCTTGCTTCGATGTGTATTGGCATTTGCCAGTACCACCAGTTGCCTCAGCCCAAATTAGACTGAAAAGAGGGTTTACCAACCGGGACTTTGATTGAACAGAATTTCGATTTGAAAGCAAAACCACAGCTGGCTTCAAATTCTTGACTCAAGCCTCATCAGGCTCCATACAAGGCTCCTTATAAGGCTCCTTACAAGGCTCCTGAAAAGGCTCCTTGCTCGTAATGCTCCTTACAAGGCTCCTCATAAAGTCCAGATAAAGCTCCTTAAAAAGCTATTTGTAAAGCTCCTTGTAAGGCTCATTGTATAGCTCCTCATAGAGCAGATTTTTTTTTGTTCAAATATGTTTAAACCTGCTAGCAAAGGTTCTAACACATAATTTCATCAACAACTGAAGTATAATTTCTATTCACAATGAGAATTTACAGAGGAATACCTTTCTAAACATGATATTCATAGTAGAATTAAATAGGGGCATCGTTTAATCAGAATATATAATTTCCTCTTCCAAACGGGTTTCGATGAAAATCAATTAGATGTTGAGTAGAACTTAATAACGATGATTAGAAGTTCTATGTTGAAAAGAATGAAATTGATTTAGGTTTGCAGATGGGAAAAAAAGGCAGGAACGACATGCCATGACCTGCAGGTGGGGACATTTTTCGCGAAACAAGTGCTTTGGATTTCCAGATGGGACACAACACAAAACAGGAATGATATGCAAAGGGTAAATCATTGGCGGGGGGTCCTCAGCATATATCCATGTTTTTATGTTTCTACATACACACTCGCCCCCTATGAGTGCACCAGGCCAAAGGGGAGCGCCAGGAGATAAGTTGGTGGTCAAAGTGCGCGGCTTCTACCAGAAGAAGCTGGAGCTCGAGCTTGCCAGGGCCTGACGAACCTGATGCGCATCCTGGTCGTTTCAAACGATTTTTCAGGCTGCGGGATCCAGGGAGGTGATGTTACAAGGCCATATTTATCGCCCCATCCGAAGTCGGAATGACGACAGGTTGCTCACCTTGCCTAGAAACTGCTAGCAAGGTTCGTTCGTCGCTTGCGCAAACTACTGCATGAGCGCGGGCAATTGACTTTCAAGTGTCGACATCTGCGAGTAATGAGACTCTGCGTTTTCAGCCGGACGCGTCCACGTCTATGCCTCACTGGCGAGGCTGGCGCGAAGCTCTGTTGAAGGGCTGCGCTCGGCTGGCCCCTAATTTGTATCCGAGCAACTCCCGCGTCATCAGCGTCAATGCCACGTGTGCCCGCAGTGCTCACCCTGCAAAGTACCAAATTGTTGGATGATGCTGAACCTGCGCCGAATCACGAGCTGAGACTCCTCCCCAGCATGCGTCTGAACAATCATGTCTGTCGGCATTTCCATTGTGACTTGTGTGTTTTGGTAGCAAGCTGGCAGCTGCCAAACCCAAGAGAACCTGAATGATGCCGGGTTTTGTGGGCCGAGATGCTGATGTTGAAGGTCGGCTCTTGGCGGCGGCCCGGTAGCCTTCGCTAAGGCTACACGGATGCTCGTTAAAACTCGCTGTCTTGCGCACCAGCGTGGACGGGAATTGAGCTGAAGAGGCTTGCCCAGGAGCATATTATATTGCCCTCAACGACGTTTGCAGTGTTGTTCCCAAAGCGCCAAAGGAGCCTGTGCTGTTGCTACATAAGGCTTTGCCTGTTCTGCAGTCTTTTGCCCGGCATTCTGTCCGTGGCATGAAGCTTTCTGACTTGCCGCGGTTCAGCCCATGTTCCTTTCACGTAAGGTGGCGCCCTGCGGTCTCGTGAGCGCTTTGTACTCAAATGTGAATCTTTCAAGTATGTCAGGCTAGCTGATGCAGAAAAGCTCTTGGAGAACGAAGACCCAGCAAAAACGACATATTGCGAGAGCGGAGAATGCGCTGCGTTTCTTGCATGAGGCGCAGACGCTTCCACGGCTTCCTCCGGTGGACAACTTCCCGCAGGCCTGCCTTGCTGACCATCTAACATGAGAACCCGTCAATATGGGATGCGCCAAGGCTTCCATTTGCTTTCCGCGCTTGGGTGGGCAGAATGGCACTAGAAGTAAAAGCCCACGGCTTTGCATCCTGTTCAGCCCGATCATGTTGAAGGTTTGGCCAGTTCAATGCTGTTCTGGGCAGCCCGCTAAGACCTATCACGGTGTTCCCAGCGTGGTAGTCAGGAATCGTTCTGCACGCAATGGATGTCCGCAGGGCACAGCTAGACTGCAGCTAGTGCCCCTTCGACAGTTGGTCGAGTAGCCAACGGCTGCTAGGCTGTGCTCCAGCCACGGGAGCGACCATATGAGTGACTACGGGGGCCATCGAGGATCGTCTAGGGCCATGACATTTTCAGGGTTCCCGTTGGCTCTAAATCAGAACTTGGGCGTGTCGAAACCAGTGCTGGTTGCATTGGGCTGTTTGGTCGTGCGCGAGAGGACGAGCCGCTGGATGCGACCATCCTGAGGAAGGTGCGGCTGAGGGGAACGCTACACGTCAGCGGGACAAGCTTCCAGGAAGTCAGTGGCCAACATTGAAATGTGCCAAAGGGGTGCAGTGGATTGACCAGCAAGCTCGTTTGCTACAGCTGCTTGAGTCCACTCAGGCCATTGGATCCAATGCCCTCATACCTTTTGTCTCACGGAAGTCTGAGATGTAGTTGAAATCCAGGTGCCGCGTGGCTTCGTGGTGGAAGTTGCACCTCCCAAAGGTTTACCAGTGGTGGCCTTCCTGGTGGATGAGCAGAGCCCTGGCTGAATGATGGATGGGAATCGTTTGGAAATTGGAACGGTTTCGGTGTTGCTCCTTGCGGCACTTGATCCTCTCATTTGAGGGGCTCGAGTGGATTTCCCTTTGAGGCTTCGCCGCCAAAATGAGAACAGGTTCCCTGGAACAACGGCATGGAAGCCTTGGATATATGTATGTATACATGTTTGTATATAGATATGTATACACACGTATATTTGTGTGTTTCTTAAAATTGGGGACGCCTCCATTTGGAGCAATCTGGGATCCCTCACGTTGAGAGGAGCAATCTCCCTTGTGGCACTGAGGCTGTTTGGGATTGCCCTACCCAAATTATCCCCATCAGGGAGGCCGTCGGCCAAATTGCTCCATGGCTTCAGCCGGTTGCTGTGGCGCATCTGTCCGGTTGTCGGTCCCTTCATCGCGCAGGCGTCAGGTGCAGTAATTGGCACTCATGAGCATGGCAGCGGGAAGCTCAAGCTTCAACTTCTCGTGAAGAGAGGCACTCCCCGCAACACCACGTCCAAGGGCTTTTTCGCTGTTGTATTCGGGAGCTACTCAAAATGAAAAGGTCTATGGCGCTTGAAGCACATCCAGCCACTGGCACTCTCCGCACTGAACCTGTACTCTTCAAAGAGCATCCTTTGGAGTCCTTACTCCGAATCTGTCAAGGGCAGGTGGGGGGGGGGGTAGAACCCGTTGAGAGAGTTAAAGCTTTTGATTCAGGGGCAGCCAGGTAGGTAATGCTTTGTTTGCTTCTCTTGTTTTCTTGGAGTTCCGTTGGGAGCCTCTGGCAAATGATTGTTCTGCATGAGCTCCAACTAGATTTGCCCAGCAGGTCAATTTCTCAGGCCGGAAAGCTCTCTTCAAACAGCTTGGCAATGTGTATATGGTTCATGTTTCAAATAATGAGCATGTGTCAAAATAGGGGTTTGTACCCCTAAACATGTGGTGGCCTTCTGTTGCCTGAAAGGGGTATGTATGTATGTAAATACATATATATATATATATATGGTACCCCCCCGCCTTTCAGGGACCTACCTTCTTGAAGGATTCAACACACATATATATATATATATTGTGCATATCGTCTTGGTTAATGCCATGGGTGACTGGGCTAAGGACTCTCTATAGCGAATTGAACGAAGGAGACACGATCAGCGTGATCGTGACGGCTGTGGATGCTGCTTGCCAGAGATTCGTATGAACCAGCTGCCAATTGGGCCAAATGGAAGATGCAGCCCCCCCCGTCCAAATCTTAAGGAGTACTGGGGAGTACATCAGAATTGGAGTTGAATGCGGTCATGCGGTGGTTGCCCTCAGACCGTAGTTGCATAGCCCCATCAACTGTTAGGAGGCCGCGATGTTGGTTCATGTGCACTTGCCAAGATAATAATAACAAGGCAGCATCAACTCAAATAACTGCTGGCACACTTGAGGGTGTGACCCTTGAGCTGCTCAATTCCCTTCAACCCGCAACTTGAGGACATACCAGCTATGTACTAGTAAGCGTAGTATGGTAGCCATCAAGAGTACATGGCCAGGGGTACGCCACATTGAGCCTTGGTATTCCCCGGATTGCGGCGCTACATGGAGCATATTTCAGGCAGGCGAATGAGTCTCACTGAGGATGCGCCCTCTCAGTCACACGGCGGGAAGCGGAGTCACGCATTCGCCCAAGGCCGAGAAGAGGCAGCTGCAGATCGAGCGCCAGATAGATGAGCCAAAGAAGCGAAGGAGATAAGTGAAGAAAGGGCGAGTGACAGCTAAGTCAGAGCGGATGAGAGCTGGTTGGTTGATCATGAAATTAACAGGTGCTTGGGTTTGGAGGTGTGTCTGTGTGTCAAAACTACAGTAGTTGAACCCGTTTGTTTGGTCCTGTTTCACAGCAAGCCGACATGAAGCTGATTATTTGTAGGGTCCCTTTGATATAAGCCAGGGATGAGTTCTCGCTGAAGTCGCCACGCTGCTGCGGTCCGTGATTCCGTGGTGCTTCTAGGAGGCTCAAAGGCCAAGCATTTTTGCTGCTCGATTTGGGAAGCCGATTGGTTTTGGGATGCTCAACATCCTATGTAAGGGGGAGCCGCCTTGGAGGCGGATGCCTTGCAAACAGCGACCAAGTTCCCCCGGCTTCAAGATATTCCCTTCGATCAACCTGGGTTTGAATTGGCTCGGCTTTGGCATAGAGAAACACTGCCGGAGCCTGAACAACGCCTTCCAGTGTCCAATGCGTTGTACTGGAGAACCCAATGCTACGGGTTCTAGATTGGGAGGCTTCAGATCTTCTCCCCAAAACTTTTAGCACTGTCCCAGTGCATGGCTGTTGCCGACCGACAAATGGTTGGTTTTGTTCTGGTTTCTCCTTGACCACCAACAGGATCCCACAGGTGGCACATTTCCAACTGAAATTGATCTACTTGAAGGATTGAAACTGGAAGGAGCGGCCGATTCTCAACTTGTGATGGCGTTGATACATCATGGGAGGGTGACAGTCGAATTGTTCTCAGTTCGAACAGACTGCGAAAGCGCATATCGGTCTTTGCTCACCTCAGCATGCCTTTCTTGAGCGTCGGTGCTGCCTGGGACAAGCTTTGCCTGGAGTCGTCGCCCGTTGCTTCCTAGCTCAAGCGAATCAAAGCGCTGATGTAGACGATATATGCCACGTCCTTCCATGAATTCACATTTGCGTCAGGATGTGCACAGCAGTCGTTTGCACAGCTGTTTCCGCACTTGACCGACATATTTCACCTCCGGTCATGACGGCCTCGCTTCGCCTTCGCAAAGTGAAGGTGGTTGGCATTGACAACACATTGATCACAGACGCACACCCTAGGAATGTTGGACCTATATCGAAGTTTCATGAGGAAGAACCCGCAGCCCCCCGATTTGCCCCCGGATTTGCGCAAGGCTAATGCCGGGTAAACCCCTGGGAGAGCCCTGAAATTCAGGATCAAAGGGGTTGAAAGCAGCTGAGTGTCCGCTAATTATGCCGCGTGGAGATGATCATCACAGGCCGGGAAGCAACTGCCCTGTGCGGTTCATGAAATTCGGGACCCTGATACACTGAATGAAATCGGTTGGCCTTCATGTTTATTTCCCCCTAAACACCGTCCAAAAGGGGTCCGTCCCATGTTCTAGCCGCACAAATGACCGGGCCAAAAGAATTCGGAGCCGTTCGACGAAGCCGAGTTTGGATGAGTGCGGCGCACAAACAATCTTTCTGTGATGGTGCTGAGAAGCGCAACAAAATAAAAAAAAAAAGTCGCAAACACAGACAAATGATGACAGTTTATTGGCAAAGGAGGGACCACCACCTATTGCTCAGTGCTTTTTCTGGTGTGAAGGGCCCTGTAATGTGAGCATGATCCGCCAAAATGCGTGTGTGCTTTTCATGCCGACCACTCTAGAGCACTCTAGAGGCACCGCTACCATGCTCTTTGGGATGGCAGCGTTATATAGATTGTATGGATCACAGGGTAAGATGGAACGTTGCGAATGATGTGATGTTGTTGGCAATGAATATATTTCAATATTTCAGATGGCTGTACTGCCCCACATGTGCCATAAATACGGAGCGAGTGCTGCTTGTTTGATCTCCCCCGCTGAAAAGGCTTGCAGGCCCCTCAAGTGAGACAGACGGTCAAGAAGAGGTGCTGGCATGTTCGGCACGTCAAGGCCTTTGACAGGAACTGTTCTAACAAGAAGTGCCTGGCTTGCACCAATGGCGTGCACTGGCACCATGTCTTGCCAAACCGCAGAGTTGCTTTTGCAAGAGGGGAGGGGCGAGGAACCTAGGTTTTGGGGGGGGGGTACCATATATATATATACACACATATATGTGACCAAACGGAAGCCCGGCAAGTGCGTGTCCCACTCCGCACGCGGATCTGGCAGGCGAGAGGCGGATCGGCGAGGGGCCCCGAAGCCCAAAGATGGCCCGGAGATGAAGATGACCTCGGAGAAGGCGTCGCGTTTGCCTCAAAAACCTGCGCCCTCGGGTTTTAGGTGAGGTGAAGTTCTAAGTTCACAGGAAAAAAAGCAAACCTTGGTGGTTCCCAGCCATCCCCTTAGGTTCCTTGGTTTCTTCTGGTTTAGTGGACACCAAAAAAACGACTTTTAGCAGGGGATCCGAACCCAGTTAATTAAACATGGCCGGCTTGAGCCACCGCGGATCTACTGCCCTCACACGTAGCAGGTCATTCAATTCGATGAATCGTCACGCCATCAAGGCGAATTAAAAGCCATAGGACAGTCTTACTGGAACATCCACAGGCTCTGCTCAAGTAATGTGTTTCCCCGGGCGAAGGACCAGAACAATGTGACTTCAGCGAATGATGGGACGCATCACCTGCTGTGAAGACAAGACACCCGGAAAAACCAACAGACGCACAGCGATCGCTGGAAGGGACTCGTGCAGGACTTGGAGGCCGCCTTTCGGCTCCTGGACAGCGAGAACAAAGGCAGTCTCACCTTGCCACAGGCCGGGAGGCACTTGGGGTTAGTGGTGGGGGTGCTGCCCCAAGGGTTTTCCAACACTTACAGTACCAATCACTTGTTCATTCCTTCCGAAATTAGAGTGTGCCTGTGTGCATTTCTTCTTGAGGCGTTAGGCCGCCAAAGCACCAGTAGTGTCGGGCATCACGGTGGCCCAGAGGACGCAGGAGCAAGCAACCTGTCTAATCAGTTTGACACTTCGTGCCAATCCAGGACTTACCTTGGCTTGCACCTGGGAATTGCGAGAATCTGTGGGGTCTCCTTCAAGTAGCATGCTGGCCGACACAGACAAATGGCCAAAACCAATGGTACCATTTTGGGGTAGGTGCACCACCCATTTTCGCCTATTTTAGTGGGGATTGGGATGTTCACTGGGGGTACGGGATTTTTATCCATGGCCAAATATTTCGGGAACGGCGAGCGTTTCAGACTGGGATTCGTACGTATACAGTTGCAGACATTTGTTGAGGCGGTGGACTTCTTGATTTGCGCTGGCTGGTGTTTGCCAGAGGACGGGGCATGTCTTTTTGTGCCAACCACGGCTTGTGGACTTTTACAAACCGGAACACTGAAGCCTTCAAATGAATTGCATCCCACTTGGCAGGGCGGATTTGAGGTTGCCTGATATGCCGAGGGAGGAGTTCAACACTGGTTCAGGGCATAGCTGCTGGATATCCGAGCTGAAGTTGTGTTTCATCCTGCCGAGATTCCTTGCTTGGAGTCAACAGTGGTCCGTCATTTGGTGGGATTTGTTGCTTGTCGCATGCTTCTCCCCGCCTCCCTTAGCTGGTGGCGCTGATCAATATAGCCAACTTGAAGGAGGTGTTTCCCTTTTCTCAAGTGGCGCAAACATGACCGCGGACTTGGAAAATTCGTCTACCTGTTGCGTTCAACCCACAGGAGGAATTGGAAGATGCGTTGTGTGGTGGTGCGTCTTCACATGCGGCACCGCAGCGCGCGTCTCAGAGTGACAAGGCAGTCACGTACTAAGCTGGTCATAGGATTGCATGTCGACGGTATGACTTATTGCTCAGCTGGCTCGGTGGCTACTGCTGGTTGCTAGCCGGCTGATTGCTGCTTACCTCCAAATTGTCGTAAATTATGGTTATCCGAAAGGGATCCTTTTGGTGTCCCCTATTTTGACTCAAACCCACAATTCCAACGTTTGGCCCATTTGGTCATGCTTTTTACGTGGAGTCTTGCGGTTCGGGTCAATCGTTCAGAGCATCCGCGCTTCCGCAGGCCCACGAGCAAAGTGGTTAATCGCGTGTCAAAACGGGTACCTGTCAAAACGGGTTCGTGTCAAAACAGGACCCCTAAAGCCGGTGATGTTCTTTTTGGTGTCCCTTTACACCGAGGTGAAAAGAGTACGATTAAACAAAGCCCAGCCGTTGTTGCACGTCGCACAGCGTTCCCCATTGAGCTGAGGAGAAGTTTTAGCCTCCCGCAGCTGCTGGATGTGCTAAGGCGATGCGTCGTGTGGTGTCACAAAAGTTTACCAACACAAAGTGAGCCACAATCAAAATCCGGTAAAATTGGGGTGAGTGATGGAAAGTCCGAACCACAAGCTGGATCTTTACATGCTTTGGGGTAGACGATTTCAATGGCTCTGATTGCGACTTACTTGGGGTAGCGCATTGGTGCGGATGGATGAGATGTATAGAGCTTCAACATGTCCTTGGCTGCATCTATGGAGCCAATGAGGTGCAGGAAAGGCTGGGAACAAAATGGGTACTGAAACGATTTCAAGCTTGCTTCATAGAGGTTCAAATCGGCCTCCATTGGACGTCAACGGCCGCTGGACTTTTCAAGATACGTGCCCCTCAAATTTGAGGGTTTCTCCATGTCCGGCCCCCCTCCCAAAACAAAAAACAACCACACAACAAAAACCTGAAAACAAACAACCTCAAAACCCGAAAGATTGGAAAACACGCAGAAGGTGTTCAGGCTTCGCAGCTTCAAGGATGCACCTCCCTCTTGTCAATCTGGACGCAAGACGTGCCTGATAAAACCTGCTGCGAAAGTAATCAGAGTCAAACCCGGCTGCATGGAGACTACGGAACCTGCCCAGCCATGAATAGAAGTGACGTTCCGACCAAAGGTAGTTCCTTGCATTCGAGCTTCAGGCGCCTTTTCCGACACGGTTTGGTTATGACTCATGTTCGAAGTTGGTGAAAGCGTGGTGTTGGTCCTACGCTATTGCGTTTCACTGTATACGGCATACACCGTCCTGGCTGCAAGCGGATATGTTTTTTCCCACAGGCGAATGCAGCAGGACAAGGAGAACATCAGTGTTGCCAGGTGATGCCCTTAGAAAAGGACATGCAGAACACGCACACACACACACACACGCTAACCCAAACACTCACACAAACACACACACAAACAGACAAAAGCACAGAGCAGCACAGACCCACAGACACGCCCACACACAAAGACACACAGACACACAGACACAGAGACACGCAGACACAGAGACACGCAGACACACAGACATACAGACACACAGACACACACACAGACACACAGACACACAGACACACAGACACACAGACACACAGACGCACACGAACTCGCACACACGCACACGCACATAGACATGTACACACACATAAATACACAGACACACACACAGACAGACACACAGACTCAAGCAAATGGACGCACGCACACACACACACACACACACATCTAGAGAGAGAGAGAGACGCAGACACACACACACACACACACACACACACACACACACACACACACACACACACACACACACACACACACACACACACACACACACACACACACACACACACACACACACACACACACACACACACACGCACGCACGCACGCACGCACGCACGCACGCACGCACGCACGCACGCACGCACGCACGCACGCACGCACGCACGCACGCACGCACGCACGCACGCACGCACGCACGCACGCACGCACGCACGCACGCACGCACGCACGCACGCACGCACGCACGCACGCACGCACGCACGCACGCACGCACGCACGCACGCACGCACGCACGCACGCACGCACGCACGCACGCACGCACGCACGCACGCACGCACGCACGCACGCACAGCACGCACGCACGCACGCACGCACGCACGCACGCACACACGCACACGCACACCAACACCCACACCCACACGCACACGCACACACCACGCGCGCCCGCGCACGCGCAACGCGCGCACACGGCGCACGCGCACGCGCACGCACGCACGCGCACGCGCACGCGCACGCGCACGCGCACGCGCACGCGGCGCGCACGCGCACGCGCAACGCGCACGCGCACGCGCACGCGCACACGCACACGCCACACGCCAACACGGCACACGCACACGCACAGACACACGCACACGCCCACGCGCACGCGCACGCGACACGCGCACGCGCACGCGCACGCGCACGCGCACGCGCACGCGCACGCGCACGCGCACGCGCACGCGCACACGCACACGCACACGCACACGCACACACACACGCACGGACACAGACTCACGAAGACGCACGCGTGCAAACATAAATACACCCGTCCAATCATACACAAACTCACATAAACCGAGCACACTGACACAACCAGAGGCAGAGACAGGCAGCCACAGACACAGACACAGATACAGACGCAGACGCAGGCACAGGCACAGGCACAAGCATAGGCAAGGCACAGACACAGACACACAGACACACACACACACACAAAACGACACACACACACACACGTACCCACCCACACACACCACACACACACACACATGCACGCACGCACGCACGCACCCACGCACGCACGCGCGCTCGCACGCACGCGCAGGCGCACACGCCCACACGCACGCACGCACACATGCACACACGCACACACACGCACACACGGACACACGGACTCACGCATTCACGCGCTCACGCACTCATGCACTCACGCACTTGCCCACTCAGGCACTCACGCACTCATGCACTCATGCACTCACGCAGACAAAAGGCAGAGTGTCCAGATCGTTTGTTGCAGAGAACTCACGCACTCACGCAGTCACGCACACGCACGCACGCAGACACACACACACAGGCACACACACACACACGCCCACACACGCACGCCACACGCACACACGCACACACGCACGCGCGCGCACGCACGCACGCACGCACGCACACACACACACACACACCCACACCCACACCCACACCCACACGCACACGCACACGCACACGCACACGCACACGCACACGCACACACACACACACACGCACACACACACAAACGCTCACACACACACACCAAGAAGCACGCAGCCAAACAACCACACAAACAACACAGCGAGACCAGCAAGACATAAAGAAGAGACACGTAAACTAGGAAAGAAGCGAAGAACCAGTACAGGAGCATGTAGACAGCGCATCACGATCGAACATGAAAGCAGGAAAGGGAAGGAAGAAAGAAACAAGGAATGAAGGAAGCAAGGAATGAGGGCAAGAAATACAGAAGGAAGCAAAGAAAAATGACGGAAGGCAGGAAGGAAGAAAGAAAGCAAGACAGAAGGAAAGACAGAAGTAAGGAAAGAAGCAAACAGGCAAAAGACAGGAACAGGGACAGAGACAGAGACAGAGACAACAGTCAGGCAAGACAAAGCGACAAATGGACAAAGAAGCAAACAAACAAACAGATACACAAGCACACAAACATACATACACATATAGAAACTGACAAGAAGCTAAACAACCAAGCGCTGACGGACACCAACATGCTCTAGAATGTAGATACATACACATACACATAGACATATATATGTCTACATACATATGCCTTTCTGATAGTATCCAAGTACGCACACATACACTCGTACACATACACACATAGACACGCAGGAACACATATGCAAACAGGTGTTCATATACATACATATACACTATATACGTATATCTAAATGCATACGCACGCACATATACACACACACACACACACACCTCGCACACATGCAAGAAACGCACCCACCGGCCCACACACACACGGACACGCAGACACACAGACACACAGACACGCAGACACACAGAAACACAGACACGCAGACACACAGACACACACACACACACGTAGACACACACACACAGACACACACACACAGACACACACACACACACTCAGACACACACACACACAGACACACACACAGACACACACACAGACAGACACAGACACAGACACAGACACACAGACACACAGACACACAGACACAGACACAGAGACACAGACACAGAGACACACAGACACACAGACACACAGACACACAGGCACACAGACACAGACACAGGCACAGGCACACGCACACGCACACGCGCACGCGCACGCGCCCGCGCCCGAGCTCGCGCGCGCACACACGCACACACGCACACACGCACGCACGCACACACACGCACCCACGCACCCACGCACCCACGCACGCACGCACGCACGCATGCATGCATGCATGCATGCATGCACGCACACACACACACAGACACAGACGACAGACACCGACACGGACACGGACACGGACACGGACGCGGACACGGACACGGACACGGACACGGACACGGACACGGACACAGACACAGCACACCCACACCCACACCCACACCCACACCCACACCCACACCCACACCCACACCCACACCCACACCCACACCCACACCCACACCCACACCCACACCCAGCCACACCCACACCCACCCACCCACACCCACACCCACACCCACACCCACACCCACACCCACCCCCAAAAAATACAAGAACATATCTTGAAAGAAGTAAAATAATTTTCAGAACAACTTACCAAAATATAAAATATAGGTTTATAATTCAAATTTTAAATAAGGTTAATACATTATTCATATTCATTAACCTTATCTAATTCCTTGAAAATAATTTTACTTCATTGAAATATTATATAAGGTTAAGAAGTTGTTCTACATATTAACCTTATACAATTTTATGTAAAATATTTATTAATAAAAATAATGTTAATTTTCTTCTGCCTGTTTCATTTCTAAATTTCTTTTATGCTTATTTGTTTTAAGATGTTGCATTTCTTTATACTAGTTTTACTAGTAAAACTTCCTTGAAAATATAATCAATATTCCTTGAAACTAAATCTATAAATCCAAATCATAAATCTTACAATAAAATTAAGTTGTAAGGTTTATGGTGTAATTTATAATTTAAGTTCAGGATAATAATTTAATTGACAAATCTCATTTATTTCATACATCATTTTAAAAATAATATTAATATCTCTCACTGTATTTTTAACATTAAACTTTTTATAAATTTCGATATAAAATTTGATATATTCTTTAATATCTTCTCCTTTCTTTTGACTATGACACAACATCAATAATATATCAGCAATCATTACATATGTTTTCTTACTGATTTTAAGAAACTGTTTAACATATTCGTAAGGTGGTAATTTATTTACAGTTAAAAATATCAAAATGTCATCTTCAACATTTCTTTCATTAAATCGTTTAATACTTAAAGTACATTTGATTAATTCTTGATAAAACCTCCAATTTCTACAAATTTTACATAAATCTTCTTCACCCAAAGCATAATCAATAATATTATTTATTATTCCATTAGGTAAGTTTAATTTATACAATTCCATATTTTCCTTTTTAAAGTGGCAACAATCATAGCATTTCTTATTAATATACTTATTGATTTCAATACCGTTCATTTTCTCACTAATATATTAAGTCGCTATTTCCTTAAGTCATTTTCAAAGAATGAATATAAACTTAAATTAGTAACAAAATATTACAAATCATAAATCTTACAATGTTTTTTATTGTAAGGTTTATGGGTTAAAATAATAGTCAGGCAATATGTCTTCAAATATGTAATCTACATATTTACCTATATCATCTTCATCTATATATTTGATATTGTCTTTTCCTATTATTGAATAAATATATTCCCAGAAAAACAAATTAACAAATAGACATACTTTATATTTAGTGTTGTAGTAATACCATATACTATATTCAGTTACTCTAAATTCGTTCAAGACTTCATTTATTTTATCTTTGTCTAATAAATGCCAGTCAATCCATTCAAACAAATAACGGTATTTTTTGACAAATGCTTTATATGGTTTAATTGCGTTTATTCCTCCAAACCTCCTAATTAAATCTATATTACTAAAGAATTCATCAATTTCATTTTCATATGACTTTCTGGAAATCTTCTGGTAAAAGTGTATAGGAAATCTTGCTTGGTGTCGCATAAAGAATTTTAATTGTAATTGAAA